GCCCTCCTCCACATTTAGAAACTTGCGTTGAGAGTGTTTGGCTGCTACGACAAAGTCCCACGTGGTGGTGGCGGTGACGCCACTTCGATGCGCTCCCGGTGTGTGGGCAGGTTCACCTCTGACAGAAGAGCGCACAGCCCCCGTGGGCTTTAGCCGGCGAATATCGGGTGAAGTGATGGGTCTGCGCATTCCATTGCAGTCGGAGCTTAATAACTCGCAGAATAAATTGAGTTCTCACCCTTCAACAACCTCTCCGAACCCCAGCGATGATTCTGATGATGACCACGTTCCCCATGGCGACGGGCGTGGTGATGACGATAATTGGTGATTGGGATGTTGATTGACGTGCACGTGACGCGATGCAGGCAGAGGTGGTGGTGCTGACTGACGCGCACACACCCCGCACACTCTCCCACTCCCCCCCACACACCCCGCACACTCTCCCACTCCCCCCACACACACCCCGCACACTCTCCCACTCCCCCCCACACTCTCCCACTCCCCCCACACACCCCTCCACACACCCCCACTCCCCCCACACACCCCCACTCCCCCCCACACTCCCCCAATCCCCCCCACACTCCCCCCCACACACTCTCCCACTCCCCCCCACACACCCTCCACACACACCCCAACAACAACAACAACCGCCATTCGCCACTAAGTGGCGGTGACGTCACCACGTCGCTTGTGCCAGGCCATGTGCACCTTGAGGCCACGTGAAGTGTCAAACGCCCGCTGGCAGGAGGTCACGGGACATAACCAGATGCCAGAGGTCGACTGACTGAGACGACTGGCTGATGCACCACCAGGGCATCCTTCCAATCCTGCGGAACCCGTCCAGTGGCCCAGACTGTTGTTATAATGTCATGTAGGGCAGTCTGTGCACAAACACCACCCTCCCTCAGCATTTCGCTTGGGAGATCATCTCTGCCGGGTGCCTTTCCTAGTCTTAGACTCCGGATCACCTTCAGTACTTCCTCAACAGATGGCACCTCAGCCAGCCACTCACAGGGGGTGACTTCCTCCTCCAATATTTGAGGCACCGCAGCCTCAGCAGGGTCATCCCCACTTTGTGCCACGATGTTTTCCTGGCTGAGGGTTTTACCCTCCCCCAGGCCCTCAGAAATGCTCAGCAAATCTGCAAACCTGCTCCTGGGGCTTGGAGATTGGATCACCGTTCTTTCCCCTAATGATGGTAATCGGTGTGGCGCTGCACATTCCCCCACACACACTCCCCCTTTTAACACACCCCAAAGACAAAGATCCCCCGTATAGTCTGAACAGACTGTTGGGGCAAGTGCTGTTAGCGAGCATCTATGAAGGCAGGCACGGCACACGAGGGGGTTGGTGGCCAGGACCACGCACGCCGCCTTTGTCTCCCCAATTGCGATGTTTACACACCACACCAGGTACTAATTTGAGGCTGAGTCAACCTAGGGGAGGCCCAGGAACGGTTCAGATAATAGTCACTGGTGTTGGTCGTGAGCGGGAACCGAAACGCTACACCACCGCCAGCAGCTGTCGCTGCAGCCGCTGCTGGTGGTGATGATTGGTCGTGCATGATTTATACGCGCCGCGATGCCGAGGGGATGTTATCGCTCGCACTTGGTAGGAAGGAGGCCGTGGGGACTCCATCCCGGACCCTGCCGATGCCGGGTGTGTAATTGGAGTCCGCGTGTTCTCCCTCTCCCCGTGGTCACGTGGATTGCTACTCAGCTCCTCCTGGTTTGCCCTCCTCCACATTTAGAAACTTGCGTTGAGAGTGTTTGGCTGCTACGACAAAGTCCCACGTGGTGGTGGCGGTGACGCCACTTCGATGCGCTCCCGGTGTGTGGGCAGGTTCACCTCTGACAGAAGAGCGCACAGCCCCCGTGGGCTTTAGCCGGCGAATATCGGGTGAAGTGATGGGTCTGCGCATTCCATTGCAGTCGGAGCTTAATAACTCGCAGAATAAATTGAGTCCTCACCCTTCAACAACCTCTCCGAACCCCAGCGACGATTCTGATGATGACCACGTTCCCCATGGCGACGGGCGTGGTGATGACGATAATTGGTGATTGGGATGTTGATTGACGTGCACGTGACGCGATGCAGGCAGAGGTGGTGGTGCTGACTGACGCGCACACACCCCGCACACTCTCCCACTCCCCCCCACACACCCCGCACACTCTCCCACTCCCCCCACACACACCCCGCACACTCTCCCACTCCCCCCCACACTCTCCCACTCCCCCCACACACCCCTCCACACACCCCCACTCCCCCCACACACCCCCACTCCCCCCCACACTCCCCCAATCCCCCCCACACACCCCCCCACACTCCCCCCCACACACTCTCCCACTCCCCCCCACACACCCTCCACACACACCCCAACAACAACAACAACCGCCATTCGCCACTAAGTGGCGGTGACGTCACCACGTCGCTTGTGCCAGGCCATGTGCACCTTGAGGCCACGTGAAGTGTCAAACGCCCGCTGGCAGGAGGTCACGGGACATAACCAGATGCCAGAGGTCGACTGACTGAGACGACTGGCTGATGCACCACCAGGGCATCCTTCCAATCCTGCGGAACCCGTCCAGTGGCCCAGACTGTTGTTATAATGTCATGTAGGGCAGTCTGTGCACAAACACCACCCTCCCTCAGCATTTCGCTTGGGAGATCATCTCTGCCGGGTGCCTTTCCTAGTCTTAGACTCCGGATCACCTTCAGTACTTCCTCAACAGATGGCACCTCAGCCAGCCACTCACAGGGGGTGACTTCCTCCTCCAATATTTGAGGCACCGCAGCCTCAGCAGGGTCATCCCCACTTTGTGCCACGATGTTTTCCTGGCTGAGGGTTTTACCCTCCCCCAGGCCCTCACAGAAATGCTCAGCAAATCTGCAAACCTGCTCCTGGGGCTTGGAGATTGGATCACCGTTCTTTCCCCTAATGATGGTAATCGGTGTGGCGCTGCACATTCCCCCACACACACTCCCCCTTTTAACACACCCCAAAGACAAAGATCCCCCGTATAGTCTGAACAGACTGTTGGGGCAAGTGCTGTTAGCGAGCATCTATGAAGGCAGGCACGGCACACGAGGGGGTTGGTGGCCAGGACCACGCACGCCGCCTTTGTCTCCCCAATTGCGATGTTTACACACCACACCAGGTACTAATTTGAGGCTGAGTCAACCTAGGGGAGGCCCAGGAACGGTTCAGATAATAGTCACTGGTGTTGGTCGTGAGCGGGAACCGAAACGCTACACCACCGCTCCCCCCACACACACAAACCCCCCCACACAACCCCCCCACTCCCCCCCACACACAACCCCCCCCCACTCCCCCCCACACACAACCCCCCCCCACACCCCCCCCACAACCCCCCCCCCACACACAACCCCCCCCACACAACCCCCCCCCCACAACCCCCCCCCACACACACCCCCCCACACACAACCCCCCCCCACACAACCCCCCCCCACAACCCCCCCCCACACACAACCCCCCCCACACAACCCCCCCCCCACACACACAACCCCCCCTCACACACAACCCCCCCCCCCTCACACACAACCCCCCCCCCTCACACACAACCCCCCCCCTCACACAACCCCCCCCCTCACACAACCCCCCCCCTCACACACAACCCCCCCCCTCACACACCCCCCCCTCACACACAACCCCCCCCCCTCACACACAACCCCCCCCCCTCACACACAACCCCCCCCCTCACACACAACCCCCCCCCTCACACACAACCCCCCCCCTCACACACAACCCCCCCCCCTCACACACAACCCCCCCCCCCTCACACACAACCCCCCCCCTCACACACAACCCCCCCCCCCCCCTCACACACAACCCCCCCCCCTCACACACAACCCCCCCCCCCTCACACACAACCCCCCCCCCTCATACACACCCCCCCCCCCTCACACACAACCCCCCCCCCCTCACACACAACCCCCCCCCCCTCACACACAACCCCCCCCCTCACACACAACCCCCCCCCTCACACACAACCCCCCCCCCTCACACACAACCCTCCCCCTCACACACAACCCCCCCCCTCACACACAACCCCCCCCCCCTCACACACAACCCCCCCCCTCACACACAACCCCCCCCCCTCACACACAACCCCCCCCCCTCACACACACCCCCCCCCTCACACACAACCCCCCCCCTCACACACAACCCCCCCCCCCTCACACACACCCCCCCCCCCTCACACACAACCCCCCCCGCTCACACACAACCCCCCCCGCTCACACACAACCCCCCCCCTCACACACAACCCCCCCCCTCACACACAACCCCCCCCCCCACACAACCCCCCCCCCTCACACACAACCCCCCCCCTCACACACAACCCCCCCCCTCACACACAACCCCCTCCACACAACCACCCCCCCACACAACCCCCCCCCCCACACAACCCCCCACACACAACCCCCCCCACACAACCCCCCATACACACAACCCCCCCCCTCACACACAACCCCCACACACACAACGCCCCCCACACAACCCCCCACACACACAACCCCCCCCCACACAACCCCCCCCACACAACCCCCCCCCACACAACCCCCCCCCACACAACCCCCCCCCCCACACAACCCCCCCCCCACACAACCCCCCCCCCACACAACCCCCCACACACACAACCCCCACACACACAACCCCCCCCACACAACCCCCCCCACACAACCCCCCCACACAACCCCCCCCCACACAACCCCCCACACACACAACCCCCCCCCACACAACCCCCCCCCACACAACCCCCCACACACACAACCCCCACACACACAACCCCCACACACACAACCCCCCCCACACAACCCCCCACACACACAACCCCCACACACACAACCCCCCCCACACAACCCCCCCACACACGCCCGGGGGGGGGGGGGGGGGGAGGGAGTTCCGCTCCGGCTGAGTGGGCGTCTCAGCCTCCCCCTCCTCCTCCTCCTTCATAGGCGAGTCGCGTTGGCGCCACCCTCCTCACAGCTCGCAGTGAAGAGCAGCAGCGGCAGCGGCCACTTAGTCAGGGACTGCAGCAGCAGCAGCGTCGCCTCCTCGCAACAGGGGTGAGTGGTGAGTGGCTGGTGAGTGGTGAGTGGCTGGTGAGTGGTGAGTGGCTGACTGGCTGGTGATTGGTGAATGGTGAGTGGCTGGTGAGTGGTGAGTGGCTGGTGAGTGGTGAGTAGCTGACTGGCTGGTGAGTGGTGAGTAGCTGGTGAGTGGTGAGTAGCTGACTGGCTGGTGAGTGGTGAGTGGCTGGTGAGTGGTGAGTAGCTGACTGGCTGGTGAGTGGTGAGTGGCTGGTGAGTGGTGAGTGGCTGGTGAGTGGTGAGTGGCTGGTGAGTGGTGAGTGGCTGGTGAGTGGTGAGTGGCTGGCGAGTGGTGAGTAGCTGACTGGCTGGTGAGTGGTGAGTGGTGAGTGGCTGGTGAGTGGTGAGTAGCTGACTGGCTGGTGAGTGGTGAGTAGATGACTGGCGTGTGATTGGTGAGTGGTGAGTGGCTGGTGAGTGGTGACTGGCTGGTGAGTGGTGAGTAGCTGACTGGCTGGTGAGTGGTGAGTGGCTGGTGAGTGGTGAGTGGCTGGTGAGTGGTGAGTAGCTGACTGGCTGGTGAGTGGTGAGTGGCTGGTGAGTGGGGAGTGGCTGGTGAGTGGTGAGTAGCTGACTGGCTGGTGAGTGGTGAGTGGCTGGTGAGTGGTGAGTAGCTGACTGGCGTGTGAGTGGTGAGTGGCTGGTGAGTGGTGAGTAGCTGACTGGCTGGTGAGTGGTGAGTAGCTGACTGGCGTGTGAGTGGTGAGTGGCTGGTGAGTGGTGAGTAGCTGACTGGCTGGTGAGTGGTGAGTAGCTGACTGGCGTGTGATTGGTGAGTGGCTGGTGAGTGGTGAGTAGCTGACTGGCTGGTGAGTGGTGAGTAGCTGACTGGCTGGTGAGTGGTGAGTAGCTGACTGGCGTGTGAGTGGTGAGTGGCTGGTGAGTGGTGAGTAGCTGACTGGCTGGTGAGTGGTGAGTAGCTGACTGGCTGGTGAGTGGTGAGTAGCTGACTGGCGTGTGAGTGGTGAGTGGCTGGTGAGTGGTGAGTAGCTGACTCACTGACTGGCTGGTGAGTGGTGAGTGGCTGGTGAGTGGTGAGTGGCTGACTGGCTGGTGAGTGGTGAGTGGCTGGTGAGTGGTGAGTGGCTGGTGAGTGGTGAGTAGCTGACTGGCTGGTGAGTGGTGAGTAGCTGACTCACTGACTGGCTGGTGCGTGGTGAGTGGCTGGTGAGTGGTGAGTGGCTGACTGGCTGGTGAGTGGTGAGTGGCTGGTGAGTGGTGACTGGCTGGTGAGTGGTGAGTAGCTGACTGGCTGGTGAGTGGTGAGTAGCTGACTCACTGACTGGCTGGTGAGTGGTGAGTGGCTGGTGAGTGGTGAGTGGTGAGTGGCTGGTGAGTGGTGAGTGGCTGGTGAGTGGTGAGTGGCTGACTGGCTGGTGAGTGGTGAGTGGCTGGTGAGTGGTGAGTGGCTGACTGGCTGGTGAGTGGTGAGTGGCTGGTGAGTGGTGACTGGCTGGTGAGTGGTGAGTGGCTGGTGAGTGGTGAGTGGTGAGTGGCTGGTGAGTGGTGACTGGCTGGTGAGTGGTGAGTGGCTGGTGAGTGGTGAGTAGCTGACTGGCTGGTGAGTGGTGAGTGGCTGGTGAGTGGTGAGTGGCTGGTGAGTGGTGAGTGCTGTGAGTGGATGGTGGTGTGTGACTGGCTGGTGAGTGGTGAGTGGCTGGTGAGTGGTGAGTGGCTGGTGAGTGGTGAGTAGCTGACTGGCTGGTGAGTGGTTGAGTGGCTGACTCCACTGACTGGCTGGTGAGTGGTGAGTGGCTGGTGAGTGGTGAGTGGTGAGTGGCTGGTGAGTGGTGAGTGGCTGGTGAGTGGGTGAGTGGCTGACTGGCTGGTGAGTGGTGAGTGGCTGGTGAGTGGTGAGTGGCTGACTGGCTGGTGAGTGGTGAGTGGCTGGTGAGTGGTGACTGGCTGGTGAGTGGTGAGTGGCTGGTGAGTGGTTGAGTGGTGAGTGGCTGGTGAGTGGTGACTGGCTGGTGAGTGGTGAGTGGCTGGTGAGTGGTGAGTAGCTGACTGGCTGGTGAGTGGTGAGTGGCTGGTGAGTGGGTGAGTGGCTGGTGAGTGGGTGAGTGGTGAGTGGCTGGTGAGTGTGACTGGCTGGTGAGTGGTGAGTGGCTGGTGAGTGTGAGTGGTGAGTGGCTGGTGAGTGGTGAGTAGCTGACTTGCTGGTGAGTGGTGAGTGGCTGACTCACTGACTGGCTGGTGAGTGGCTGAGTGGCTGGTGAGTGGTGACTGGCTGGTGAGTGGTGAGTGGCTGGTGAGTGGTGAGTAGCTGACTGGCTGGTGAGTGGTGACTGGCTGGTGAGTGGTGAGTGGCTGGTGAGTGGTGAGTGGTGAGTGGCTGGTGAGTGGTGACTGGCTGGTGAGTGGTGAGTGGCTGGTGAGTGGTGAGTGGCTGGTGAGTGGTGAGTAGCTGACTGGCTGGTGAGTGGTGAGTGGCTGACTCACTGACTGGCTGGTGAGTGGTGAGTGGCTGGTGAGTGGTGACTGGCTGGTGAGTGGTGAGTGGCTGGTGAGTGGTGAGTGGCTGGTGAGTGGTGAGTAGCTGACTGGCTGGTGAGTGGTGAGTAGCTGACTCACTGACTGGCTGGTGAGTGGTGAGTGGCTGGTGAGTGGTGAGTGGCTGGTGAGTGGTGAGTGGCTGACTGGCTGGTGAGTGGTGAGTGGCTGGTGAGTGGTGAGTGGCTGGTGAGTGGTGAGTAGCTGACTGGCTGGTGAGTGGTGAGTAGCTGACTCACTGACTGGCTGGTGAGTGGTGAGTGGCTGGTGAGTGGTGAGTGGCTGGTGAGTGGTGAGTGGCTGGTGAGTGGTGAGTGGCTGACTGGCTGGTGAGTGGTGAGTGGCTGACTGGCTGGTGAGTGGTGAGTGGCTGGTGAGTGGTGACTGGCTGGTGAGTGGTGAGTGGCTGGTGAGTGGTGAGTGGTGAGTGGCTGGTGAGTGGTGACTGGCTGGTGAGTGGTGAGTGGCTGGTGAGTGGTGAGTGGTGACTGGCTGGTGAGTGGTGAGTGGCTGGTGAGTGGTGAGTAGCTGACTGGCTGGTGAGTGGTGAGTGGCTGGTGAGTGGTGAGTGGCTGGTGAGTGGTGAGTGGTGAGTGGCTGGTGAGTGGTGAGTAGCTGACTGGCTGGTGAGTGGTGAGTGGCTGGTGAGTGGTGAGTGGCTGGTGAGTGGCTGACTGGCTGGTGAGTGGTGAGTGGCTGGTGAGTGGTGAGTGGCTGGTGAGTGGTGAGTAGCTGACTGGCTGGTGAGTGGTGAGTGGCTGACTGGCTGGTGAGTGGTGAGTGGCTGGTGAGTGGTGAGTGGCTGGTGAGTGGTGAGTAGCTGACTGGCTGGTGAGTGGTGAGTAGCTGGTGAGTGGTGAGTAGCTGACTGGCTGGTGAGTGGTGAGTGGCTGGTGAGTGGTGAGTAGCTGACTGGCTGGTGAGTGGCTGGTGAGTGGTGAGTGGTGAGTGGCTGGTGAGTGGTGAGTGGCTGGTGAGTGGTGAGTGGCTGACTGGCTGGTGAGTGGTGAGTAGCTGGTGAGTGGCTGGTGAGTGGTGAGTGGCTGGTGAGTGGTGAGTGGCTGACGGGCTGGTGAGTGGTGAGTGGCTGGTGAGTGGTGAGTGGCTGGTGAGTGGTGAGTGGCTGGTGAGTGGTGAGTGGTGAGTGGCTGGTGAGTGGTGAGTGGTGACTGGCTGGTGAGTGGTGAGTGGTGAGTGGCTGGTGAGTGGTGAGTGGCTGGTGAGTGGTGAGTGGCTGGTGAGTGGTGAGTGGCTGGTGAGTGGTGAGTGGTGACTGGCTGGTGAGTGGTGAGTGGCTGGTGAGTGGTGAGTAGCTGACTGGCTGGTGAGTGGTGAGTGGCTGACTGGCTGGTGAGTGGTGAGTGGCTGGTGAGTGGTGAGTGGGTGGTGAGTGGTGAGTGCACGCAGCAGGCTCGCTTCTCTCCACACGCCGCTTTCGCATGACGCGTCTGGCCAAATTCTTCCCAACAACAATGCTGCCACTGGATAGACTCCTGGTGGCTGTGGTGGTTGGTGGTGGTGTTCTCACGAGACAGAGTGTCCCTGCAATAGCAAGCTCCTGGTGGATGTGGTGGTGGTTGGTGGTGGTGGTGTTCTCACGAGACAGAGAGTCCCTGTAATAGCACGCGAAACGGCTCGCGTCTAGCAGCGCATCGACCGCACATCACGGTCGTGTTTTATCGGAGGACAATTCCCCAGTGATCGTCGCAATCATCGAGGCTTGACCAGGAGACGTTGCTGGGCGTTTGGTTCCCAGCGGTAAGCGCACTGGACTTGCAATCCAGAAGTCGACTCGATCTCCCGGGACGGCAGTTGAGACAATGGAGCGTGTGTCCTTAAACGCCCCAACCCCTCCCTCTGCTTCGCGAGCAGTATACATCTGAACAACGGTGAGTCAATTGGCAGGCCGTGTGTGGTGGGGTAAAGTGTGGGAACTCTCACCTCTTCCAAGACGCCTGGCCAGGATACCCTCATCGCGAGGCTCTTCTGCCAGCAGTGGCGTGAGCTTGGACATTGTAGGGCTGCGCCGATGTAGGCTTTAAACTGAGCTGTGCTGCACTTCGTTCAAGTGACCTGTCTGCATTCTTGATGCACGCTGTCCTATTCTGAGTGGAGGTAATCATCGGTGGCGATTGTCCATTCTCTTGCCCCGTCTGTTGTTGGGGTCTGAATCGGCGTCCATTGTCCGTGCCAATCCTGGTTTCCGAGTCGTGGTTTTTGAACGGAATTGGTGACGGAAATATCCTTGAAATCGGCAGGTCGCCGGTTCCATTCCGTCTCGGCAAAGTTTATTCAATCTTCCTTCACCCCTTCCCCAAGACGCGCATGGCCTGTGTGGCAGCGGGGACCGATTTCCCTCCAGAGCGGCTCTATTGGCCTCTCGCTAGTGGAGCTCCTTCTGCCAGCAGTAGCAATTGCAGGTCTGCACCTTTACCCTTGTTTATACAACTCTCCCACCCTAAACAGTATGCAGTGGAATTCTCATTGTTGATTTTATTCTTAACTGTGAGCTTGCAAGTGATGTGGATTCCTTCAAGGTGGGCCTGGACATTCTGGCCTGTGCCGGCATCTGTGCGCAGCAACCCTGCTGTGGTTTGTTGTGGAACAGAAGACGCCTTTTGACGATGACGACGACGAGGAAGATACCGGGGAAGTTGCCGGTGACGGCTGTGGTCACGTCGTCGTAAATACCAAACGGCGCTCGTAAACGCGCTGCCGTGTGCTCTGCCCGCAGAAAACCATGAAGGTCGCTCTCGTCGTCGTCGTCTTGCTGGCCCTCCTGGGTCCCAGCCACGCGTCAAAGTACGTAACCCTTGACCCTTGATGTGACCCCTAAACTAACCCTCTGCCCCTCCACGCACTTACCATGGTGACCTACTACACACGGCCCTATGATTTGGATCACCCTTAAGTGAAGGAGCCCTGCGTTTTGTGGAAGGGGAAATTGAAGTGTGCAAACCGCTACGTTAAAACCCTGCACGGGAATAAACGGGTGGAGCGATGGGGCAGTGGTTAGCGCACTGCACCTCAAACTCATTTCTCAGTCGTGGGAACATCGTGGGCGGGAACTCTCAGCTAAGGTGAAGTGTGGTTTAAAGCAACCTTCATCGAGTATTAACCGCTAGACGTGAATATGCATTTACAAACTATTTTCCGTCCGAAAGTTTGTGCCACTCGTGCCACATTTATAGACCACTAGCAGGAAGTACCCGGCTTTACCTGGGGGAAAATATATTTCAAAACTTGTCTTATGAACACATCGTCTTTCGCCACCAATATCATCCATAATAGAGGTTTTGGGTTTACGTGATCTAACCCAAAACCTCTATTATGGAAAACTTTTCTTCTCTTAAAAAACATAACATATCCACAAATTCTAAGCTATCGTGAATGCCCGGCGTTCCGTTTGTCTGCCCATTTGTCCGTCAACAAAATTATAAGAGCCTTTCAGAAGTAAGAAGTTATAGAAAGTGGGGGTAAATAGTTGATCTAAAAGGTTTCCATAAATTGTCAACCCCTCCCCCCTCAAAAAATAGTTTTACCTCCTCCCCCCACCAAATTTTTATTTTGTAGGCATATGTACCGGCACACCCTACATACAATAGTCAGTAGTATCTACTGGCTCTACAGTAGTCTCTTGGCTCTGCAGTCGTATCTACTGACTGTAATAGTATCTACTGACTATAGTAGTATCTACTGACTGTAATAGTATCTAATGACTATAGTAGTATCTACTGCCTCCATAGTAGTAACTGCACACATTGGGGTGGGGCGGACATCACACTGTTCAGGATTTACCACAGCATGTGGTTGTGCAGCAGTAACTGTCGTTGATGTTTTTATTTTTGGCATTTTTTACACGAATTAGAACCTCCCTCCCATCAGCGAGCTCGTTTACGTTGCTAGGGGCAACCGTGATTTGGCGTTTCCGCGCATGCGCAGATGCGTTTTTGATCAGCGTACATTGTGACAAAGTGTGACTTTTTTTAGTTTACATATAATTGGACCAAGGGCAAAAACAAATAGCGAGTTTTCATCCGGGGGCTTGGTTTGTTGTATCTGTGTACTTTGTTAAAACGTAGACCCAACAGTTTGATAGTCAAAAGCGTTACAAGGATAGGCGTCCACACACAGACACCGACAAAAGTTACTTTTATAGGTAAGAAGTGGACAACGTTCGACTCTTCCAAAATAAAATGTGCAGGCTATGCGAGCGACCGTGCATCATCGAGCCCACGTGTAAATGTGACCTCCCTCCCTCCCCGCAGTGCCACGTTCTTCATCACGGCGCCCTCGACCATCCGGCCCGGGCAGGGCCTCGCCCTGAGCATCTCCCTCCTGAACGGCGGCGGGGGCAAAGGGGATGTCACCGTGGTGGCCAACGTCACCGCCGACGGCAAAGAGGTCCTAAGGAAGCAGGCCGTGCTCCCCAGAGGTGAGCAGCTGTGGCCTTCCAAGGCTCGTTGCCGTCCTGTCTGGGGGCTCTATGTCGTCGTCTTGGGGTTCGTTGCTGCTCATTGTCAAGATTCTGAGCGCTGTGCGAGGCTCCTCGTGAGCTATCGTACCGCCCAGAGGGCTCGTTATTCCCTTACGGGTTCATCGTTAATGAAACTGTTTAATTAAAACCAGGTCAGATTGCGTTGAGAACCAGACATTTTTTTTACTGAATTGGGGGTAGGGGTTGGCGCAGCGGGCTGCGCGCCGTCGGTGTTTGGCTTCGGCAAGCCGGGAATGTCCTCTCTCACCGCGGCAGCCTGTGACGCTCTGTCAGCCTTCACCATGAATCCGCCCAAGCAGGGGTCGTCTTGTTGGCCAAATTTCGTTCGTGAAAAATACTTCCCAACAATGTTTGTTGCTATGGCCGCCATCAACCACAAGGCTGACGCGCGGCGATGACGGCACGACGTTAACGCGTCTGAGTAGACAGACGGACATAATCTGCTCGCGTTATTAGAGACCGCAGTGCATGGAGGAAGACCATACATGGTAATTGCTAAGCTTTGCTGTGAATCAGAATCTTTATTTCAAAGATGCTGCTTTTTTAAGGCGAGACCTGCATAGAAAGTTTGGCCAGATGATTTCTCGGTGTAGGAGCTGAAACCGGTGCCCCTCAAGAACCGACGCACGAGATGACGCCACCCAAATGGATCCGCACAAACCCACTTCCTGTACTGCCGCGTCCTGGTCGCCTCGCAAGCTTGGTGGCTACCAAGTCTCTCCGTGACCCCCCCCCAACCCTTGCCCCTCAAAGCGCTGGAGGGCAAGCGCATGCCGCTGGCCCCCGGCTCGTGGGTGCCCGTGGAGCCGCGAGTCCCATGGCATGTTCGTGGCGCCGCCTGCCTCGCCTCGGGTGGCACCGGTGGAGTGGCGTGCTCGCCACGGGTCCCGCTGCGAAGGATGAACGATGCCCACTGGAACATTTGTCCCCTCTGTTCTTAGCTCGGCACCTTCAGGGCCCCTCCGTCCCGTGTGCCCTGGTGCAGTTGCACCGCCTGCACACTCGATGACTATGCTGGTGCGTCCGCGTTGGGGCATTGCCGGTTGAGTTTTTAAAACCCGGGGCGTGTGGGCGAGGCGCTGTGAAGGGACTATGAATGTTGGCACGGTTTAACCAGAAATGGCCCGCGGCTGTTTATGGGCGACACAATGGGTATTTGTTAGGTGCGGCGAGATAACAAAAGAGGTAGCCGCGAGCAGATGCACGACTTGATTTGGCTCTTCACCGCAAGCCGCAAACAACCTTGTTTACTTAACAGAGGTTGCCGTTGGAGGAAGCTTGATGCAGCGAGTCGCTTCAATGACTCTACAATGTATAATATGCTCACGTGTCATGTGATGTAATGGGTTCGTGTGATCACGAGAGGTGCTACCATTGTCCGCGATGTTAAAACAAATCTAATTTGGAAACTCGCTCCTGAAGAAGCTCCTAGCATGGGGAGCGACGCGTCGGCCGTCGTTCCGAACAATGCTCTGTACGACCAACTCGCGCTGACCAGTGTGGTGAAATATGGTCGAAATGATCCCCACGACTGACGCGGCGTGAGGAGACATCATCCTCGTGCATGTTACTTGGGGAAGCCTCGCAGATCCGGACCTTGGGAGGCTGCACGAGGCCATTGTAGGTACTCTGCTGGCCACAGGCAGGGACCCACTGCTCTGTTGTGCCAGTTTGTCCACCTGTGCACATTTTTTTAGTTGTCTGCAGGCAAAAATATTTTGAAAGCATCTGTGTAATGTTGACCGTCAGGATTGTTGGTTCTTCATCTTCCCGTGATGCAGCGAGAGCTGTGGTTTTGGTTTGAGGGGTGGTGGTGGGGGGTCTAAAGGAGAAATGCGGTGCGTGCGTCAAGGCTGCCGTTACGGGCACCGAGCGCTGCGCGTAAACACTCACACAACGCTCTCCGCTGTTCTTAGACTTTCACAATCTTGCGTTTCAGTGTACGACTCCCAATAATAATTTCAACTTGTAACGTGCCACCGCGCTGTTCACTCGCTGTCCTGTATGGAGAGAGGAAGAACGAGCGAGCGAGCTCTGAGCTCAAGTCGGAGTGAGCTCGCTCGAAGTGAGCTCGGGCACCATTTGTTGCTAGAAGGGTATAATCGCAGATTTGGCCAGGAATTGCAGAATAGCCACTAAGAATGGAACGTGCCCAAGATTCAAGTTCAAGTTCATTTATTAGGTATAGCCCTGTGAGCCATTCGGCTCTTGAATCGGGTGCAACCGCAACAAACAAAAAACAAAAACATGAACAAAAAACTTCTTAAAGTGAATATGTGACTGTCCTTCTTGGAGTGCTAGAGCGATGAAATTTGCAAGGGTGCAGTAGCTGAAAGGACAATAACATGACAGGGTTGTGGTGGTGGCTTGCGGAGGCAATCGTCCAGCATTGGTTCTACCGTGGCTGATGACGACTGTCAACGACGCCAACGCCCGTCTTGTGAAGATGCACTACAAGTCTGTGTGTAATTTCTGGCGTCCATGGCTGGAGCTCGCCCTCTGTTCGGCAGCTCGCGAGACACACGGTTGGCTGCCTCTGCTACGGTGGAAGGATGGGGTCGTCGGTTCGCAAGATCATAATTGCGAGTGTTGCGGCTCTGCTCCTTTGTGCCACGCCGGGGAAACTCAAAACCCGTCGGCGCTGCCGCTGCAAGATGCGTGTCCAGTTACTCATGCGCCCGGAGCGGTGTGCCCGCTCGTGTGTGGTCGCCCGTACAAATGCAGTCCGCCCAGGATGGAGATTGGCATGGGAATGTTTGATTTCTCCCATCCCAATTGACGATCTCTACCCTTAGGGTGCTTGCTCCTTCGTCTGGCAGGTGTTCGTTTTCAGGGCGATCTGGGACAGGCAGCGCTCACTCCACACTGTGCCTTCCTAGCTTGTACCCTACCCACAGTAAGCAACGTGTGTTATGCGAGTAGAACTCTGGCGTGGTGTAACAGTCTGTGCGCTGGACTTTGAATCCAGGGGGTGGCCGGTTCGATTGCATCTCCTTGGTGTTGCAGTTGAAACAACACGGCGTGTTTCTTACATTTCCTCCACCACCTATTCCAACATATCTGGTCAACGTGGAAATAATGGAACCTCTCTTATGTTTGCTCCAGTACAGGCCATCGGCAAATTCTTACATACGTAAAGTGCATCCGACCGACCTAGTTGTCCTGTGTTTTTGTTTTTAATCCCCATTGTTCGCATTGTTGGCACTGCCTGTGGTGCCGAACTGCACTCGGAACAGGGCTGTGTCATCACGCAGGACACGAGCCTCTGCTTGTGAACAGCTGTACACAAATTGTGTTTTGGAATGCCTCCTACCTACCTGATGACAAATGGCTACTTCATCTATCCACTGCTGGATTGAGGCCTCCCGGTGTCGTGTCTCTATACCGTAATAATTTGGCATTACTTTTCTTTTAAACAATTAACTTTCTTCAAATTTTTTTTCACGTTGCACAATTGTTTCTATTATCCCAGATTTTGTAATTACTCAATTATTTTTTTAATATTTGCGAGTTGAGCTGTAGGGTTGCACCGATGCCAAAGTTTGTTTGTGGCCTCCACCCCCTCCCCATCCCCTGGGAGGGCCGAGTCCTGGCACAAGCGCCATTTTTCTCATGCTTGGTGAGCGCCCGGCTTGTGAGGGTGGCGCGGAGCCGGCACCGCTGGCCACCTGGGTTCGAGTCCAGGCTTCAGCTGCCCGTGCTGAAACTGGGTTCTCAAGTGTACGAGGTTGATGGGTCTCGGGCCAGTTCACCAATGACTATACAATAATAACATCCATATTGAAGTTGGATTGTCACTGTGGCTAAATTCGCAGCTGAGAATTGGAATGGCTACCATGCAGAAACATCTCCTATAGCAGGCCACGTGGGAGAGTACAATACCCCTGTTGTGGATAACAGGTCACTTTGAAGGGGTCACGGAGGTAGTTCTGTAATATCCACTTCCATGGGCCGTCTGCTAACACCAAGGGTGCACTGTTCTGCGAGAGATCTGAATGGATTCTTTGTCTCGTGACGTGAGACCCCGATGGCATGATTTGGATAACTTTGTGTAAGAAAGTGGAATGAGTCCTGCTTATTTGCACGTTGGTGTTCAATCCCGGAGTCGTTGTTCTGGCCATAATGGATCGTTGCAGGGGTGTAACAAGTACAGAGGTGATGCTGTCAGATTCTAATAGAGGTGGTGACGCTTGCACGGGAGGTGCTGGTGGCGTCATCTCAAGTTTGTTTTTGCCCTGTGTATAAACTCGCCCCCCGCCTAATGAACTGTGTGATTTATCAAATCTTTTCGTCAAAGGGCCCTCAGTGACGCAGGCTGCCGTGATATTAATATTCGGCTTGCCACCTCAGGGCGAAGCCCGTGTACGTGGCTCCACCCAAGGCTGCCCCCTCCGCACGTCCCAAACCACAAGCGGGCGGCAATTACCCCCGTGGGCGCCCAGAGGCCGAAAGCGATTGCTACATTTTGGCGTTCGCGCCATTCTCACGGCACAAGTCTGTCGTGAAGACGCAAGTGGCGTTGAGCGGATGATTTGTGGGGCTGCACCTTTTTCTTATCGTAGCATCGTGAGAAATTCTATGCCGGCCACGCGGATTCACACCGCTGTGGCCAATTGAGGCTTGCGGTGACGGGCGACCGGCATGGGAGCGGCGGCCTTGTGCATCACTGGTGCTGTTGCTCATAATTGACAATGTTACATTGTTGCAATGTGAATCAATGAAATTGGTTCGTGCTTTTTTAAGAATGTTAGGCTCATCACCATGGCTGATATTTTTATTCTGTGCGCAGGCCTCTTAATAGGACTATGACTACGCGTGTCCGTTTATATCGCGGCTTGTCGATTTTTATGGAGTTGCGTACGCGACACGCCCGTGTCCACCTCTCGCCACACTCGCCAAAACACACGGCTCTTGACACGCCCACGAGCAATGACGCCCACCGACGGGTACGCATGTGGGTGACGACTAGTACGCACGTGGGTGACGACGGGTACGCACGTGGGTGATGACGGGTACGCACGTGGGTGACGACGGGTACGCACGTGGGTGACGACTGGTACTCACGTGGGTGACGACGGGTACGCACGTGGGTGACGACGGGTACGCACGTGGGTGACGACTGGTACGCACGTGGGTGACGACGGGTACGCACGTGGGTGACGACGGGTACGCACGTGGGTGACGACGGGTACGCACGTGGGTGACGACGGGTACGCACGTGGGTGACGACGGGTACGCACGTGGGTGACGACGGGTACGCACGTGGGTGACGACTGGTACGCACGTGGGTGACGACTGGTACGCACGTGGGTGACGACGGGTACGCACGTGGGTGTCGACTGGTACGCACGTGGGTGACGACTGGTACGCACGTGGGTGACGACTGGTACGCACGTGGGTGACGACGGGTACGCACGTGGGTGACGACTGGTACGCACGTGGGTGACGACGGGTACGCACGTGGGTGACGACGGGTACGCACGTGGGTGACGACTGGTACGCACGTGGGTGGCGACGGCTACGCACGTGGGTGACGACTGGTACGCACGTGGGTGACGACGGCTACGCACGTGGGTGACGACTGGTACGCCCGTGGGTGACGACTGGTACGCACGTGGGTGACGACGGGTACGCACGTGGGTGACGACTGGTACGCCCGTGGGTGACGACTGGTACGCACGTGGGTGACGACTGGTACGCACGTGGGTGACGACTGGTACGCACGTGGGTGACGACTGGTACGCACGTGGGTGACGACTGGTACGCACGTGGGTGACGAGCGTTAGCGGAGACCCCTGCGCCGATGCCACCCGTGATGCGGTGACCGTGCATGCGTCGCAATGCCGTGGGAGCGCCTTGCGGCAGTGGTTTTTGTTTTGGAGCACGAGTACCTGCATTTGGCGTCTGAAATGTGTGCACTCCCGTGGTGCGTGTGTGTGTGTGTACACCAAACCAAAAAGTTATTTTTAGTCCTCGGCCTGTTTGCTTTTCGGACGTGTCAAACGGTGTGTTTATTTAACAAACCCGACTGCTGGTTGGACCAAGAAGTTTGAAACAACAGGCCAGGGGCGGTGGGTAAGCAAATGCTGCTGTGGTGCCGGATGTCATTGCCGGGTGGGGGGGGGGCAGACACCCTGTTTAATGCAACACAATTGTACATATTTTAGTTTTAATTGGGTTTTTGTGCTTGTTTTTTTTCAGGCACCACGACTGCCCTCGTCCTTCCTGCGGTGCGTATTGTCTACTGCTGCTACTCTCCATGCCCCGTGACTGTGTGGAATATAACCTTAAAAATTCGTAAAGCAGAGCAACCCTCCGTGATGGAGTGGCCGCCAAACGTGGATATCGCAGAACTTTGCTTTTTCTGAGATCCCTTCAAGTGACCTCTGATCCACTTGGTAGATGGCAGCACTCCCCCAACTGCTCTGCCTATTAGAGAGGAATGTTTGTTGCCTCGCTGTCAAACCAATATTTAATTCTTGGTGCCGGATTTTTTCCCAAATTAAGGTTCAAAACCCGAATTATTTAAATGTGGTTGGTTTTGTGTGACCCATTCATGACCGGGCTGAGACCTAACTCCCTTGCACTCGAGCCTGGTTCAATCGCAGGCAGTGGAATTGAAGTCAGAATCTCGGTGGCGTGAGCTCTGCGCTCCGAGCCACCCGGCCTCCTCCCACTCGGGTGTTTCGCAGCACGGCTGACGCTGCCTGCCGCAGGCGTGCGATGCGCCCCCACCCATTATAAATTGCCACGTTCATCACCGCTGGCTTGTAGTGTTGATCTGTGCTAGGGAAGGAGTTTTCCCGGTGCCCCTTGTGACAAAACACAGGCCTGGGCAGGCAGACGGGGCGTGGAGGGCTGCTTGACCACAAAGCAGGATCCGCAAAGTGGCCTTGCGAATTAAAAACGATAGAGCCGGTATGAGTGGTTTTGGAAACCTGAACTGCCAAAAGTTATTATTTTTTGTACACGACCACCTGACGCATGAATGGGTACAATGGCGTTCACAAGCAGTCCCAAGGATGGCACGGAGGAGCGGGCTGCGTGGATTCGAACCTTCGCAAGGTCACACGTCGCGTTGACCCTGAAGGAGAAGCGGGCGGCTTGGGCCAGGAGCGTCGGTAGAAGCGGTGGCGGCCGGCAGTGGAGACAAATGACAGTGGCAGCTTAGAGACGTGCCTATCGTGGAGATGGAGCCATGAAACCATCTCGTGCGGGAGCTGAGGTGGTGTGACGCATGGCTGCTTCGGGAGGCCTTCGTGCAGCACTTGATGGGTCGTGGCTGATGAGGATCCTCGCCACTGTTTAATGGGTCACTCCTGCAGGTGGGAATCTGCCTCCTACCGAGCCAAGCAAACAATGCGCTCCACGGGGAGAGCGTGGGAGAGTGAGCGAGAGGGGGGGGGGGGGCGGATGACTCGTTAGCAAGAGAAGCGTGGGCGTCCCGCAAGTTGTTGTCGTTCGTAGTGCGCTGCCCATCGCTCCCCAGCAGCACCCCCAGAGTGGTTCACTACGACCCCCCCCTCCATACCTGCTAGAGGCTCCTGGTCGTTACTGACTTAAAAATTAAACAAATTATTGGCGGTGCAGTTGTGCACAAAAATGACAACTCAAACGCATCTGGCAATGCACGATGAAGGGCCATTGCCCGAAACGTTCCCGATATTCTTTCTTTTACGGCCACCACTCGAATTGACAGATGTGAGCTGCAGGAGTCTGCCATGGGGCTTTCTCTCTCTTTTGGCGGCCGGACTTCGGTGTAGACGGGAAGTACTCTCCGACCGGCGTCTGGAGATTGTTGTTGCATGTTCTTAATGGAGTGGGTGCTGCTGCCTTGGCTTGCGGGGATGGGTACATCAGGGGGGCGGGCGGGGGGCACAGCACCAGGAGGGTGGGAAGACGAAAGAGCCTTTTGGGTTATAAATATCTGTTGCGTTGCGCTGGTAATGAGCGGAACCCCTCGGTGATTCTGCCCAAACGCCTTGGCAGGGGCTGGGCCCCTTTGTACGGAAACCTCCCGCCCCACCCCCGCTATTAGAGGCCCCCGTGCAAGGGGCCTCATCCGTACGTGTCCTGTGCGTGTCCTGTGCGTCTCCTGTGCGTCTCCTGTGCGTGTCCTGTGCGTGTCCTGTGCGTGTCCTGTGCGTCTCCTGTACGTGTCCTGTGCGTGTCCTGTGCGTCTCCTGTACGTGTCCTGTGCGTGTCCTGTGCGTCTCCTGTGCGGTGGGGTGGGGGAGCGCGTCTCCGCGGCCCTCATCATCGCACCCGCACAGAGCCGCCTTCAAAACCTAAGACGTCGCATTGTCGATGGCCGTGGCCGATCCACTGCTTGCATGAGGGTGCCCTCAATTAGCCATCCTCTCTCTACGATGTTGCCGCGTGACTAACGCTGATTTGAATTGCTTCCCATATCCAGTTTTGGAAGTACTCTCTGTTTGTTCCGTTCTCTCTTTGCCCGTCGGCCGTCCCCGCTTCGAGCTGTGTCGTGAGCTGCCCACGGCCACGGCCGCTCGAGCGATCCCGCTCGCCGCGTTCTGCTCACCGATCCACGCGTCGCTTCGTGTCGCCGCAACTCTAAAGCCGGCATCTCCCTCCCCCCTTGATTTCTCACACGCGTGTTACATTTTATTTTTCAATGTCCATGTTTCTGATACGTGTCATCGCAGGTAGGACTATGTTGTTTTTAAACCTCAGCCCATTGTGCGTTAATCCATCGCAGTTGGGTTCGTGAGACGCTTGCCAAAGGAACGAGAACCCCCTGTGGGTCGTGTTTTTCACTCGACGCTTCCCCCGGAGTAAACCTCTCTCTGCCGGGCACCGCAGCACAGCGGGGGGCGCTCTGTCCAGGCTGTGGCAGCTGCCACCTTCGACGCTCGTGCCGTTGACCCCTCTCTTCTCCTCCTGCTCGCAGTCCCTGCTCGCCGTCCCGCTCGCTCGCCCGCCCATTCCTGGCTGCGACTAAAAGCGTGGAGTCATCGAATAGAAATGCCCCGAGTCGTCATCGGTTGGTGTCTGGCAGCCTCCTGCCTGATGCCCGCCAAAGCCTCCCTTGGCCACGGCGCTACAGCCATCGTTGTTGTTGTTGTAGCCGTTCTCTCTCTGTCTCGCGGCGAGTTGCTAACATTTTAAAACTCGATTGCTCATGGTCCAAAAATGTTTTCCCCTCAACCAACGCAAGCTGCCCCACCCTATGAGTGTGTGGACGTTGCTACGCCCGGCCACGTTATTTCTCTCCAGTGCTCATCTTCACACATCGTACATATGGCCTAGTGGACCTAGGGGAGCGCCAGAACCAGTTCAGTTATTTGCCACTGTTAGCCACGAGAGGGTTTCTAATGCTGGGGTCCCAAGCGCCGTTTCTCCCCCACCCACACGCGTAGCTATCCACCCACAGCCTGCGTGTTTAAACATAGCTATCCACATACGCACGGCCTCGTGTGAGAGTCGGTTCTTGCCTGGGTGGGGGGTGCTGCGTGCGTCTTGGGAGTTCACCGAGGGGCAGCTGCTCCTGCCGCCGTGCGTGTGACCAGACACGGCGGCCGCTATTGCTGGAGAGTCTCAACGCTTCCTGTAATTAGCCCAGGCGGCCTCTGTTGTTTGTTTTAATTCGCGTGCGGTCTGTAATGCCTCCCACGACCCGCGCGGCTTGGGGAGGCCCTCATCCAGCAGTGGATCGATAGAATCGCTTGCTCGCCGGCGGTCAGTCGTCACCTCCGTATCGCCCTTCCATCGCGACTACGATGGCTGCCGATCCCCTGGAGTTAAATCATTGCATCCCCTCTTCCACCCATGTGGAGGAGGACTCGGTCTGTAGCGGACACTTATCTCATCCAGATGGCATTCGGGCAACACGCCGCAGGTTCACCGCACTTCTCTTTCCATCGCCTCCCTCGCACTGCTCCGCTTGGGAATTCCCTCCTCCCGTCGTCTCTCCGTTCCCCAAAGTTCTTAGAATAACTTTGTCTCAATTCTCTAAGCGTATACGTTACTTCTTTAACGATGCTGCTTGTTGCTGGCCATTTGACGCTGCGGGCCGGCGCTTGGGCAGGTCACCGTGCGCAGCTCTCGGTGTCGAGGGAGCCCTGCGGTGATGGTGGCGCTTGGTGATGGTGGTGCTGGTGGTGGTGATGATGGTGCTGGTGGTGATGCGTGAACTCTAAATTCATCGGCGTTGATCGCGCGACCACGCCTAACGCCGCGCGCCCGGGATGGGCTGCCGGCACATTGCGAACGCCGCTGGGCAGGGCGCGAGCCCGGACACTCCCACGATTCTGTCGAGTTGAGATGGAACATGTGAAGAAACCTGCAGGCATGAAGTGTGTTTTTGCTGTTTTATTATTGCAATGTCTGCTGGCTGTGATTGGCAGCTGGTTTAAATAAAAAAATCCCAACCTCTTTTACACGAATTCTAGAGCGCAGGACGAGGTCCTGTGATAAAAAACTTGAGCTGAATGTTTGCATCATGATTAAAAATAAATAGCTGTTCAGATCACGATGCTTGCATTGAATTGTAGAATGTTGACGGCTTTATTATCCCACGCTTGTGATACGTTTTACTTCTCCCCTGCACCCAGTAGAGGTGCTAAAACTCACCACGTTGTTCAAAAGAATTGAACCGTGAGGCTTGCTAGCATTGCTGTGGTAGGGCGAATAGTTGTACCTGCATAGTGTCACGGTGTGGGGACTTACCTCCACTCGTCGGGATTCCTTTCCAGAATCCCGACATGCGCAGCGTTTCTGCGCTGCGCATCGCTTTCTCAACCGTTGGCCGCAGGTCTCGCCGTGTGCATTCCATGGCTTCATCCCGGCATCGCGCTGTTCGTTGGGCACCAGTAGCGAGCGGTGTAGAGGGGTTGGCATGGGCCCTGGTGCAGGGGTCAACATTGGAGCGGGGGGGGGGGAGTTCCCGTGTGTGACGCTCTCCGCCGTGGCCGCTCGCTCGCTCGTTCTCTCGCCGTAGCTGCCGCTGACGGCCAGCCCGGGGTCCTACGAGCTGCAGGTCCACGGAGTCGACTCCTCGGGGCTCCTCTTCGTCAACAGTTCCACACTGATCTTCGACAGCCGAGCACTGCTGCTCTTCGTGCAGACGGACAAGGCCGTCTACAAGCCGGGGCAGACGGTGCACTTCCGCGCGTTCTCCGTGGACTCTAGTCTGCGGCCTCACCTCGGCGGTGCCTACGACATCGAGATTCAGGTGTGGTGGGGACCGGGGGAAGTTGAAGGTGCAGCCCTGCTACTGCTCGCTCGCTCGACATGTAGCTCTGCCTGCATGATGGGAGCTTATTGCAGGGGTATGCAGTTCGAATCTTGGTGGACCCTCCTGGTTAACGCCGCAGCGCGGTGTATTGCCCCTAAAAAATACTACGCACAGTCGGCCTCACGGTGGACGTTAAAGGTCTGTGATGCCATTCGCAAAAGAAGAGTCGGCCAGTCTTGATTTGAAGCTTTCGTGACTGCAGGAATCCTCAAGATGGACGCTTGTGTTGTGATCGAAACGTCGTGTTTTCTTTTATTATTTTTTCTATCTACGTAACTTTACCAAAAGAACCAGAGAGTAAAAAATAGGCCAATGTGTCGGCCTCGTTGAGAACGGCTCTATTTGAGAAACGCAGCGATCATCACCCCTGATTGAATGTTTGCCTTACCCCTGCCCCGGTCAAACTAAGGAAAAAACAAGCACAAACAGTAAATTGTGCACGCCCTATAAGTCAGCATTAAAGATTGTGTGGTGTTTCTAAAACTACTGCGGTGCTTTTTTATCCGCTGGAAAACCACTTCGCTCTCACAGTGTCAACATTTGGAGGGTAAATTACTCCGGTCCTGAACCTGGTGTGGAGTGCCCGGTGCCATCACCCGTGTGTCGCTCTACTTCTCTCGGACGTCCTTCTGCCGTGCCGCTCTCTGAGTGCCGCCACCCTGTGCTCACCTCCCTCGCAGGACCCAGTGGGCAACCGGGTGCAGCAGTGGCGTGGCCTGACTTCTGCCAGCGGTGTGGTGAGCGCGGACTTCCCGGTGTCCGACCAGCCCCTGCTGGGGCAGTGGCAGATCATTGTGCATGGCGAGGTGAGGGACAAGCACCGTGCCCTTGCCCACCCCTGTTTGGCGGTGGGACGGCCGTGATTCACATGCCGATGCGAGGGATCTGGACTAGTCCATGTGGGAGGAAGGGCGTGGGGGCAGTGGGACTTCAATCACTCTTTTGCCAGGCCCACACTGTCACTGCAAGGGCCTATTGTATTGACAGAGGTGACTGTCAATACAAGTCAATGCGAGTTATAAATGGTGTTATTGTCAATATCAGTGATTTTCGGTTTGGATGATCATTGAGGCATTGGTGCCCATCTCCTATTTGCAGCCATGAGCCAGTGGTCAACTCCAGATTCATATGACACCGTTGACCTCCCTACAGTAGTATTTGTCTTATAGACCCTGGAGGGATTATGGGCGGAGTCGTCCCCAACCAGAATTTGAAATCTCATCTTTCTGATTCGCGAGCTGCTCTCTGTACTGCACTTCCTGGGCTGCTGCTCACTGTACTGTACTGCTGACACACCTGGCTATATCGGTGCTGTCTCCAGGTGGCAAAAATTCCCTCCCCGGTACGTGAGCAGTGCAGCCGAGATGCTCGCAGTGACGGTTCGTTGTTATTTGTGGAAGGATTTGAAAGTGGTAGGCCTCGTGCGCCTGCGGGCCAAAAAGTTGTAATAAATAAGAGTTAACTTTTTTGTTGAAATTGCGCAAGCTTGAAGTGCTTTGGGAGAGCAGGTGATGGGAGGCAATTCCAAAGTGAAGAGCAGTGAGAAGTAAGATGCAGAGAGAGAAGTGTGGTGGGTGGGGTGTGTTGTTGTGACCTGCAGTGTGGTGGTTGAACAGTAACCATGCCAGTAGCAACGAGGAGGTGACTGACCATGGTGAGCGTGTGAACTGAAGTGAATTGGGTTGTGTTTTTGCGTGGCATGTTTCTGTATTAAGTTTATAACATTGTGCTAATGAGATCACTGTGGCTGGAACTGATGCCAAACCTTTACATTGCCAAGTGCTGCGCGGTAGTGACGGTGTCTCTTCTGCTGCAGGGGGTGGACAAACAGCAGCCCTTCACCGTGGCGGAGTATGGTGAGTGAGGGACATGGTGATGGTGCTGGGAGTTGTTGTTGGTGGTGTGGCACTGCTGCGGTGATGGTGGTGGTGGTGGTGATGGTGGTGGTGGTGTGCTGCTGTGGTGGGGCTCTGGCTTCATCGCGGTGACTGCCAGTCGCGTGCGTTGGCGTAACGTTGCGTGCTGTGCCCGGAGAGCCGGTGTCCGGGATGGCCTCCCCAGTGCTGTGAGCCTGAGAGCGAGGTGGTGGGGAGCATTGGGGGAGGGCGTTGTGGCAGACTGTGTAGAGAGCGCATGGAGCAGCAAAGGAGCGATTTTTCTGATTTGAGCCTCTCCACCACCCCTCCCCAACCCCACCTTGCCCCATGTCCTCCTCCACCTCGTCCCGTCTGGGTGCGACTGCAGTGCTGCCCAAGTTCGAGGTGCTTCTTAAGCTGCCATCGTTCGTGGCCAGGGAGGACGGCCAAGGGGTTTCTGGGACTGTCGAGGCCAAGTGAGAGGGCACGCACGCACCCGGTCCTTCCTCTGCAATCTCGCTGTGTCCTGGCGATGTTGGCTATGTTGGGCCGGGCAAAAAGTCTCGATTCACAAGAGTTAAGCTGGTGTGCAGAGGGCACATGTGGACACGCGCGTGTGTGTGTGTGCGCGTTCATGTTCCCCGAAGGTACACGTACGGCAAGATGGTGCGAGGAAATGCAACCGTCACCCTCATCGTTGGGAATTCGTCGCCCTGGGGGCTGGCAGCCGAGCTTGAACCTCACCATTAGGAACTTGAAGGTGACAAAACATGAACTCTGGTGTGGGTGCGGACGCATAATGTGTGTACGAGGGGTGTATCTACCGGTCAACTCACCCAGTCAACCTTTAACACTTGGGTGTGTCTCGTCGTCACCTGCCAGTGCGAGCCTCTTGGCACTTCACGCTGCCTCCCAAGCGGCCCTCTAGCTTGGTAGCAGCGCTGACGTAGCCGCCTCTTAGTGGCGAATGGCGGCTGGTGTGGTGCTTCTGCCCCGGTCTGTGGTGCAGTCACTGCACCGCGCCACAGCCCTGGCGACAAGAGTTTGATTTCTGTCCACGGACGGATAACATTGGCGAGCAATATCGGAGTCAGCCCTGGGTATCCACCCCCTAGGTTGACTCGGCCTTGAATGAGCACCTGATGCAGTGTAAACATCAGCACTGGGAAGACCAGGGCAGCCGCATGTGGTGCCGGCAACACTACCCTTCTGTGTGTCATCCTGGCCTTGATAGGTGCTCGCTAACAGCACCTTGCCTCTATGGACTGTAAGGCTTCATGGAGGTTTTTCCATTTTTGTCTGCATATTAGCGATGCGACCGCAAACTAGTCAGTTTTTTTTATGCTTTTCAATGAAGGTTCCAAGCGTTTATGCATTAGTGGTGTCTGTCTGTAAATGGGGGTCGCCACGTTTCTCACACAGATCAACCGAGAGGACTGAAAATGTAGGATGAAGTTGCATTGCTCTCATGGACTTGGCCTCGAGCACTGGCCACGTGTATCAAAGCACTGCCGCCCCCCCAACCCGCTCCCTCCTCCCCGGCAGAGGCGCTGTCCAATCGCGGCCGCCCCTCACGTTATCGGTTTGACACTCGAGCACGTTTGGGATGTTTGCTCACGGATTCCGCGCACGTGTGTGGTTTTTCCTCCTTTTTGTTTTGATCCCAGCTGGATGGGAACACCAGCTTCGCGTTCTCCTCGGACGAGGTGAAGGCACTCATCGCCGAAAGCTTTGTGCCCGACACCTACACCATCGAGGCCCACGTCACGGAGCTGCTGACCGGTGGGTGTCTTCCTCCTCCTCTTCTTCCCCGTTTTCATTTTTGGGAGACTTTGATCCCACCGTGGGTCGATCACGGATGGTGATGGTGATGCCAGGCTGCGCCGCACGTTGCTGTCGGACGGACTCGCTGGCGCGGCCGGTGACGACCCCGAATTTGAGAGCACTTGAACTTTTTTCTTTTTCTGGCCACAAGGCCAACAATGGAAAATAGCCAGCGGCAAAGGGCACTATTGATGGTGTTGTAATAGAGAACGGGAAATGAGACAACGGTGACAGGGAACTCGGAAGTGGAGCAGTAGTTGACTTGGGAATCACCATCAGGCCCGCGGATACCGACCTGATAGTGATTGCTGCTCCCCGTGCACCTTGTGCCGTGGCATCGCCGGGACCGCGACGCCCTTCAATGCTTCCCCCCCCCCGGCCACCGTGGGTGTGCAGGCATCACGCAGAGCGGAGGGGGCACGGTGAAAGCGCCCGAGTTCCGCGTCGACGTGAAGTTCGTCAACTCGCCAGTCTCCTTCAAGGCCGGCCTCAACTACACCGCCTACGTGAGGAGCGCAGCCCCCCACACCCCCCGGTCGCGCACGGCTCTCCCTGAACCGCGCTCGGCACCCTCTGGGTCCGGCGGTGTACCTGGTGGTGAACCTGCATTGACGTGCGCGTGTGCGGGGCGTTGTGGTGCAGTGGTTAGCGCGTTGGCGCACTGTGCAACGAACCCAGCGAGAGGAGTTTGATTCTTGTAGTAATAATACGAATAGGAATTTAATAATAATGTACTTAAATCTTGACTTAAAGCTTTCGTGACTGCACGAATTCATATTCTTTGGGTCTTTCGGTAAAGTCTCGTAGATAGGTTAAAATTAATACAAATAAAATAGTAAAAAAAACTACGACGTTTTGATCACAACACAAGCGATCGTCCTCCTGATGCCGTTCGCTTGTGTTGTGATCAAAACGTCTTGGTTTATTTTATTTTTTATTAATTTGAACCTATCTACGTGACTTTACTGAAAGACCCAAATAATCATAATTTACTTATTTATCTAGCAGAGCCACAATGAGTTGGAGGTTTATTTTTTTCAGGAAGGTCCTACATTCATTGGGTTTTTATTTTGTTAAGATTTCGGACAATTAATGTGCGATTCAAAAATAAATAAATGACGAGGTGACTGCCACACCATCTCCTCCAGTGAACGTTGATGATCCTATGACATTGTTTTAAAAAGCTTAGGCCAATTTGGTGAATTTTACTTGCAAATGATGTAAATGGTAAAACCACAAAGCAACATCACCCCCTATGGGCAGCCCTAATGTCAACCTGCTGGGCCATTTTTCCATGTTTCTCTTGTGCCTCATACGGACAGCTGCCACTGGGGGTCCCCCCTACCCCAGGGCGCCTCTGAACAGCACGGGAGGTGCGGTGTAAATATTAAGTGGTGACGATGAGCGGACTTAATAATTCGGTGCCGGACCATCGTTCGACCGGCATGGGAGATTGTCATCTGCGTGCGCCTGCGCTTGGATCCAGGTTCACCTGTCCCTGCCAGACGACTCTCCGCTGCTGCCCAGGGACCTGGAGTCACCGCTGCTGGTGCAGGTGTCGCAGACCAACCAGTCGTCGGCGCTGCTGTCGAGCTGGAAGCAGAACTACAACGTCACCGCCAGCGGCGTCGTGGCCGTGCACTTCTCGGTGTTGCCCGACGCTGGTTCCGTCCACGTGAACGTGAGCGCTGCCCGCTAGCTAGCGGCCGTGTTCTCCGGCCTGGGAGATGGGCCGGCGGGCGTGACCCTTGGTTGAGGTCTGAGCTCCCCGAGCTTTTCAATTCCTCTAGAATGATTCCGAGGCGTGGGAAACCACAGACAGTCGGGAAGGCGGCCGGAGCTGGTGCCTACCAATTGATTACGCTTTTCGGTTATATAATTGGGATGTTTTGCCAACCCCTGGAGTTGGTGTGGATCCTTCTGCTTGTGGCTTGAGCAGTTTGGTGGCATCTAAAGCTGCGCCATCTGATTTTAAGTAACACAAATAATTGTAAGCGTCGGTATGGGAATGTAAGAAACAAAGTGAATAAGCAGACCCTTCTCATTTGGCCCGTATCTGTCCCCTCACATGAACACGTGCATTTGTTTTTTACAAACCCATTAGTAGCATGACCTTCTGGGAATGACTTTTGCTCCTTTAAAGTGTTAAGTTAATGGAGTGCTCATTGGATTACTCGACCAATCTGGCAACTTGAATAGCAACCTGCTTGTGCGCCCTCCAACTGTCGTCTGTAGATCTGGCTTTGTCGCCGATGCCCAGCACTCCCTCTAGGGGAGGCGCTTCCACCAGCAGACAATTGTAGGGCTGTGCCTTTTTACAACCTTCAAAACTTCAGACCAGTTTCAGTCTTTGCGGTCTCATCAGAAGAGCTGGAGCTGCTAAATTGCTGCAGGATTTTCAGACGTCGTAGGGGCGTCGGTTCCGCTCGGCGCCGTGTGGGCGACGCGGCTGCCGGTGCTCGTGCTCACGACGGCTTCTCTCGCCAGGTCGTCTACAAGCAGCAGGGAAACGATCTGTACCTGACCAAGGAGAGCAGCACCAGGTCGGGGGAGTCCATTCAGCTCTCGTCGGCAAACTCCAAAGCGCAGGTGCAAATCCGGGTGCTCGTTCTCGTCGATCCGGGCCACGTTTTTGTGTTTTCCAGGCCGGACGGAGGTTGATGTCCCCGTATGCACGCAACTATAGACGGATAGCAATCATTGCACACTCCTGCAAAAACTTGGCAGGGCCCTCTTGAAACAGTCATGAGACTTTGTAAAGCTTGCATGGCTAAACAAGTAAAATAATATGAATGAAGTTAAATCCACTGCAGCATCAAGGCATCTCAACACTTATTCATGGGGGTGGTTCGACCATATTTGACCATGCTGGTCAAGTGAAAGCTCGGAATGGTTTGGATATCGCTCGCTACTGATGTTAGCCGTGGCGAGGAATTGGGTTGCTGGGATCGCAACCTGCTGACCGCTGCTCTACCCAGAAGCATCGGTCGACCAATGGCAGGTTGTGTTTTTAATGCTTTACAAGCAAGCGTTGAATGCATTGTGCTGTCTTTCTGTTTATCGGTCCATAACAGCCACTCGCAACGATGGTCCAAGACGGAAGAAGGTTCGGTGTGAGGTTGTTCTGCTATGAGGGAGTTGTCTTGTTCAACGTCAGCCATGTTGACCAAAGCCTTGCTCAGACTTGGAGCGACAACCCCAAAGCAGACTCTGCAAATATACCGGGTCTCTGGTTTACGATGGTGCAATTTTATGGATGTTTATTTAATGCCAGCATGGATTGATTTACGACGCATCTTCTGACACGACTCCGAACACATTTGAACAGAGTCGGTCTGGGTTTCCGATGTGTGACTTGGCATGGAGCTTTTGTTATTCTCGAGTGTTTTTGTGGCTTTTCACCTATTAAGCCCCACTTAATATGGCGGATTAAAAGGAGAAACACATTGGCAATTGTTTACGCCGTTTCTACAGTCTATGTGAAAATGGGGTCCGAATGCGCTTTGTCGTAAAAGCGGGGAGCGCCTGGAGCAAACGCGTGTTGCTCTAACGGCTACCTCGCCGGCTTCCACACTGCCGCTGAAATACTTGCTCAGAGCGTGGCGCGATCCGCGCATGTGCGCAAGTGTTCTCCTAACTTGCCGAATGCGTGGGGTCGCACGTGGTGTAAACGCGGATGTGTGTGCGCATCTCGTTCCAGGCTGGAGAGCCCCTGCAGTTTTCTGTGACCAGCACAGAGCACGTGGAGGAGTTTTTTTACCAGGTACGGAGCCCCGACGTCGCTTTCAGCGATGCGTCATGCATTTGTCCAAATATTTTATTCTCTTTCTTCACTCAACCGGAATGTTGTCCGGCTCGTGGGTGGCACGTAGCAGCCATTGCGAGAGGTATTCTGGATTTGGTTGTGCCGGGTGCGGAACTATATTCCGGCTCTGTGATTCAGGCTCCTGCTGCATATTGTGAGTGCTCGCGAGTGTGGCTTCTGTAACCCGCAAGCAAGTGTCTTGGTGGAGTGGAGCATGGCATTGAAACTGCACCTCTTCCGTGTAATAACGTGCACACAGTAGGGAGGGCGGCCCTTTTGAAAATCGCATCTCACGCCCGCCCCCAATGAAAACAGCACCTGGGAAATTTCGAGGACATTGAGGCTTATTTACCGGTGCCTCCACAGGGGCCAAAAGTCAATCATAACGTTTGAAGCTTTTGTTTTCCGGTTGAACAGGGGTCAGAGGTGAGTTTGGATAATCATTAATCCCTCCAAGTACGCAGCCATGCTTGAGACCACAATTTCAGACTCAAATATATGGCCATATTTCTACAGCTGTGTCTCTGTGTTGTTGGGAGTTTGAATAATGTTCAAGAATTGAGATTCGGTTTCTGAAGACGGTCCCGGCACATTGAGCGAAACGTCGGACGTCGTGCCGAACGACGCCACGTGCCACGGCCCTGGAAATTCCTCGGAGAGTTTGATGTTCGGTCGGTGTGGTTGTGTTTTTTTATCGCCAGGTGGTTTCCCGCGGGAATGTAGTGGCGACGGGCAAGGTGAACTCTAACACCTTCCAGCTGGTGCCGACGAGCGCGTGGGCGCCCAGCGCGCACGTGGTGGTGCACTACGTGCGCGACGACGGCGAGGTCGTGCCCGCCTCCGTCACGTTCAACGTCGCCGGGATTTTTGAGAACAAGGTGATCGGGGCGGGGGGAGGGTGATGGAGCTTGGGGTGTGGATTTGTGTGCCCCTGCAGTGCAGCCCGTGAATCGCTCGTCAATAGGGGCAGGGAACCTCCGGTCTGCACCGATTTGGCCAGATTGCTACGTGTGGTCTAACCCAAAACAAAAAAAAGTATCGTGAATTTGAGCGATGACGATGATCGTCGTTTCTGTCAGGTGGTGCTCAACTGGACCGCGGAGACGTCGACCCCGGCCAGCTCGGTGTCTCTGAAGGTGTCGACGTCCGATGCCCAGGCCTTCGTCGGCGTGTTGGTGGTGGACAAGAGCGTTCTGCTCCTCAAGACCGGGAACGACATCACGGCTGACTCGGTGAGCCGCTGCGCGCTCTGTCGGTGGCTCTGTCTGTGCGCCGTCACAGTCGGCCCCTATTGCGGCAGGACGCTCACTCGCCTGGGGACTGATCCATGAATCATTCACTGGTAAAGCTGGTTGTGAACGCGTTTGGCTGCGGTGTGTTTTCCAAGTGCTTTGCTCACCCTGTACGCTTTATTTGTGGATGCTGTGAATGAGTTGCGGTTTTTTGGTTCTCCCGGTTGATGCTAATGCTCGTTAACTGCGTTTGTGATGAGAAATAAATACACTCTTGGCGTACGGCTCCCATGTGACCACACACGCGTCGACAAGTAATCGGATTCTTTTAAGAATCAATAAAACCAGATAACAACACGTTCTATAACTCCCAAATTCTAAAACCTGCCAAGCTGTAAATATCACTACCTCCTCATCTAGCGGTACTCGTGGATTATTCGTGTTTTTGTTTTATCCGAGCGACACCCCCAACCCCGTTTTACCCCGGACAATAGGAGTTGACCGAACATCCCCGACAAGTAACTCAAGGGTCTGACTTGGCAATGCTGCCGCCGTCACGGCCTGTCTGATCTCTCGCCGCTGTGCAGGTGACATCTGCCGTGTCGGCCATGGCGAGCAGCAGCCGTGGGGGGCCGCTCGATGCCGCCCCCTGGGGCCGCTTCATGCCGCTCTTCTGGCTGCCCAACCCCTCCGACTCGCTGTCCACATTCACCGTAAGCCCAGCGCCCGCCCGCGGCTCCTCTTCCTCCTCCCGCCCTCCGTCGTGGATCCCGCGCCAGCAGGGGCGCGGTGCGGCCGGGCGGTGGCGCTCGTTAAGGGTGGCTTGCCGTTGGGCTACCGGCGGCCACCCTGGTTTAGACTGCTGGGACGGTAGCCACGAATTACGCGCTGGGGGAGATGATGCAAAAGAGTTGGCCATTGCGTGCCAGCGCCGCGGTCCAATGTGCCAAATATGTAAAATTATTCGCAAATTAATTACTTGGGTAAACAGTGCGGCAATATTGCCCCCTACTGGTTGATCGTACTCCCCTGTGGAGCAAGTCAAGGTGGTTTCTTGATCAAATGAGAATTTACTAATTGGTTCTCATCTCCCATTTTACAGCCTTGAGCCAGTGGTAGAAATTCAACGTTGCAATGGCAGGGGAGAGTGGTATCCATAAGACTGTCGCCTTCTCTACAAAGTGGCTCTCAGGTCCATTTCTAGGCCGTGACCTGGCAACGTTGCGATTGCGAGTCGCTCGCTCTGCCGCTGGGCCACGCGGCTGTTTGAAGCTGCAGCTGCACGACGTGCGTGGGGCCCTGACCGCGTGTTCGCTGTTTACAGGAAGCCGGCCTCGTGGTTCTGACCGATGCCTACGTGCACCACCCCGAATTCTTCTACTATTACAAAGAAGGTGAGAGTGGCGCTCGGGCCTCGCGAACCACGGCGGATTGACGCCGCGCGGCTGTCCCCGCGGCGTCGCGCTTACCGCCGTGCCCGACGCAGGCGACGGGCTGCCGATCGTTCCGCTCTGACATCCTTGGGGAAAAAGTTCAAGCCTCGTGGCCAGGGTAGCATGCGTCACGCGTCGCATATGCGTTTGTGCAAGTGGTTGCCGACTGTTAACGTATATGTATGCGCCGGTGGTGTTGACCGTGTGTTTGCGTGCCGACTGGGTGCGGTGTGCGTGGTGTGTACGTGTACATTGAGCGTGCGTGCCTGCTGACCGGCGTTGCGAAGCGGAGTGGGCACCCTACACCCGGGGGGGTGCGGACCTCCACGGCGACTGCGCTTCTGCTCGGTCTGACACGACCGGCGGCAGTGCCCACCACGTGTTTTGTCGCGAGCGCCGCGCCTCTGCCTGCTGCCTCTGCTCTCCCTCCTCGCAGAATTCCACCCACTGGGTGGCGACATAATGAACATGGTGCCTGTCGCCGCGCCCGCCGGTGCCGCCGCGGGCGCTGGTGCCGCCGCGGCGGAGAGAGTCCGGACGCTCTTCCCTGAGACGTGGATCTGGGCCGACGGCGAGACGGGGTGAGCCCAGTCCTGGATTTCTCCTCGGCAGTGAATCCCCCTTTGTGTGAGAACAGCCCGTGGAAGTGGATAACACCGAGCAACCCCAGATTCTATTTTAGTGACCTCTGGTCCCCATATGCAGGGTGGGTGGGAAAGTGCTTCGGATACGAGTGTGAGATTCGTCACGCCACGATCAAACCGCTCTTGAATTTTCAGAGATGGAATTGAGCGCAGAATGAAATTCAAGAGATGGGTTTTTGTTTAGTAATTTTGAGATCGGGCTGAGACCAAAAACCGACCTGGATTTGGAAAACTTGTATTTAATCACTGGCGACTTGAGGCCTGGGGTTGAACGGAGGATCTCATCGGTGCCAGCTCGGCACTTTGACCTCCAATCCAGGCTGTGTTTTACATGCGACGTAGTGTGCAACGCGTGTGCAACGCGTGTGCAACGCGTGTGCAACGCGTGTGCAACGCGTGTGACTCTCGCTCTCTTTTGACAGCAACAATCGGTCAAAGACGTTCACAGCCACGGTGCCCGACTCCATCACCTCTTGGGTCGCGTCGGCCTTCTCGGTCTCGAGCAGCTTGGGGCTCGGTGTGGCCGACACTGCCCAGGTGAGGCGTGCGTCTCGTGCGTCTCGTGATTCCGGCGTGCTCGTGGCGTGTGCGTGCGAGCGTCCCGCCACCCTGGCACGCGCCGATGCGCCCGGCGCGCTCCCGAGTCGTTCGGGGGGTGCGACCGCCGTTGGCACCACGCGTGACTCTCTGCGTGCGTTCCCGTTGCAGCTGCGCGCGTTCCAGCCGTTCTTCGTGTCGCTGAACCTGCCGTACTCGGTGGTGCGTGGGGAGCAATTCGTCGTGCAGGCCCTGGTGTTCAACTACCTGGACACGGACCTGCAGGTGCTGCCCCCCAACCCCCCTCCCTCCCTCCCTCCCCATGTGTTCACCCCCATTCCACGTAGATGCTGCTTCATAACAATTATAAAATAAAGTTAATTAATAATTATGGTTTAAATGTGCCACTGTAATGAATTCTGTGGGTAATCTGGTAGACAGAACCATGACGTCGCTACTTGTATCATCTGCTGTGGGCTAAATTAAAATAATATTTGTTTGTTTTAACATCATTAGACCTCCTTTGCCAGTACCAAAATATAATAATAGGGTTTTCCCCTTTTTTTAGAGGACGCCTTTTGGCCGAGCATCTATTGGGTCGAGGCTCAAAAGGAAGCCGTCCCTGGTGTGGACCAATCAGTTTCAAAGACAATGTCTATATTATCACAGTGTGTTTTTTGTTTGCATTTTGACTGCAAGTATTGTGGTTAATGCAGACATGAATCCTCGTAAAAAGGTTTCAGTTTTTTTGCCAGAAAAAAGGGGGAAACCCTATTATTATGTACTTTTCAACTTTGACTTTGACAATGCGTGTCACGCCGATCCCAGGTGCGCGTGACCCTTGACCCGAGCGACGCGTACGTGGTCCTCGTGGACACCAACGAGGTGGGCGCCATCCCCAACGAGCAGCTGGTGACCGTGCGCAGCCAGGACGCCGCCACGGTCTCCTTCCCCGTGTCGCCGGCGCTGCTCGGCCTCGTGCCCATCACCGTGCGCGCTCGCGCCGCCACCGCCGCCGATGCCGTGACGCAGCAGCTCCTCGTCAAGGTGCGCGGGGGTGGGGTGGTGTGTTCAGTGTGTGTGGGCATGGAGCGGTGGTGTAGCGGTTAGCGCGCCGCGCTACGAACCCGGGTTTGTAGCGCGCCGCGCTACAAACCCGGGTTCGATTCCCATTCAGGGCCAACACCACGGTGACGAATACCGGTCCTGGGCCTTCCCCTAGGTCAACTCAGCCTCATGAGCGTGGTGCTGGCCACTCACTCCCTCGTGTGCCGTTCCGGCCTTCATAGTTGCTTGCTAACAGCACTTGCCCCAACAGTCTGTTTAGGCTACACGGGGGGGGGGTCTTTGTTTTTGTGGGCAGGGAGCCGTGGCACAGCGATTAGCGCATTGTGCGACCTGAGTTTGATTCCCGCTCATCGCCAACAAAAGTGTCGCTTTATCTGTATCGATGCTGGGCCTCCCCTTGGTCGATTTGGCCTCCAATGAGTACTTGGTGTGTAAACATGGCCACTGGGGAGACAAAGGTGGCCTGTTTTGGTGCCGGTTACTCACGTCTCCATGTGCCGTACCGGACTTTTAAATTTGTTCGCTTAACATCACTTGCCCCAAACGTCTGTTAAGGCTGTACGGGGGTCTTTGTCTTTGTGCGTCTGCGCCACAGGCGGAAGGGGTGGAGCGCTCGTTCTCGAAGACGTTGCTGCTGCAGCGCTCGGGCGGCGACGCCGTCACCCAGGGCTCGCTGGCGTTCACTTTCCCGAACGGCGTGGTCGAGGGCAGCCAGAGGGCTACGCTCACCGTCATCGGTGCGCCACGCTCACCGCCCCTGCCTCCATCGCTCACCACCCCTGCCTCCACTGCACCTGCCTCCGCCAATGCACACCGTCCCTGCCTTCACCGTTGATGCCACCCAAATACGCGCTGATCAATAATCGCAGCGTGATTAAAAAAAGAAACTGTAACCTAATGTGGCTCTCATTTGTGTTGGCAGCATTAATTTCTGCCGTGATTTGCCTAATCCAGGTCCATCTCAAGATCGTGGGATGGCGACGACTTGCGATGTGGGAGGCCTTCTTATCCACCAGTAAAGAGATCGTGTCTAATGCTGTCGCAGCATTAAGATAAATTGTTCAAATTGGGATTACACGGGGTAATTATCGCTCGCTGCTGGCACGCTATTACCGTTTGCAGGCCACTCGCATTGTGCCCACAAGGACAGCTGCCCCTGGGGGTGCTCTTTTTAAACGCTTGATGAGACGCAAGTGGCTTTTCGCTTGTTAAGCGCTCCAGAGACGCCGCGACCGGGCCGTGACCGTTCTCGTTGCCGCACGCGTGCAGGCGACATCATGGGTCCGTCCATCTCGGGGCTGGAGCGCCTGGTGCAGATGCCGTACGGCTGCGGGGAACAGAACATGATCAACTTCGCTCCCAACATCTACGTCATCAAGTACCTGACGGCCACGGGCCAGGGCGGAGGGGAGATCAAGCAGAGGGCGCTCTCCTTCATGAACACCGGTGCGCGATCGCCGCGCGCGCGGACATTCGATTGCCGAATGGAGCTGTGACGGGCCTTGCGTGGGTGTGGTTGCGGGCCGATGTCCTCGACCACTTTGTGGCGGGGGAGTCGATCGGCGACGTTTGACCGTTCACGGCGAGGGGGTTTGAGCCGGCGGACGGCTTCAGGAGCGGCCTCGTGCCAGAATGTCTGAAACGCCGGTGGCGAATGATCGAAGCGGGCGGCGGCGTTGCTGCCACGGTGCCCGCGGTTTGAGACGGTGGCCACGGTCGCGACGTTGGGCTCCACTCTTCTTTGTGTTCCCGTGCGCGGTGTTGGACATGCCACCTCGGCCCGCGTGACACGGGCGTCTCTCCCTGCAGGCTACCAGCGGGAGCTGACCTACCAGAGGTCGGACGGCTCCTTCAGCGCCTTTGGGAACGAAGACGCTTCCGGCAGCACGTGGTGAGTTCCTCCGGATGCACCTTGTCCCCCGACCCTCGGTGAGGAGGCCCGGTTTGACTTGCCGCTCCCGCCGCTGCTTTCAGACTGTGGACCCAGGGTCCGGAAGAATTGTGGCACTTCAGCAAAACTTTTTGTATTTATAAACTCCCAGTGAGATGTCTACAAAATAGAGATGTGAAATTAGAGCTAGAGATTAGAATTAACATTAAAGATGTCAATTGCCTTTTTGTTAAGTTGCATTTTAGGTTCATGAGGAATTGAATTGATCTGATTTTAGTTTCGTGCTCTTTTTTGTTTGTTGATGAATTTGGAGCCCCTTGGGCTTGCCTTGGGCCCCTACGCTTTGGCTTTGCTTTGACCCACCGGCACCGCTCCATCCTCCGGTTCAAGGACTTTACCCGCACGTCGTCATCTTTCTTGCCGAGCTGCCATGTCGGTCGTATTGACGTTTGGGCGGCGTGCGGTATGGTGCGCGCAGGCTGTCCGCGTTCGTGCTGCGCTGCTTCCTGCAGGCGCTGCCGCACGTCTTCATCGACCCCGGTGTGGTGGCCCATACGCACGCCTGGCTGATGTCCCAGCTCGATGGCAGCACGGGGGTGTTTGCCGAGCCGGGCCGCGTCATCCACGTCGACATGCAGGGCGGCTCGTCGGGCCCGCTCAGCCTCACGGCCTACGCCCTCGTGGCCCTGCTGGAGCAGCCCTCCCACATGGTACGCGCGCCGGGAGAGCGCAGCGTCCCCCGCTTTGTGTGCCGCCGTGTCTCCGAGTTGTTGTTGTTGTTGTTGCCGCTTGTAGTCGGCACAGAGTGGCGGGTTTTTTTAACTAAACAGTACGTGCCAATTCGTTACTAGTACCGCAAAGCCACAACATTTACAATCTGAGTACGACGTTTCGCCAGTAATTACAACTAGGTTCATCAGGCGACAGCCAGGTTTGTGGAGAAATCCTCCTGTTTCGTTCCTTAAATAGAGGGGTAGATGTGGTGACAACACTTGTGTGCTCTTCATGCGGTCTAATCCAACAAACCTGTTTTATGGATGATATTGGTCGCGAAAGCCGATGTGTTAAACCAAAATATATACCACTGTGCCATTCCTTGCCTGGACAACTGTTGGCAGAAGTGCCTCCGCTACGAGAGGGAGCTCTCGCGCCCCTCTAGAGAGGGCATTGCCACCGACTCCTGCACACTGGGTGGCTCTCTTAGAAGGTGTTGGTGGTGTATCCACACTTGACCCCATCACTCGCAACCGACTAATTGTGGGCGAGATGGGATTTTATAAAAAAAAACATGACTCCCCGCACTCCTTCACGCAGTGGTGAGCGCGTGATATCGTCGAGCGATCCTCTGGGGGGGCACTCCGTCTCGACGTCTTTAGAACAAAGCCGTCGTTCCTTTCGCCCGTCCCCTTTCCGCCGAGCGCAGGCCTCGCAGCCGCAGAGCGACGTGTCGGCCAGCGTGCGCTTCCTGGAGACGAGCTTGAGGGCCGGCATCGCGGCAAACCACACGCTGGCGCTGACCGCCTACGCACTCTCGCTCGCCAACAGCACGGCCGCCCCCGCCGCGCTGCAGGCCCTCAACAGCCGCGCCGCCACCACAGGCACGGCCGCTCGCCGGCGCGACCCCGGGGGACCGTTGTTTCGCGAGTTGTGATGGCGCTCACCGCTTTGAGCCGGCGCTGACGAAGCGCGCAGATTTGTTTTTCCGCTGTAGCCGTGTCGCTCCTGCCACGTGGGTCTCCGACTGTTACTTGCATTTCCCTGTCAATTTACTCCCACTTTGCAATGATCGCCCCCTACTGGTAGCCTGGGATCCCAAGTCAACTTGAAACGCGACTTCTCTATGTCCTTTGAACAAAGCCCATTGCCCAAAACATTTTATATAAACGCACTCTTGTATACATTTTCTTTTTGGGCAGTGTTATTGATGAATGTGACTTTACCACCATAGATGGGAACACGTTTGTAAATGCATAGAGATGAGTTTTGGACATTTTTATTCCCAATTTCAGATTTCTCTTTTCAGACTTTCATATATAGGGTTGACAAGGGTTGATTATTTATGCAGTAAATGTGATTGGTTTACTAATCTTACATGGTCAATAGTTACACTAATTCTCAACACGACACTAAATCCATCTCCGAACACCGCTGCTGTACACGATAGGGAACCATTGCTACCCAACATTCAATCGGCTGTTAAGGAGAAAGTCGGAGGGTCAGCGAGATTCACCGGGGCATCGTAGATGCATCCACCCCATACGTTGTGGTTACTTCCAGCATGGGACGGGGCAGTTGTGATTTTGCGAGGAGGTGCTGGGTGCATTCTACGTTTGCGCGAGTGAAGCTGTGGCTCGCGGACTTGTGGCAATGTCCGTTCTTTGCCGCGTGCGTGACCCCAGGTGAGGTCAAGTTCTGGACGGCTCCCGTGTCCAGCGAGTTCGAGGAGATGTGGCAGCCTCGCTCGGCCGACATCGAGATGACGTCGTACGCGTTGCTCGCTTACTTGCACCAGGGCAATGTCACCGAAGGGATTCCCATCATGAAGTGGCTGAGTCAGCAGCGGAACCACCTGGGAGGATACTCCTCCACACAGGTAAGAGATGCACACCTGTGTATGCCACTATTCAGGTGGGGACGCACACACCTATACTGTCCTTGTACATTCCTCCCACAGATAATAAAGAAGCACACCTCTATACGATGCGACACATTTACGTGACATCTACGCTGCGTTTCCACTGGCATCTTAATATCGGATTCGTGCCGGGCTGTTCTTGAACGGCATTTTAACGTTTATAATGTTGACGTGGATTTTAACGTTTATAATGTTGACGTGGATTTTGGTTTTGTTCGCCAGGACACGGTGGTAGGCCTGCAAGCTCTCTCCGAGTTTGCCGCCCGCACGACCGGGAGTCGCTCCGACCTGCAGGTCCGGGCCACCTCCAAACTGCTCACGGGGCCGCTGTCGTTCACCGTCAACTCGGCCAACGCTCTGGTCCTGCAGCGAGCAGAGGTGAAGGCGTGCGGAGGCTGGGGAGCGGTGCCGCAGCGGTCGGTGCTCCACACTACCAACTCGGCTACCCCCGAGTTCAATTCTCACTAGCGGCCAATGCACCGGTGACGATTAACTGAACCAGTCCTGGGTCTCCCCGAGGTCGATTTGGTCTGAAATGAGTATCTGGTGCGATTTTAATAGACATAGCCCCTAGGGAGACAAAGGCGGCCGGGCGTGGTGCTGGCCCACTCAGCTCCTCATGCCGGCCTAGCATAGGTACTACTCTTGAACAGCACTTGCCCCAACAGTCTGTTAAGGCTGTGCAGGGAGGTCTCTGTCATTTTCTTTGAATGTGTAGTGACATGGACTCGGTCACGTAGCAGCATAGCGCTGGCTGCTGGCAGGGAAGGGGATCTGCAGCTCACGCCAGTCAGGCAGTCTACCAGCTCTCTTGACTGGGAACTTTAGTTACTAGTGTTACTGTCAGGCCGTGTTTATAAACAGAGTGTCCTCCTACTCTTAGTGACTCAGTCACAACACATGTGCTTCATGTGCCACAGTGAGGAGCCCATCTGGTGAATCTGACATCCCTTGTCCATTAACTCATAGCACCTGGGTCTGACCAGCAATCTGCCTTGCTAGCCTTCCACACTTTACGGGAGGCCTAATTTTTGTTCTTTTTTATTTGGACGATGACACGGCACAATATGGCCGACTCTTTGGACGTTCACTGGGAATCCCACAGCGCGTATTTGACGGTTAATGCACACGCAGTAGTGACCAGGGCGGCCTGCTTGCCCGTATGGAACTGCGAATCTCTGTGCACTCTCGTAGGATGCAGAATCTTTCCGCGTGTTGCTTTGGTTTTAAAATCCTGCTTTTTATTTCAGATCCCGGTTTCGCCAGAGATCAACGTAGCCCTCTCTGCAACGGGCGCCGGCTTTGCTGTTGCGCAGGTACGGTGGTGAACGCATGACGTTTCTCTCACTTGACTATTGCGATGATGGTCTTCACTCCACAACTTATTTTTCTATTTGGCGTACGGCAATACTTTTGACCTCTGTTTTCAGAAAATACTTGCAAGTTTTTTTTTTTTGCCGGGAGTTTCTTCACGAAGTTAATTAAATGTGGTCTGTGCACGGCGTGTAAAAAACCTCAGACCCAGTACAACCGGATAACGCGTGTGGAGAGGCACACAGCGCGAGCGCGAGAACCCTGCGCGGGGGAAGTTCTGACCGTCGTTGCTCTGTCGTGTCGCAGCTGAACGTGTTTTACAATCTCAAGATGTCCGGCGGTCGTGCTAAACGCTCGGTCGACCAGACTGACGCCTTCGAGCTGACCATCGACCCCCACATCCTGGACCTGAACAACGTGGATGTCACCGTGTGTGTCCGGTAAGGCCTGGCGGTTAGGCCGAGGCGGCGGGGGCATCCCCCCTGGGCCGGGGTTTGCGCGCCTGGCTTGCAGCGCCGAGCCACGGGCTGATGGGCAATGCAGAGCGGTCGCTCCGCACGCGAGCTCTTCCGTCCCAACAGCGACTCGCACTCTCCCCCTGGGGTGCCCGGGTGGCCTGACAGCAGCAGGGTGGCAGCGCAGTGGGAACGTTTGTGTTCTGCAGCAAGAAGCGCCCGGGTTCCATTCCCAAATCGGGCGCCTTGCTGTGTGGAGTTTGTAAGCTTGTAAGTTCTCCCCCTGTGCTGCATGGGTTTTCACGAGGCTCTCTGGTTTGCTCCCATGGCTAAAACAAAACCCACGCGCTCGTGACTGTTATAGGCCAAACACCCCACGACCTCGTCCTGCGTGAAGCTCTCCCAGCTTCCTGACAGCCGCCTCGCCGTGACTCCCCCCCCCCACCCCCCAACTCCGCAGCTGGACTGGAGCAGGCAGCAGCGGCATGGCTCTGCTGCAGGTGAACATGCTGAGCGGGTTCGTGGCCGACTCCGACTTCCCCAAGCCCCAGGCGGTGAAGCGTGTGGAGGTGGATGGAGGCAAAGTGACCCTCTACCTGGACTCGGTGAGGGGGACGCCGCCCGCTCCCGCTGTTGTGTAAACCCTCTCGCTGTGCACGGCCCAGAGGCCCCTAAATGTGAGGTGGCCAGCAACACACGGCTCTCTCAAAGTTGTAATCACGAGAGTCGAGAGGTGTTTTTAAATCTGACGCAAATTTGTAAAAATATCCCAGTTCAGGTTCATCTTGGAGAGGTGTCCAAAGACTTGGTGGCATTTGTCACGATTTAAGAGGTGCACGTTACTGGCAAGTGTGTACACCGCTGTTTAAGAAATCGGCGCTGCCGTGTGCATGGCACGCTGCTATGTACCCCGTTAGACGCCCGTTCACGGCTAATATCGGCAACGCATATCCAAGCCGGTCCTGGGTCTCCCATGGGTTAACTAGGCCTTCATATGAATTATGTAGCTCGTGCAGTTTGAACATCGGCACTGGGTGGGGTCCAAGGCGGCCGGGCGTGGTGCTGGCCACTCACCCCCTCCGGCACCGTAGGTGCTCGCTGACGGCACTTGCCCCAGCAGTCTGTTAAGGCTATACGGGGGATCTTTGTCACGAACTGAACTGTCTTGTGTTGTGACATTCTACACCTCTGTGCTGTCAGTTGTAGACGTGAGTCATCTCGTATGTGTACTGCGCCTCGTGCCAATGGCCGGCTCCGTCTGTGCTGGCGTGTGATTATCTGAGCTGCTTGTCTGCTGTGCGTCCGTGCGCGTCTGACCCAATGCTCCTGTTTTTGCGTTCCCACTGCAGCTGAACGGGACGTCCGTGTGCGTCACCATCCGGAGCACTCGCGTGCAGACGGTCGGCAGTACGCAGGAGGCGCAGGTGTCCATCACCGACTACTACGAGCCACGTGAGTTTCCATCGAGCTCGCGCATCGACACATTCCAGCGGCACCCACTCAGTCCCCACGAACCTCCCCAGCAGTTAGAGAACGGCGACGACACCAAGAAGAAGTCCCTCCATCTTTCTCTTCTCTCCCAGCTGTTGCTTCAGACACTAGCACTTCACCCATCATCTCCCTTTGTTCCCCCTCTGTGTACTCGAACGTGGCCACCCACGGTCGCGGTGTCCTCGCTGCATTCGGCGGCACAGCTTTTTGTACCCTCCTACAAACCCAGCCGTGGCAACTGGCGGTTTGCCAGCCGGGGGTGGTGCCGGCCACACCACTCCTTGTGTGCCGTGCCAGTCTGAGTAGCCCCTTCTCTAGAACAGGACCCACACTACGGTGGGAGCGCCTCCTCTTCCTCCGCCTACACGGGGGGGTTCTCTGTGCGCCGTGCAGGGCGGAGGACCGAGCGCTCGTACTCCTCCGGCTACCTGGCGTCCGTCTCCGTGTGCGAGCTGTGCGGCGCCAACTGCAAGCGCTGCAACGAGAAGCTGGCGGGCGGCGGCGGCGCCCGCACCGCCACCCTCTCCGCCGCCTCCCTCCTCGCCGTCCTGTTCTCCGTCTTCCTCCTGGACTAGCGCCCTCCTCCTCCCCCTCGTGCTTGCGCTGCCCGCCAGCTGACGGCGACGGAGGGGGGGGGGATCGCGCGGCCGGCTCAGCTCGGTCGGTGGGGAGCCGAACGCCGCTGTGCTTTGCCGCGTGCTCGCCGTGCCGGTCCGCGCGTGGGGTCCTCGTTTCCCCACAATTTTGTACGAGACTTTCTGGGCGGTTTGCGAGCGAGTGGTGAGCGTCAGATGTGCTTGGCACCTGGGCAGGGGAGCAAGCCATGCGGCTGTCTCTCAGAAGTTTTACATTGCCGAGTGATCGGTCGGTTCCCCCTCCCCCACAGCTGCGTGGCGACTGTGTGCGTGTTGACGATGTCCGCTGTGTTTTTTTGTTGCTGTGGGTTTTGGCGTTCTGATTTCGTGATGCCGGTGTTGAGTGTCCTGTGACTGGCGCTGCCGCCTTCGTGCTGCCTGTCCAGCTTTACTGGGCGAGCTGTTGGCCCCAGCACGTCTGTGGTGGTACTGGCCCATGGGGGGCCCTAAGCAGAAATTATATTGGAGGGGGTAGGTGACCCCTCCCCCACTTCAAACTTAAACACTCCTGGTGTGACGAAAGAAACGGGTTCAGTGAGAAGATAGAAATGCTTTAATTACCGAGCTCCATACAATGTCGAGATGATGATGATGAGTCATTTAGTTGTCATCTTTATGTGTCAAGCTTAGTGCATCTCTATTTTCGTGACTCCAAGGCTCTTGAGCTCCTTGGGGGCCCGAAGCTTTGCTTGGCTTTTGCTTCCGCTGAGTGCCGCCACGGCCCTCCGTAAGGTGCGTGTTGGCCAACCCATTCACGTGAAACCGTGAAACGTTCATTCAATATTATCCAGCAGCAATTTCTTTTGGCGAGCACACTCCAGACCGTTTGACCACCTGGGTCTCATCAGCAGGCCGCACTTGTCAAACAAATGCCGCTGGGGTGCCAGAAGTTATTGGCAAGAGCCCGCTATCTAAACAGTGGATCCCTGTACATGATAAATGCATGTTGTATAGAAACTTCTGTGGCGGTGTTGGGTAGCCGTTCTGAGTCTCGATTTTATAAATAAAATAATGTTTTAGACCTCTGCATTTTTTCTTGCCAGAGCAATGCTGCTGCACGGTAACAGGTGATGAGTTTGTGTGCGGTCAGCACCGCGGTGAATGTTCCCTCTCTGGGTGTCGTCCCCTCTCCGCTCATCGTCGCAAACGATTCCTGAATGTACCCTCGTTTTCGGCTGCAGAGTCCGTTGCGTTTTTAATCTTCACAGAATTGTTACGATTGTCAGATACTGGGTATTCTCAGCCTCTTAGTAACAAACACGGAGAATTCTAGCTCTGAGCACGCGTGGGTTAGTGAGAAAAGGTTTGTTTGTGGCGACTTCTCGTCTCCAAGCACCTTTGGAGTTGTACGTTTTTTGACAAATTCCTCGCGTTATTCTCTCCACTTTCATCGTCGTTTTTACACGGAGAGCTGGGACTGTGCACTGGACGTCAATAAACTTCTTTGAAACGACCGTGATTCACATTCTCTGCCTGTGTGGGTGCTGCACACCAAACTACCTCCCCCCTGGGTGATCGCCCCTCCCTCGACACCACTCCTAAAGACCCAAAACATGAGTACTGTATTTCATATTTGCCAGAGAAAAATGCATCGACTGGGGTCGGCGTTGCTGCTGGAATGGGTCGCGTCGCCACACGTCGCAGTCACCGCTGCGACCCAGCGCGCCGCGGTTGTCTGCTCGCTCAAGCCGCGACCCACCGCGCCGTCGGCTCCGGTCGATCTCCCATCGCGGCAGTCGGAACGGTGGGGGAAGGTTTCTTAAACCCCTCCTCTCTGTCCCTCCGTCCAGCCGATCAGCCGAGCAGCGGGTCACGTGTGGTGGGGTTGACTTTGGGCACTCTAACCTCCTTCCAACACGTCTGGCCAGCATGACAAAGTGGACCTGATGCGCCCTACAACGGCTCTGTAGAGCACCTGCTAGTGGCGGCCCTTCCACCAGCAGTGCTATTAGCGAGCCATTGCGCAGCTGCGCCTGACCATGCGGACGCGATGGGGCTCTGCTGGGCAGCAGAGGTCGGTACAGTACAGCAAATCGCATTCTTGTACTGTACTCTGCTCCCACCGATGGGAGCAATTGGGCCAAAAGTTTGTTTTTGTGAATCAAATCCCACGAACAACTCCCGGCCATGGCTAACCTCGGTGGCAAACGCTTCAACACGGTCCTGACCAGCGTAGCGAAGTGAAAGACATGGAGAGCGCCTTTACCATCCACCAGTGTATTTACACTGGTGGATGGTAACGGGCCTACTGTATATACATAAGATAAGACAAGGAGCTGCTGTGTTTCCGTCTAAAGTGGGTCGCTGCACTTTGAAACGTCTTGCTGCGGCTGCTGCTGTCCGGAGGGCATCTCCAGAACGCCTCGCTCGCTGTGCCGCGTGGCTCCCCAGGGCTGGGCCAAAGCGCGTGGCCTGCCTCGCGCACAGCGAGGATCCAAGCGGAGTCTGCGCCACGGCCCACAGCGAACCCGTGTGTCGACATCTTCGTGGAAACTGACTCGATCCCCCAACCCACCTCAGGGGTTCCCAGTCTTGGCGGGGGCGGGGGGCGGGAGGTGTAACACGCAGGTAGAACTCGTGGATAATTATAACCAAGGTAACTTGTGGTGGTGTAGACACACCATGGCTGGGGTTTCTGAGTCCAAGAGTCTCGAGGAATATGGGCCGCGTTGTGATGGTGGCGATGATTCCGTCCCAGTGCTGCCCTCCACCAGAACGTTTCTCCTGGCAAGCTGCGTGTGCCCGTCTCCTGAAGGAAGCGCTCACGATAAAGCCACATTCCACGTTCTCGGTGGGGCTCTGTGCAAGTCTGGGGACCTCTGTACGTGAGTGCCGAGTCGTATTGGTGAATGTGTGAGTCAAATTGGTCTCTTCGTGAGTGAAGACGAACCCGATTGCCAGTGCCACTATTCTCTCGATGAGTTAATTCATCTGCTCGCGACACCCGAGGCTTGTGCAAACCCCGAGGCAGACTTTGCAAACTCTTCAAGCTGGAGCCACCTGCCACGGCTGAAGACGTCTGGGCACGTGTGTGTGCAACAGGCTGAAGACGTCTGGGCACGTGTGTTTGTGTGTGTGCAACAGGCTGACGACAGAACAACGAGACGGTGTTGTGACGACTCTACCCACGTGTGAATGTCGACGCGCAGAGAGGCTCGCTGCTGCGACTCGCTGTGTCCGTGCGGAGATCGCGTTACGTAGCGACCCGCGCGTGATGTCGCAACGTGTGCGCTTGTTTGAACATCTGCTTTCAATGTCGGCCCACATCTTGCTCACAAACAACACTTGTCGCTTATTCATTTAGCTCACAGTGCAACCACTGCTAAATCGTTATTTCTTACATTAATACATTTTTATACTTCTCAATGTTTGTCAAAAATGTATCCGTGTATTCCCAATTGTACTGTCTGTGTTGTGCCAAAGAACGATTCCTATTTGGATCTCGTGTTGGAGAGTGGTCCACAGAAGCGGATACCATAGATCTACTTCTGAGACCCCTTTAAAATGGCCTCTGGTCCACATGGTAAGGGCGCAGCACTTTCCCACGCGCTCTGCAATGAGAGTATTGTTCATCGAATGACGGTCACACGGATCTCTTACACTTTTACCGCTGGAATTAAGTGCAGAACACATTTTAATGTGATGTTTGTTTTTTGCAGTCATTGTTGACCCACCACAAGCCTCGAACCCGAGTTAATCACAACTCCACCTCTGAGTCTCCGGTAGCCTGTAGAAGTCTCAGTGGGGAGCGGTGGCTTCGTGATCCGAGTCTCATCTCACCCTCACGACCAAGATCATTGGCGAATATCTGATCCGGTCCTGGGACTTTCCTAGGTCGACTCGGCTTGCAATGAGTACCTGGGTCGTGTAGCCATCAGCGCTCGGGACACAAGGGCAGCTGAATGTGGTGTTAGCCACGTTCCCCTCCGTCGTATGACGGCCTTCATAGGCGATCGCGAACAGCACGATACGAGTGATGTTTGTCTTGAATGCAGGTCTATGTTCCGGTAGGCATGAGTCTCGAAGTCTAAGCAAGAGTTGCAGTCCAAGCCAGTGGGTCTCGATGTGAGGCTGGGTGTCTGTGAGAGTCGAGGAAGCTCGACGTGAAACTGAGTCATTGGTGGTGACCGTGCTTAGAAGGCAGCAGTGTCGTCACCGAGAGCAGGCAGTGGCTGAACTGCAGATGCGAAGCCAGGACCTCAGCGGGGCCAGCTCAGCACTCTGACCTCTGAGGCACCCCCCCCCCCCTCCACCAGTTAGTTCACAACCACGGCAAAGAGCCCAGCGCTGCATGCTCAACCTGCGATATTTACACTGCGTGCGTGTGTGTGTGCGCATGTATGTGCGTGTGTGTGTGTGCGCGTGTGTGTGTGCGCATGTATGTGCGCGCGTGTGTGTGTGCGTGTGTGTGTGCATGTGTGTGCGTGTGTGTGTGCGCATGTGTGTGTGCATGTATGTGCGCGTGTGTGTGTGTGCATGTATGTGCGCGTGTGTGTGTGTGCGCGTGTGTGTGTGCGTGTGCGAAAATCTGCGGGCAGGGCGCGGTGGGCGGGTTGGTTGCACATCTCGTCCGATCGCAGCTGCCCTCCTGCTCGTTATTGGCAGGGCGCGCTAATGATTACCCAGTTGGGGGGGGGGCTTGATCACTGACTGGTGGCGCCACGCGCGCGATACCAACCGCGTGACGCCGTGGAGGGCTACCCCAGTGGCCACTCGCCATAACCCCACATACCCCCCCACCCCCCGTGCCCTCGTAGGGGGGTGGGGGGACCGAGGAGGTGCTGCCGGTTATTAGCGACTGCGTGGCGCGTCTCGCGGTGATCCTCCTCGTGCTCCTCTCCCCGGTGGTGGTGCCCCCCCCATCACACACAGACCATGGACCCGGACGAGGTGGTGCCCCCCCCCACCGCGCTGTCTCGAGGCGCCCACGTGCGCAGCCTGGGGCAGTACGCCGAGCTGTACGCGAGGTCCATCCAACAGCCGAGTGCGGGAGGTAACAGACTGGACGACGGCGAGCCGCTCACCCACCCACTCACTCACCCTCGCACCCACTCACCCTCGCTCACCCACTCACCCTCGCTCACCCACCCACTCACCCTCGCTCACCCACCCACCCTCGCTCACCCTCGCTAACCCACCCACTCACCCTCGCTCGCTCACCCACTCACTCACCCTCGCTCACCCACCCACTCACCCTCGCTCACCCACCCACTCACCCTCGCTCACCCACCCACTCACCCTCGCTCGCTCACCCACTCACTCACCCTCGCTCACCCACCCACTCACCCTCGCTCACCCACCCACTCACCCTCGATCACCCTCGCTCACCCACTCACCCTCAAGCTGCCTCTGGTGTGGACCAATCAGTTTCAAAGACAATGCATCATATACTACCAGAGCGTATTTTTTAGTTTTGTTTGCATGTTCACCACAAGTCTATGTGGTTAATGCAGACAAGATTTCTTGCACAAGGTTTCAGTTTGGTGTTTTAACATCTCAACGCAACTGTTTTATTGCCAGAAAGGGTAACACCTATTCTTATGCGCTTGATGTTGTATCGCGGACGATGCCTCCCCACCGCCTGCTGAAGGTGGTGATTTGCCCACCATCTGCGCCAGAGTTTTGGAAGGAGATCGCGAGGGAGTTCCACTGGGAGCGATGGCCGCCGCAGGAGGACGTCCTCAGCTACAACTTCGACGTGCGGCGCGGCCGCGTGTTCGTCGAGTGGTTCGCCGGGGGGCTGACGAACGTCTGCTACAACCTCCTGGACAGGAACGTGCTGCAGAAGGGACTCGGGGGCCGCGTGGCCTTCTACTGGTACGCGGACGCACCGCCCGAGGTCGCCCTGACGTCGCGTTCTCGGCACGGCGCAGGGCGATGTCGATGTTTGTGTTGTTCTGTCGGTGCCGTTCTGTTGAACGAGGTGAGAGAGAAGTCAAGAGGCCGGGGTTAGAGTCTCAGTTGCAAGGGGTGAGCCCTGGGGTATGAGTGTGCTGGCAGTAGAGGGCCATGATTGATACTGCTGCTGCTGCTGCCGTGAGTATAATTGAGCGATTTGCGGCGCGGTTTTAGAATAAGGCGAATTTCGGCGGGCCCCTGACACCGGTACACGATGGCCAACTCTTGCGAGTCACATCAGGGGTGGGGGGGGGTTAATGTCCACTGCGAGTGAAGCTCACGGCGCGTCGTGGTGCGGTGGTTGGTGCCGCACTGCCCACGTGGCCCCGCAGTCGCGACCTCCCGCAGGTCGAAGATAAAAGCGGTGCGAGGTTGTTTACCTGTTTATTGTTGTTCATTTTAACCTTCAGCAGCGTTGCCAGCCAAATGGATCCTCTTTGTACCCCAGCCTCGCCAGCTGCTGTCGCTACAATTGATGTCCCTCCCAGACGCGGCGCCGTCGGCTCCAGGTCTCGATGGGATCTCGATACGAAGGCGATAGCGAGGTCGCCGCGGCAGCTTTTCAAACTGGGGCACCCCGTGGGGCGTTTGACCTCGAATATTGGTTGGTAGGAAGAGGCAAAGACCCCAACGTGATGTGGAGCTTTCACCGAGCATGACAATACATCAGTAGTTTGTCTAATAGCAACACCAAGAGTTATTCCCGCGGTGGACACTGCCTATGGTTAGAGTCTGCCTGGGGTGGACACTGCTCGTGGTGGACACGAGCAGCATGTGTCACCTAAGGTGCAAACCGTCCAGTAAGTAGTTGCGGTGCTCAGCTCTACGATGCGTTTCCAGGTCGTGCCGCGTGATGTTCGGCACCGCGTCCGACGCTTCGCTCCACGTGCCGGGGCACTTCCCGAGTATTCGTACGAATTCAGTTGGGGGGAGAAGTTCCGAGCGGCACGTGGAGTGAGGAGCCGCCCGCCACGCCATGCCGCGCTGCGTGGAATGGCGTGGTTTTAGGGCCGCGTCGGGCTTGGCAGCGCCGATCTCGCGGCCAGTGCCGGATGACGCGAGTGCGGGGCCTGTACCATTTGTTTTTATAAAGGGGCCATAAATAAATAAAAACCATGAATATTAAAACACAATTGTTTTACTTGCATAGTAAAATAATTGTATTTTTGCATTTGCTATACAGCCAGATAATACGACAAATCGCTAACCTTAAACGCCCAGCCGTTCATAAAAGTTGAAGGCAGTATAGTACTATGGTAATAGAGCAAGTGCAGAATCACTGAACCGGAATTGATAGCTTGAAAGCATTTACCGCAGGGCCCTTGAAAGTGCGGGGCCCGTAGCTACTACACGTGTAGCTACTACACGTGTAGCTACTACACGTGTAGCTACTACACGTGTAGCTACTACACGTGTAGCTACTACACGTGTAGCTACTACACGTGTAGCTACTACACGTGTAGCTACTACACGTGTAGCTACTACACGTGTAGCTACTACACGTGTAGCTACTACACGTGTAGCTACTACACGTGTAGCTACTACACGTGTAGCTACTACACGTGTAGCAACTGCTACACGTGTAGCAGCTGTGTAACTACGTGTAGCAGCTGTGTAACTACGTGTAGCAGCTGCTACACGTAGTTACACAGCTGCTACTGGGATAATAATCCGTCACTGCTCGTGGCCTCGCTGACTCGGCACGGGGCCGACTCGAGGCCCATTCGAACCTCCGCGCGTGTCTTTCAGGGAAGGCAATCGCCCTGACGAGAGCTCACAGATCACCTACGCCGAACTCCTCGCCGAGGTCTGCAAGTTTTCCAACGTTCTGCTTGCCAAAGGTAACCTGTCGGAGCGGCGCTCCTCGATTTGTTCATTTCGGCACTGCACTGCGACATTGATCGATGACTTCGTTTGGGTCAACGGAGAGCAACTCTTGGTGCTGTGGTGAAGGGTGCGGTGCTACGAGACGGTGTTTATACGGAGCGTGCCGCTGTGGTGAGCGGTATCGCGTGGCAGTGATTCACTGCTGTGCGCTGCTCCACTGCTGTGCGCTGCTCCACTGCTGTGCGCTGCTCCACTGCTGTGCGCTGCTCCACTGCTGTGCGCTGCTCCACTGCTGTGCGCTGCTCCACTGCTGTGCGCTGCTTCACTGCTGTGCGCTGATCCACTGCTGTGCGCTGCTCCACTGCTGTGCGCTGCTCCACTGCTGTGCGCTGCTCCACTGCTGTGCGCTGCTCCACTGCTGTGCGCTGCTCCACTGCTGTGCGCTGCTCCAGGCGTACGGAAGGGCGACCGCGTCGCCGTGTACCTCCCCATGGTGCTGGAGTTGGTGGTGGCCATGCTCGCCTGCGCCAGGCTGGGCGCCGTGCACTCCGTCGTGGTTTGTTATCCCACTCATCGCCACGGCCACTCACCACACTCACTCACCACACTCACTCACCACACTCACCACACTCACTCACCACACTCACTCACCACACTCACTCACCACACTCACCACACTCACTCACTCACCACACTCACTCACCACACTCACTCACCACACTCACTCACCACACTCACTCACTCACTCACCACACTCACTCACCACACTCGCTCACCACACTCACTCACCACACTCACTGAACACACTCACTCACCACACTCACCACAGTCATTCACCACAGTCACTCACACACCACACTCACTGGGCCACGGCGGGTGCAGTGGTGACACCGTGTGTGAGAGGGCCATGCGGTGGACGTGCGCTCTAACGAGCGACAGACGACCATGTCTCTGTTTTTGGTTTCCGTGTCGTCTGTGCGAAGTTTGCGGGGTTCTCTGCGGACGCTCTCCACGACCGCATCGCGGACTCGCAGTGCCGCCTCCTGATCACGGCCGGTGAGTCGCCGGGCCCACGGCTCCACTCGCACGTCGCACGCACGGCGTAGAGATGCCGGTCAAAGGGATGTCCTGAGCTGGTGGTGGAAATTCCTCGTGCCTATGGCAGGGGCTGGTCTGTCCGTAGGACGACCAATGCTGACTTCCTCATAACGTGGTATTCATATCATTGTCCCTGGAGAGATGATGATGGGCTGAGTCAACCCCCCAACCTGGGATGTGACCTCGCGACCTCGCGACCTCGAGCCGCTGGCGACCTCGTGACCTCGCGACCTCGAGCCGCTCGCTCTGCCGCCCGGCCACCGCGTGCCAGACGTCGCCTCGCCCGGCGTCACCAGCACGCGCCCGGCGGGAGGGCCGAGGCTGCGACCGGGGGGGTCACGGAGCAGAGGCCCCGCGCCCCCCCCCCCCACCCCGGGGCCCTGTTTGTAAGATGACAGGAGGCGGCCGCTCTGCGTCAACACGATCCGGGCGACAGGTGCCCGAGTGATCCGCTCGCTCTGGCCGACGTCTCGTGGATTTATACTCGCGCTCTCTCGTAACTCCGACCCGACCTTCGGGCGGTGGAAATGCAATTCATCAACTCTGGCTTCTCGCCTTCGCGAGTTTTCCGGTAATTAGCACGCGCCCAGGATGGTGAGTGATTGCCCAGAGACTGCTGCGAGAATTAAAACGAGGATCGAAAACGGAGAGGTTTTTGATGAGCGCAACGCAGAACGGCTCCAGCAGCGTTTACCGTGGGGAGCCAAGAACTACGATGCGGTGGGCCAGGCGGCAGCGACGGCGCTGCCGCTGCTGCTGCCGCTGCTGCCGCCGCCGCTGCTGTTGCTGCTGCTGCTGTCGCTGCCGCTGCTGCTGCTGCCGTTGCTGCCGCTGCTGCTGCCGCTGCTGCTGCCGCTGCTGCCGCCGCTGCCGCTCCTGCTGCTGCCGCTGCTGCTGCCGCTGCCGCTGCTGCCGCTGCCGCTGCTGCTGCTGCTGCTGCTGCCGCTGCTGCTGCTGGGCCTGCTGAGATTACGAAACGAGCAAGAAGACTCCCCCGTGGCGTCGCGAGTGATGAGCTCCAAGGCCATCATTGGCGAATGTGCATCGTCGGACGTGTGCGTGTGTACGTGTGTGTGTGCATGTGTGGTGTATGGTGCATCGGCCAGTCATCTCAAGTCAACCCATGGCACCTGGGTCTGTCCCGTGACCTCCTGCCAGCGGGCGTTGGATACTTCACGTGGCCTTAAAGTGCACGTAGCCTGGCACGAGCGTCGTGGTGACGTCACCGCCACTTAGTGGCGAATGGCGATTGTTGTATGTGTGTGTGTTGGGGGAGTGGTGGCGCAGTGATTAGCATACCGCGATGAGAAGCAAGGTGACCCGCGACTCCCGTTTATGACAAATACCTAAACCTGTCTTGGGCCTCCTCGAGGTCGACTCAGCCTTTAAGGGAGTACAGTATCTGACGCAGTGCAAAAACATCAGCACCGGGGAGACAAAAGCAGCCGGGCGTAGTGCTGGCCACCCACCTCCTCGTGTACCGTGCCGGCCTTCATAGGTGCTCGCTAACAGCACTTGCCCAAAGCGTCTGATCGCGGTTATACGGGGGATCTTTGCATGTGTGTGTGTGTGTGCGTGCATCCAGATGGATTCCATCGCGGGGACAAGTCGATCAACCTGAAAGAGATCGCAGACGAGGCCTTGAAGAAGAACGCGGAGGAGTGAGTGGCGCGTGCGGCGCTCTGACGCTGCTCCCATGACAGGCAGAGGAGATGAGCCCAGCATAGACTAGTGGTGGACGGAGCTGGATAAGAGAGATGCAGGCAATGTGGAGGGGAGATATGAATGAGCTTGTTTATGTGAATTAGCTCGCTAAATTTGTTCATATGTGAATTTGAGATGTTATCCGACGCGCCCGACACGTCGTCCGTGGACCCAGCACCCGTGGAGCTACTCGGCGCTCCGTGCCGCCACCGCCGGTGAACCTCGCTGGGTCACGGTTGGCTCCGCCGCCGCGACATCACCAGATCCGAGGGCTCCCGTGTGCCTATTTATGAATTAATGTGTGTTTGTTTACCCGGGAAAGCCTCACTGCGTCTCAAGGCTCTCTTTCGGCTGGCTCCTGCCAAGCTTTTAGAAATTTGCAGGATAATTGTTAACATTGGGATGTCACACATTGGGATGTTTGACCACTACCAGTCACACTGTATGTGAGCTGTGGGAGGAAGCCGGAGAACCCGGAGGGAACCCACGCAGAGCAGGAGGAGAGCGTGCAGACTCCACACAGCAAGGCTCCCGAGGTGGGAATCGAACCCAGGGAATTCTTGTCACTGGGTCCCTCTGGGCTCCAGGTGAGTGGCTTTAAGCGGAGTCGGCGTCTCCCTGGGGGCTCGCAGGGACGACGTGAAGGTGGAGCACTGCATCGTGGTGAGGAGGCTCGGCGAGCAGCAGAGTGGAGTGGCGAGCGAGGCCCCCGTGGTGAGCTCGCCGCCCCGCTGGGCCGCCGACGTGCTCACGCTCACGCCACGGTCCACACACGCGGCGGCAGACTTCGCAGACTTCGCGTCGCTACCACCCCGGTTGATGTTGCGGGTGCATCAACCCCGATCTCGTGTTGGCATCATCGTAAATGGCCGAATTTGGGTAAAGCCACATGGCAACGTCGCCTCCTTCTGCGAAACGACTGCGGACGTCACACCCTCCGTGATAGCCTCGCGCTCCGACAATGTGCTGGAAATTTAATGCCGTGACCAGTGAGCGTAGAGTCGTCATGGTTACAGCGAATTCACTCTGGCTGCGCCTAAAGCAGGAGGGGGAAGGTGATCTTGCGGATGCGTAAATCGGACGCGCGTCAACTGAAATCGACCGGGGTTTGAGCGCGTAGACAATGAGAGGCCAGCGCGGCGGTTCAGCAGCCGCCGCCTCCTCCACCGACGAACTAACGGGGCGAGGAAGACGACGGGCGATCGTGACGGGGCGCGGGGTTCCGTGCTGCCTCACCCAGGTGCCGTGGACGAGCGGACGGGACAGCTGGTGGCACGAGCTGATGCTCGGGGCGAGCACCACGTGCGAGCCCGCGTGGTGCGACGCCGAAGACCCGCTCTTTGTCCTCTACACCAGCGGCTCCACCGGCAAGCCCAAGGTGGTGCCCCCACGCGCCGGGTTTCGCGGTGAAACTCGGGCCCACGCGTCGCAGTCACGCAGTTTCCCCGCCGTCTTCTTCCTCAATGTCTTATTTGCTTGCTTAATTCAAGAAACCCGTGAACTCTTATCGATTCAACCTTCAATCGTGCTTTTGTTGCTGGCCGCTGGGCGTTGTTGAGCCTTGTTGGCAAGTGCTGCTGCTGCTGTGTGGAACAGAGGTCACTCGAAGGGGTCTCAGGGGTAGCTTTGCGATATCCGTTTCTGTGGGTCGAATTGATGCGTCTTCCTGCGCTGCTACGCTGGTTAAATATTGTTTGCGCCCGTTGGAAGTGTGTCCTCGAACTGTAAGGATCCCGGTGACGTCGTCGCGACGTCTTCCGCAGGGGGTGCTCCACACGACCGCGGGCTACCTGCTCTTCGTGGCCACCACGCACAAGCTCGTGTTCGACATTCGGCCGCAGGACGTGTACTGGTGCACGGCCGACATCGGCTGGATCACCGGCCACTCCTACATCGTCTACGGACCCCTGGCCAACGGCGTCACGAGCGTGCTGGTTCGACTCCCAACCTCCCTGCTCTCCTGCTTCATTGGCTCTTTGCTCGAGACGGCGCTGCATTCGCCTTGCGTCGCACAGGGACAGCTGCCACCGGGGGTCCCCTGAACGAGACTAAAAGCACCGCCTTGCGAGATGCAAGGCGGTGCTTTTAGTTGTGGAGGAAGTTACGCTGGCGCCGCTACGTCGGTGGCACGGCAGTTAGAGCACAAATCAGAACCGGCCCTGAACCTCCCCAAGGTCGACTAAGTAATAACCGTGGTGTTATAATAGCAGCATTTAGGGAGACAAAGGCGGCCGGGCGTGGTGCTGGTCACACCAGCCCCTCGTGTGCCGATCCCCAACCTTAAGAGGTGCTCGCTAACGGATACTGCCCCGGCTGTCCGCACGGCCAGAGGGGGACCTCGTGTGCACGTGCCGTGCTTGTGACAAGATCGGCCAGAACGCACAGCTGACCTCACGAAGCCTCGGTTCGCACCTACGATGAGCCATGGTTGGCTACATACGGTGCGAAAGAAGTTCACCATGCATCGACGCTCAGCGGGTTGGGCCCGGGTCGGTGTGTCGGGGATGCGGCGGAGATTAACGCGAGTGCCGCCGCCGCCGCCGTGTTGCCCCGCAGTTCGAAGGCATCCCGACGTTCCCGGACGCGGGGCGGTTCTGGCAGACGGTGGAGAAGTACGCGGTGAGCAAATTCTACACGGCGCCCACCGCCATCCGGCTCCTCATGAAGCACGGAGACGCCTTTGTGCTCAAGTGGGTCGCGCTCCGTCGCCGCCATTGGCAGCAGCATCCATTGCCTGCATCATCATCTTCGTTATAATCATCATCATTGATCCATACATCCATCATCGTCGTCACCATCGCCACAACCATGATCTTGTTAGCAGTGCCACTTTCAACCTTGTGCGGAAAGTTGTTTATTTTACGATTTTCCTTGCAGCACTTTGAAATAATTCCCAACAAATATCCAGAATTCTCAAGAATTCACCGAATCCTTCTAACGCTACCTCCTAACCTCACCTCATAACCCTCTCCGCTCACCATAACCCTAATCCTGTACGAAGTCCTCACTAGCGCTCTTGCGACGTTACAATCTACCGTCACCTGCACACGGCCTGATTTCGTCACTCTGTCTTCGCGGCGGCGTCGTTCCTTGGGCACATCACCGAGCACTCTCTGCCCTCTCCTCAGCGCCGTGTCACTGCGCGAGGTGGTTGTCGGAGCGCCCCCCCACCCCCACCCCGCCTCTCTCGCGAGACAGACACAGCCGCAGCTCCCTGCGAGTGCTGGGCACCGTCGGGGAGCCCATCAACCCCGAGGCGTGGCGCTGGCTCCACGGCGTCGTCGGAGGCGGCCGCTGCCCCATCGTCGACACGTTCTGGCAGACGGAGACCGTACGCTCGCGCCGCCGCACTCACTCAGCCACCCACTCACCACTCACTCACTCACTCACCACCCACTCACCACTCACTCAGCCATTCACTCAGCCATTCACTCACCATTCACTCAGCCATTCACTCACCACACTGCAGGTCACAACTACCCACCCACTCACCACCCACTCACCACTCACTCAGCCATTCACTCACCACCCACTCACTCACCACCCACTCACTCACCACCCACTCACCACTCACTCAGCCATTCACTCACCACACTGCAGGTCACAACTACCCACTCCCTCCCCCATTCACTCACCACTCACTCACCACCCACTCACCACACTGCAGGTCACAACTACCCACTCACTCCCCCACCCACCCACTCACCACCCACTCACCATTCACTCACCACCCACTCACCACACTGCAGGTCACAACAACCCAGTCACTCCCCCATTCACTCACCACCCACTCACCACCCACTCACCATCCACTCACCACCCACTCACTCACTCACTCACCACTCACTCACCACCCACTCACCACCCACTCACCACCCACCCACCACCCACTCACCACTCACTCACCACCCACTCACCACACTGCAGGTCACCACACTGCTCTTGCTGCTTCTTCCCTTGCACTGCTGCACTGTGGAATTCCGTCTTCCCATCGTCGCCTCTCTCCCAGCCCTTTACAGTAACATTGCTCAATTGAAAAACCCGGGTGAACTCTTATCAATTACAACTCTAACAGTGCTGTTTGTTGCTGACCGCGTGGCGTTTTGAGCCTCTGCTCAGCAATAGGGATTTAAAACTCCGTCTCAAAGTTGCTGTCGGTGGCGACGGTGCCGGTGACACCGTCGCACGGCCGGTCGAGATGCCTCCGCCACGGCCCCGTGGCACTGCGGCGCGTGACCCGCCACTGCCATCATCATCCTCGACAGCAGCTGCGATCGATCCGCCGCTGGATGAAGGCCTCCCAAATCCACTGCCGTCTCTCACGGCCTCGCGATGCCACAATCCTGCGCACGAGGCCGATGTCAACGCTGCATCTCTATAAAATCGAATCCCTTGGAATCCCTCTCCTGACCGGACGTCCCCTGCGTGCGTCTGCAGGGAGGGCACGTGCTGACGCCGCTCCCGGGCGCCACGCCGCTCAAGCCGGGCTCCGCGGTGAGCATCGCGGCGCCGGCGACGCGCGGACACGGCACCCGCATCACCGCGGTCGCGACGTCGCGTCGTGACGCTCGCGCTTCATCTCCGCTCCCCGCCTCTGTCCCCTCCGCTCCCCACCCCCCTCCCGTGCCCTCCGCTCCCCTGCGACGACGCCGCCGTGTCCCGGCGGCGTCCGCGTCCTGTCCAGACGCTGCCGTTCTTCGGCGTGGAGCCGGCGATCCTGGACGAGCGCGGGGAGGAGCTGGCGGGCGAGGCCGAGGGCTTCCTGGTGAGGCAACCCCCGTCGGCGCGACGAGGCGCCGGCCGCGCGGGGCGGGCGGGCGTTCGTCCGGTGGCGGCGGACACACACAGCGCGCGCGTGCGTCCCCCGCAGGTGTTCAAGCGGCCGTGGCCAGGGATCCTGCGCACGCTGTTCGGCGACCACGAGCGGCTGGAGGCGACGTACTTCGGGAAGTTCCCCGGTTACTACGCAACGGGGGACGGTACGCGACGGGGGACGGTACGCGACGGGGGACGGTGCGTGACGCGGCCGTCGACGGCGCGCCGCGATACAAAAAACCCGCCACTCCGGTTTGGGTTCCGCGCCGTGGCCGATACGAGCGGCAAACATCGGAATCGGTCCTGCGCATCCCCTCGGCCTTACAATAAGTACCTCTCGCTGTGCGTGGACATCGGCACTGAAGAGACGTGGTGCTGGCCACCCACCCCCTCGTTGTGCCGTGCCGGACTTCGTAGGTGCTCGCACTTGCCCCAACGGGTTTGTTTTGCGTCTTTGTGTGTGGATTGCAGGCTGCAGGAGGGATAAAGACGGATATTACTGGATCACGGGCCGCACAGATGACATGTTGAACGTGTCCGGTGAGCGTGCCGAGTCGTGGTCGCCGTTCCCTTCCACTGCAAATGATCGGCTGAGCTCCTCGCTCCGGCGGGCGCCTCCTCAGCGTTCTCTCTGCGGCTCGGACGCCGCACGGCCGCTCACTACGTTAGCCGCGAGGAGTTTCGTCGCGAGCGGTTGTTTTGACGAAAGTTAAAAGCGCTCGGCGAGTCGCCTCTCAGATACGAGCCGGGCTGCTCTCGAGCTTCCTAAACAAACAAAACACTTCCCAGAGGAGGTGGTCCCGTGGCTCAGAGGCCAGAGCTGAATTCCAGCTCTGAAGATTAAGATTTGGCTTTTGCTGGCATGAGCCTCTATCGCGGGGCAGGCGCGAACGTGCCGCCCTTTACTGCGTGGACCGGTGGCCACTAGGGAACGATCTCAGAGGCAACTCTACGATGTCCACTTCTGCGGGCCGTCGATCGATGGCAACTGCCTGGGGAGACCTCCTCCCAGTAGCCGCTCGATCGCAGCCGCGGCGCGATCGCCACGGCCGGGCGATCGCTCCGACTGGACGCTTCATCTCGCGCCCCGGACGACCCCTCGGGATCGCACGTCGACCCCCCCCCCCCCCCCGTTCCATCCCAGGCCACCTGCTGAGCACGGCGGAGGTGGAGTCGGCGCTGCTGTCCCACGGGTCCGTGGCCGAGGCGGCCGTGGTGGGGCGTCCGCACGCACTCAAGGGCGAGAGCCTCTACTGCTTCGTGACGCTCAACCACGGCCTGGAGCTCAACCCGAGCCTCGCCGCCGAGCTCAAGAAGCGAGGTGCCGCACCCACCGACCCTGAGTCCGTTTGGTTCGTAATTAGATGTCAACACGACCGACAGTCGCTTTTTCGCCCTGGTCACCCGCTCCGACACGCGTGCACGGTATCGTCGTCGTCGTCGGGGGAGAACGACAAACCCTCCCCTCCCCGAGAGAGACGCCAACTCCGCTAAGAGCCACTCACAGGGAGCTCGAGAGGAACGCAGTGACAAGAAGCGTCTGGGTTCCATTCCCAACTCGGGTGCCTCTCCATGTGGAGTTTGTTTGTTTTCCACGCTCCGCATGGGCTCTCTGGTTTCCTCCCATCGCTGAAAACAGACGAAATAAAGCCGATACAGACGCAGCTCCACTCTGCGTCTCCACGTGTAAATATCAATTTTTGAAATCCCTTGGCCAATTCGCTTTCCAGTCCTGTATTATCAAACAGAATGTGTTTAAGCTCGCATACTCTGGATGGGTTTCGGCAATCTGGGTCTCATCGGCAGTCAGGCTTGTTTACGTTTGGCTGCGTCAAATCGCAAATGGTGTGACGTGGTCGCGGCAGCGCTGATGGCCTGGGTTTCCGTCTCATCTCAAATCTGGGATAACGGCTGAAACCCGGCCGCCACAAGGTGGCGTTGGGATACAAATCGGAAGAGAGAGAGAGAAAGCGAGACGATATAAATAGAGATGGAGACCAGAGGGAGAGAGATGAGAGAGACGGAGGGAGACGGAGAGGGATGGAGAGTTGAGCGAGATGGCAGCGAGATCGATGGTCTCCGCTGTTGCTGGAGGCGTCGTCACGCTGGGCCCGCTTGGGAACGTCGTCACGTCCACTCGGCAGTGTCGCCCGAGCGAGCGTCTGACCGCCGCGTTTGTGTTGCAGTGAGAGAAAGGATCGGTCCGATCGCCACGCCCGACTTCATCCAGAGTGCGCCGTCGCTGCCGAAAACGCGCTCAGGTAAGGCGCGGCGGGAAACGCCTCTCCCGCTGACTTGGGTGCGCGTGCACCGCGTGTCTCCCCCCTCGTTCTCGGCTCTCGTCGACAAGCTGCAACAAAAGGCACCGCTGGCTTTTTTTCGGCAAACGACGAGTTTGAGCGTTGACCCCTCCCCACCTCTCCCCCTCCCCGTTGAATAAATCTTCCCCACAGGGAAGATCATGAGACGGTTGCTGCGCAAGATCGCGCAGGACGACTCGGACTTTGGGGATTTGTCGACGTTGGCGGACCCAGCGGTGGTGCAGCTGCTCTACAGCTCGCGCTGCGTCAACGGCCACTAGAGCCAGCGTGGAGAGACACCGCCCAGAGACACACAGAGACACACAGAGAGACACAGACACACAGAGACACACAGAGATACACAGAGAGAGACCGCCCAGAGACACACAAAGAGACACAGAGACACACAGAGCACAGAGACACACAGAGCGACACAGAGACACACACAGACACACAGAGACACACAGACACACAGAGAGACACCGCCCAGAGACACACAGAGAGACACAGAGACACACAGAGCACAGAGACACACAGAGACACACAGACACACACAGAGCGACACAGAGCACAGAGACACACAGAGACACACAGAGATACTGCCCAGAGACACACAGAGAGACACACAGAGCACAGAGACACACAGAGACACACAGAGACACACAGAGCACAGAGACACACAGAGCACACAGAGACACACAGAGGCACACAGAGACACACAGAGACATACAGAGACATACAGAGACACACAGAGCACAGAGACACACAGAGACACACAGAGACACACAGAGACATACAGAGACACACAGAGCACAGAGACACACAGAGACACACAGAGACACACAGATCACAGAGAGAGTCTGGGCCGTGGAGTGTGAGAGTCCGGCGAACGCGGAAAGCCGGAGTACGGGGTGGGAAAGGAAGTTGGAGCAAGCGGCAGCGGGGCAGCAGCTGCGGCAGCAGCAGCAGCAGTAGCGCTTCCTGGACGAGCAGGGTGGAGTCCTCGTGCCACAGCGGTGGAGCTCAGCGCGCGACTTCACCACGTCCATGCCGGCGGCGTCACTGAAACTGAAGCCACCCAAAGGGCATCCGCAGCATGACCCGGCATGAAAACAATTGAATAAACGATCTCGATGAGAACCTGACGGTTTTTTTGCGGTTGTGCTGTTGCGGAGCGTTGCGACGGTGTTTCAGGTCGTGCCGCGCGATGCTCGACGTCAAGTCCGACGTTTCGATCGCCGCGCTGGGAGCTTTTTATTCGGAGCGAGACGACGGAACGTCGTGCCGAACGAGAGAACCCATCGGAGCGCTGGTCCGGAGTTTATATTTGACAGCGAATGTTGCTCGGGATGGTTGCGCTGCATGTGCTGCTCTTGTTCCTGGGTGGCGGCTCTGCGATAGAGACAGAGAGAGAGAGAGACGGAGAGACAGAGAGAGACAGAGAGGGGAGAGGAACGGCGAGAGGCACGGCCGGCGCTGCGGCTCGCGCCCTGCGGCGGCTGACCTCCGGTGGGCCCGGGTCAGGGGGTCAGGGGGTCAGGGGGTCAGAGGGGCGCACGACACAGTCGATGTTAATCGTCGGATGAGGTGGGAGGATCGAACAAACGTCGTGATTCTCATCGCACTCGACCCAGGAAAGCTCCACCGAGGCTCACGACTCTTGCCAGGAGGGTCCTGCCAAGGTCACGCAGGAGGGGGCGACGATCGCCAACCGTAAACAGTACTCCCATGTAAGTGTTTGGAAGAGTTGCAGATTTGAATGGGGAGGTGGCATGGAACCGGTGCACGCGAGACATCACGCCTCCACCACCCAGTTTAGTCTCGACGCCAGAGGGAACAGACGGGGGCCCCTATTTTAGTGGCCGCGATGTCGCCCTCCATTTAGCCGGCAGCAGCACTGGGCTAACTCTGTCGCTTCTACTTTGGCCACCACCACCACCCCCCCCCCCCCGAGGGGATCGTTTCCACCGCGGGGTGGGGGGGAGAATGTGACCCCGGCTTTGTGCGTCGCTGGGAGCTCGCGACAAAAGCGCCGCGGCGCGAGAGTGGAATCGACGCCGATGTGGAAACGGTGTCCGCGCGTCACTCCGCGCGCGTGCCGCACGATCCCTGTGCCGCGCACTCGCCACTTTACCCGGTCACTCGCTCACTCCCTCTTCTTTCACTATTACCACGATGACTGGTCCAGGTGAACTTCACCGATCCCTCCTCTCATGTCGAGGACTATCGGGCTGTTGTTGAATTCATCTCAACGTGTACATCCACCAATCCTGCAGGCCACAACAACACACCCACTCACTCACCACACGGTAGACCACAACAACTCACGCACTCGCCACACTGTACGTCACACCGCTCCTTCTGCTCCATCCCTCGCACCACTTTGGAATTCCGTCTCATCGTCTATCTTCCAAAATTCTTACGCAACTTTTCTGAATGCAATAGTCGTGTGAACTCTTGTCTACCACAACTGCTGGCCCCTTGGCATGTGGTGCCTTCGGGCCCTGTGCTGGGCGGCCGTGATGAACAAAGAGAGCGCTTTGTGGGCTTTGTTGGCGCGTGCCAACAAAGCCACCTCGGCCCACGCACAGTAGAGTGGGTCGAGGTGGCTGTGGGCTGGTTTTGGTGCTCGCACTGCGGCGGCTGCGTGAGAGGAGAGGCGTCGAGGCGGCGTCGCTGCTTCACATTTCCGTTTCGGATGAGGGGGTCCGCAAAGCCGTGCCGGTGGCCGCTTGTGGCCGTCCCGCGTGACCCGCTCGCGACTTCCCAGACGCCGCGAGGAGGGCCCCGGGGGTGGGGGCCGTGCCACCCCTTGCACCGGGGCTGCTGCCAACCGGCTCGCGTGACTCTTCCGCCACCACGTTCGTTGTCGCGTCTCGGCGATGTCGGTTGGGGGTGGGGGCGGGACAGCGTTGGGCCGAACGGGAATAAAACCCCGCTAATTGTTCACTCGTTGTAGCGCCAAGACCGCTAATTGCTATTTACCATTAACACCAATTACACAGTTAATTTCGAGACTAAATTCGAACTTTTTAAGAGCCGTTTAAATGAAGCTGTTAAACATCTCAGCATGGATTTGTGAAGCTTAAAAAAAAGGACGAGTGCTCTTCAGCCTTGGAGAAAGTGACGTTTTATTTTTTAATCTTAAAACATACGAGAGATATGTGTGCAAGTGATTTCGGTAACAAATCAGTGTTCATACAAAAGAGCATTATCCATCTGCGGATCGGTGTTCTGCACATGATGGCAACTTTGTGGTTCACAAACAATCACAACACGTTGGTCAATAACACTGTTGGCCTTCACAGGAAAAGTGTGTGGTCTGCTATGTGCCATCACGTAGGGCCATTTCCCGCAACGTCACCCATTATATTCGTCCTGTACCGACGACAACGTTGAGTTGTTTGTCGTTTGTGCACCGCTGCCGGCGTGGAGTGACCGTGGCGGCGTTGGGGAAATCTTGCGCCGAGCGCGAGGACGCCGACGCGGCGCCGTCGGGCGCCTCACAGCGCGAGCGAGCGAGCGATTCCGCCCACGCGGCCACTCGTTCACCACTCGTTCACCACTCGTTCACCACTCGTTCACCGTCGGTGGACGTAAACGCTTCGTCACCGGTGCGAGCGCCACACCTGGCTGCTGTCCTCCAGGAGGATCTCCAGGACGAGCAGAGGGTCGTCTATCCGGTGCGGTGGCGCCGGGGCCGCCGGGACCGCCGGGGCCTGTGGATCGCCGGGCGGCGCCGACACGGGGCGCGGAGCCCAGCGAGACGGGGGCCGCTGGCGGCACGGGCGTGCCGGCCGGGGGAAGTTGGACTCGAGCGACGGCGCCGGGTGCGTGACCGCCACGGATGTCTGCGGGGGGAGCCGGCACGGGGAAGGGAGAGACGGCGTTAGCATCGTCGTAATCGCGTCGTCGTATCGCCTCGGGGACATGCCAACAGAAGTAACAGTCGTGTCAAGATACATTGACATGCTAATCTCTGACACAGGCACCGTTGCTCGTGTCCTCGAGGTGGCGGTGGCGCTGCGATCTTACATTGACTTGCTCATCTCTTAGTACAATGGCCACCTCCATGCCCTCGTCGTGGAGGTAGCTCTCCGATCTGACATTCACATGCAAATTTCTCACTTTAACATCAATAGCCCCGCCCACTTCGTTTATGACCCTTGGGCGACACCCATTTAAAACCTTTAGAAACAGGCTGTCTCAGCAGCTTTCCCCCTCTTTTTCTCCTGATGACGATTGCTTGTGTTGCGATCGAAACGTCGTGATATTTTTCTTATTTTTTCTATCTAAGTGACTTTACCGAAAGACCCAAAGAATATGAATTCCTGCAGTCACGAAAGCTTTAAGTCAAGATTTAGTCGTGTCATGGTTTAAGCAACGAGAAATGTATTACGATTTCTTCTACAGGATCACCTGGATAGCACCTGAATGGGCGATCACCATGATGCATTTTGGGCAGCCGAGAGCAGTTGTACTCCATGCTCCTCACCTTCACTAAATCTCGCAGACCAGCGTGGTGAAGTATGGTCAAGTGGCATGGGCAGACCTTCATCCGTTGGTGGATTGCAAATGGCTAGAGGTTATTTTGAGCCACCTGACTCTCACGACTCCCAACAAGATGGCTGGCAGAAGCTCACATGAGTAGCACTTCGTGAGGAAGTCAACAGTGGCTCTCTTATGGATTGCCACGCCCCCACCATTAGAATGTGGAATTTCCACCATTGGCTCAGGGCTATAAATGGAAAATGAGAACCGATGCCCGAATGCTGATTTGAGCAGCAGCAAAATCTCGTGGTGCTACAGGACGAGTGTGATTCATATCACGGTGAGCTGTGGGTGGATCCTTGCCAGGGGCTGAGCTGTGCCGGGCGCCGCCAGCTGCCACCGCTGCCACCGCTGCTCGCCGTGGCGATCGGGGACGGGCGCCCGGTTTGCGGGGCCCGGCTGCTTCCCCACCGCGATCGGCTTCGCCGGCTCCCGCTCGCCGCCCGGTTCTCCCTCCGCCCCGCACGCCCAGGCCGCGCCATCCGGCGCGCCGCCCAGGATCCTCCGAATGACGCCGAAGTTGGAACGGGACTCTGCCGCCCGCGGCCGTGCCGTGGCCCGCCCGGCCCTTCCGCTGTCTCCCGGCGAGGACGCGCGACCCGCGAGTCGCACGCCGCCCTCCAGTTGCCCCGGCAACGACACGGCACCTCCGCTCGTCGGGGTCCCGCGCTGGAACAGCGCGATGTCCCCGGCCACGTGGCGTAAGCTGTTCCGGGGGTGCGCGTGCGAATCTGCGTTCGTCTCGCTCCTGGCCTTGCTCTTCTGCTGGAGGCTCAAGAGCCGCTGCTTACAGGAGGCGCTGAAGAGTTCCGGCAAGCTCTGCCCCCGGTTGCCCTTGGGAGAAGCCGTCGCTCCGGTGCTCTTCTTCCCGTCGCCACTTCGGTAGAACTTGGAGAAGTCTACGATCTTCACGTACGTGTTTCTACTCCCACTGACGCCACCGTGCCACGCCGCTCCTGACGATGTACCCTCGCCCTCGCCTCTGCGCGCGCTCCACGCCACCGCCGTGGTGATGTCGCCACGCTCTTTGGCAGTGGGTCCAGCGGCGTCATCGCTCTCCTCACGCGAGGCCGCGCCGGCGAATGCGCCACGTGTCGGGTTCGCCGCGGCGCGCCGCGCATTGACAATAGCCGACTTGTGCTCCGCGACCATCCTCCGGAACGCCGCGTCGCTGCCAAACTCTGTCGGAGCGGCGCCGCGCGTGGCCGAGACCCGCGTCTCGCTCACCGCTCGCCGCCCTTCCGTGCCGGCGGAAACGGACGGCGGCCGCGAGGCCGCCCGGGCCTCCGTGCCGAAGCTCGCCTCCAGCTCGGCCTGTGGGGTCTTGCTCAGGTCGCACGAGCACCGAACTCGCGGACCGTCGAGCTCGTTCACCCGCGGCACCGCGGCATTCTGGGATGTGGCCGGTGCGCTTGCTCGGACCGGGCCACACTTTCCCGACAGACCGTCTGGCTCGGCGCCGCCGGACGTCGTCGCCAGGTCACCCGAGGAGGAGGAGTTGTCGCCGGGCGACGGGGGCCATGAGGTCGTCCTGGGCGGCACGGGGGGCGCTCCAACCCAGAGGTGGCGCGGCTCCCCCGTTCCCGGCATGGGGGGCGACTCGGCGATGCTGTCGAGGTCGAGCGAGTTGCACCAGTTGTTGCGCCGTTTGTTGGTCTCGCTGGGGCGCCGCTTGCTGCTGGCGCTGGGCGAGTGGAGCAGCGATGCAGTGGATTGGGCCCTGGCCGGCTGCCAGGAGACCAAGGGGGAGCCCTGCTCCAAGGTCGCGGTCGCAGATTTGGGTCTGGGGAAAGAAGAAAAGGGTGATGGGAATTATGTATATTCTTATTATTTTAAAGACAATTTCTGACAGAGAGCCTATAGGTCCAAATTGTCATGCTGTCAGCAACAAACAGCATGGTCAAAGTTGTTAATCAATGCAGGTATAACACGTTTCACGAATTGAACAAGGTTGAGAAGTTTGATCTCCAATGTGTTCACGGGTCGTACCGTGTGTGGCTTAGCAACACTACCGCCCGTGGGGTGAAACGTCGGACATCGTGCTAAACAGTATATGGGACAACCCGAAAACGCATTGGAGAGCCCACATCCAGGGGTCTTCATCCAGGAGAGTAAAGACTACGGCCAATTGAGTTAATAACCGCAAAGACGGTAGTTTCTGAGCGGTGATGCTGCGTGGATCATGAGTTAATGTGGCCTGACCCGAGTGGGCGTGCCGCGTGGTGAGCTGAGGGAAGTACCGTGGTGGTCGGGCCATCCTGCGCACCTCGTCCTGGTAGCCGCACAGCTCCTGGCTCACCCTCGTGATCTCGCACAGCGCCTGCGTGGCCGACACGACACCGCCCGCGTCTCGTGTTGGTTCTCGGCTTTGAAAACGACGCCAGGATCTAAATGACCCAACGGCGGGATTGTGTTGGCAGTGACGCCCACGCTCGAGCTCCCCACGAGCCGCCGCACCTGACGTCCACAGGCCTACGCGCTCAGTTCACAATGTCTGAGGATGGAAATACAGGGAGTCATGCAGAGTGGCCACCACACCTGCCCCGCTAAATACTCTAAAAACCTACACGGTCCAAAATTATACGTGTGTACTAGTATTTGTACACACAGCCTGCGATTACTTTTCCTGTTGTGTACAAGTACAGCCCTTTTGTAAATCCACAATGTAATCAGCCACGTGATTACATCGTGTTAACGTCCGTTGAGAGTTCACCACCGAGCGTGCGAGCCCCGAGGCGCCGGCCGTGGCCGCCACCGGCGCGCGTCGTCACCTCGTTGAGGCACGAGCTCCTCGCCCCCTCTCCCTCGTCGCCCCCCCTCGCGGCGTCGTCTCCGCCCGCGGGCGCCGTCGCCTCCAGGTCCCTGAGCACGTCGGACACCAGCGCGTCGAGCAGCGCCTCGGCCTCTCGCTCCCTGGCGCCCGGCGTCCCCGGCGCCGCGCCCGAGGCGCCCGCGGCGACCTCGCGCCCTCGCGGGGGGCGGCCCGACGTGGACTCGTCGCCCGCCTCCGCTTCTGGGACGTCCTCCAGCGGGGACCTGGCCGGGGGGTCTGGCCGGCTCGGCGAGAAGCTGTCGCCGAAGCCGCTGTCTCGGAAACGGATGTCTCTCTGCAGCTGCGGAGGCACGGAGGGTGCGGGAAGAGAGAAGTTCGCCACCCGTGCCCAGGGGATGCAACGGTCGTCCTCTTGCAGAGGAAGGTGCAGCCCGAGCAGGGGAGAGCTTTACTGGATGCCTGGCGGGACCTTGCAGCTTGTTGATGGCCAGGCAGAGGTGGCCATGTTACAAAAAGTTAAATGTGCAGCGTAACTGGCATTGGCCAAACGTCCCATTGCTGACCTGCAAAATATTAAACTGGGATTGGACATAGCAACATCGCTCTCTACTGCAGAAATCTGGCAGAAGCCCCCTACCAAGTAGCGCTTCCTGGACAAACAAAGTGTAAATTATTTAACAATAATAAAGCGGAGAAATGGCATCACAGAGGTCGGAGGTCACGATTGGACAGGAGAGGCTAGGGAAAGGAAGCAATGGGAGAGAATGGGGGATGCCTTTACCCGGCGGTGGGGAGTTACTGATCGATAACAACAATGACCCAAGAAATGCCAAACCCTGTCGACGCCAGTGGGCGCGGGTCGTCGTGCCTGCTCGACGCGGCGCTGCATGCGGCGCAGCTGCAGCTGCCAGTCGCGCCGCTCGCGCTCCAGACGCTCGGCCAGGTCGCGCCGCTCGCGCTCCCAGCGCCTCTCGCTGCCCTGCAGCTGGCGCCGCAGGTCGAGGGCGGCCCCGTGCGTGTCGGCCAACAGGCGCCGCTGCTCGTCGCGCTCGAGCTGGGAGGGCGGCCGCTCGGGGCCGTCGCTCTCCTTGGCGCCGCAGGCCCCGTCCGCCAGCGGGGAGTCGGTGCGCGCCTCCAGCTGCGCGCCCGTTCGGAGGAGACGGAGGATGGAGGTGGAGTGGGGGAGAGGAAGGGGAGGACATCGTGACTGCCACGCTCATCGCCCACACCCCCGAATGAGGCCACATCAGCCCAATACTCGCATCCCTCCACTCACTCCCAGTCCAGAATCTATTTTAAGATTGCACTCACCATCTTCAAGATGCTGCATGGACTGGCTCCTGCCTACATCTCACCTTACTCTTCTCCGTCCACACACACTCTCCGCTTTAGACACCAAGGCTTTCTGTCAGTGGAAGGTCGCTCATTCTCCACTGCTGCCCACATGGTGTAGAACTCACTTCCCCCAGCCACCCGCGCTGCCGACTCCCTGCCCCTGGATAAATACAATTTGCTCTACGAACCCGGCAGCTCCAGTTCTATTCCCGCTCACGGCCAACACCAGTGAAAATTATCTGCACCGGTTATCTGCACCGGTCCTGGGCCTCCCCTAGGTCGACTCAGGTTAAAATGAGTACAGAACTTGGTGTGGTTTGTAAACATCACCACGAGGGCGTGTTGCTGGCCAGCCATCCCCTCTTGTGCCGTGCCGACCTCCGTAGGTGCTCGCTAACGGCACTTGCCCCAACAGTCTGTCGAGGCTACGCGGGGGATCTTTGTCTCGCGTCCCTCGTGGCTCACGGTGGCGGTCACTCGCCTGCGTGAGGCGGCCCCTCAGCTCGGCGCGCTCCGCGTCCCAGGCGGTCTTGTCGGAGTGGTAGCGTCCGCTCAGCTCCCCCCTGCGCTGCTCCGCGCCCCTGAGGTCCAGCCGCAGCTCCTCCAGCTGCTGCCTCAGCTCCAGCAGCAGCCGCCGGTTCTCCACGGCCTGCGCCACCGCGGCCGCCACAGGCACCCGGCCAGGTCGGTGAAACGACGGCGACGCGGGGCGACGAGGCCCTCCGGCTGCGCCGCTCGACTGCCCTGGCCGTGTCGCCGTGCGCCAGCGGCTGGTTGATGGCCGGGCATGTCGCTAACAACCTCCCGTCACGATCCTCCCCGTCTTATATGATCTCACGTTGACTGTTACACAATGTAGGTGTGCATGTTAATTGTGTACGTAGGCTATCAAGACCCATGTTGCGAGTCATAGTTACGTTTCGGTTGCGTCGTGTTGGTATCACGCCAATGTTCAGCTACTCGACAGAGCCAATCATATGAAGGCATCACGTGGCCACATACTGTGTGCCCATTGACTTCGTTTTTAAGCAAATTGGAATGTTGAAAAGCAAGCACACGTGTGGCCACGAGTGCAGATTGCCTGCTGTGGAGCATGGAACATAAACACTGACACTGAACACGAAGGTGTCACAGCAATGAGAGATACTTCCTCGTGGAGACACGTGGAGCAGGAGTCAAGATTGGACCCAGTGACTGTGACTGTGGGCAGGACACCAACAGGAGGGGCGATGGAGCGGTGGCTGAGATTCGCGGCAGCCAGCGGCAGGGGCGTGCCCGATAGGGGACGCGCACCACGGAGATGGAGCGATGAAATCGACGACGAAACGTGCAGGGGGTTTACATCGCGAGGCAGTGTGAGATGGCGATGGGAAAAGCGTGACGAAGGTGATTGTTCCTGTTCAGCTTGAAGTTAATGTTGCAGCGGTGTCCCGAGACGGATCTTTAAATGGATCGTGATGCGACTGGTGTTGGTCATTCCCTTGATGGCGTGTGCTCGTTTTTCACCAACTTAACACCTTTGTTGAATCTGGAGGGCGAAGTGCATGAATCAATGGCAACGCTGGACCGTGGCGGCACGTGTGCGCGCTGGGTGGTCACAACACGCACACGTGAATTCACACACACACACGTGAATTCACACACACACACACGTGAATTCACACATGTGAATACACACACACGCACGGTGTGACTGGTGGGAGACAAACATCCCAGTGCTGAAAAATCACCCGCAAATTACTCAATTGGGATCAAAACAGCAGCAGCAGCAACAACAACATGCCTCCCCAGCTCATTGTCAAATAATACTTAGACTCGGCGAGGCATTCCTGGGTAAACAAGCGAAATAAAACAATAGGTACATCCCTCAGTCATTCCACTGCTGGACGAGTAACTTTCCAAGCCCATGCGTTTCGGTGCGGATTGAAAGATGGCGAGTATAGACATGGACGCATAGAAGTACAGTGCAATGCACTTTGCTGCCACTGCCCTCTGCTGCTCTTCACGTAGCCCCACAGTCCTATAGCACATGTTATGCATGGTGGTGACGCACCTATCCAAGCACTATCCATGCGCAACTTTGCTTAGCTTCCGAGATAGGAAGATATGCGCATTGCGGCCGATTTGGTCAGAGCGGGAAAGTTGTTTTAATGTAAAAAAACATTTCCGGTAAATCAGGATTCATGGTTATGCGGTTGTGAAGTGAACCTCGTCAGTAGTGATCTACGGAGAGAACATTAAAACACTCCTCTCTGCCTACGCTAAAGCATCACCCAAGTGGTAACGTTGCTATGTGAACATGAGAGCATTAAAAAGCACGCGGCTTCTGCAAACACCGCGTTGACCCGACGTCTTGCAAGGGGTGAAAGTACCCACACTTTACCCCACCACACGCGGCCTGCAGATCCATTGGCTGAGGTGAGCCCAGGCACACGGCTGGGTGGACAGAGGCATTTGGGGAGGCTTTAAGGAACGTGCCACCATCGTTCTAGCTGCCGCGCAGGGAGATCGATTCGGCGACCTCTGCACTGCTAATCCAGTGTGCTGACTGCTACACTGATTTTTCTAAAAGCCAATTTATTTTCCATTGCAATCTCCTGCAAGTGACCGCGATAGTCTAATTTGCAAGACAGACCTGGGGCATTCGTCTGCCAGTAGGGGGCGATAATTGTCTCCGTGCGTGCAGTGGAATCCCGATTGAGAAGTTTGTGACGCAATTTTCGAATGAGCCAAATTTTAATCGTTGTTTGTGAGAGACGGAGAGCTTTCCATTTTAACTGTGTTGATAATTTCCGTGCCACAAGTAAACCATTAAATCCGAATTCGAGAAGGAGCTGAGTACTGAGAGCGAGGGGGATGAGAATTTGTGGCCGGAGAGGCGGAGCTCATCACCACCGACGGCTCCTTCAAGCGTGGCCACGACAGCGAGGGCGGGACGCGCCACGCACCAGAACCCAACTCGGACATCGCAAGACGCGGCGTCGTGCGCAACCACGTCGCTCCATGTGCTCACGTGTATCTCGGCCACCTCCCGCAAGAGGACCTCCTTCTCCTTCAGCCACAGCAGCTTCTCTTGCTCGTAGCGCTGCTTAAGCTCCTCAAACCTCTTGCGCAAGCACAGGTGGTGGTGGCACATCTCCTGGACGCTCCCGCCGGGCTTGTGAGCTCCACACTTCGATGAAGTCGCATGGCCCTGCGTCCAGTCTGGCCTCCCGGCGGCGTGGTGGCTCTCCGCCGTGACATTCAGGGGGCTCCGACTGCGCTCCCTCAACCCCAGCAGCGGCCTGGCTCCGCATCGCTCCTTCGCGTCAGAAGCCCTCGGGCGCACGGCCCCACAACGCTGAGCCATCTCCTCCACCTCGCTTCCAGCCGGACTCCTCCATGACGATAACATCATCTGGGTCACGCACTCCTCGCGCAAACTGCCGACCCGCGCCGCGGTTTGGACGTCTCGCGCATACTTCTCGAGGGCTTCGGCAAGAGGACCTGCGCATCTCCGGCTGGATCTCGTCTTGGGCTTCGAGATCTCGCCGCGTGTGCCGACTCCAGCAGAAGTCCCAGGAGAGGCGGCTACCGCGCGTCGTCGCGATGTGGCATCCAGATGACGGCTGCCCGTGACTTGAGCCCGTGAACCTGGCTACCAAAATAGACTTTAAATGAAGAGCGCCGTCTCTTTGTTTTTAAATCTCGCACGGGACGAGAGAAGGTCGAGCGGAAAAGCTCTGCGACGGTCTGAGAGCACCGACACTCGACGTGAGGTTGACGGGAAGTCGCGACGAGGCCGCGCGTTTATAGCAACGTCCCCCCCCGGGACGGGGAGGGGAGGAGGCAACGTGCGGTGGGGCTGGAGCCGTAATGTCACCAGGCGCGCGGGACGACGAGTGTGAGTGCGCGCATGGGGGTGGTGTGTGTGCATGGGGGTGGTGTGTGTGTGTGCATGGTGGGTAGTGTGTGTGTGTGTGTGCATGGGGGGTAGTGTGTGTGTGCATGGGATAGTGTGTGTGTGCATGGGGGGTAGTGTGTGTGTGTGTGTGCATGGGGGGTAGTGTGTGTGTGTGCATGGGGGTAGTGTGTGTGCATGGGGGGTAGTGTGTGTGTGTGTGCATGGGGGGTAGTGTGTGTGTGCATGGGGGTGGTGTGTGTGTGCATGGGGGGTAGTGTGTGTGTGTGTGCATGGGGGGTAGTGTGTGTGTGTGCATGGGGGGTAGTGTGTGTGTGCATGGGGGTAGTGTGTGTGTGTGCATGGGGGGTAGTGTGTGTGTGTGTGCATGGGGGGTAGTGTGTGTGTGTGTGTGTATGGGGGGTAGTATGTGTGTGCATGGGGGGTAGTGCGTGTGTGTGTGTGGGGGGTAGTATGTGTGTGCATGGGGGGGAGTGTGTGTGTGTGTGTGGGGGGTAGTATGTGTGTGCATGGGGGGTAGTGTGTGTGTGTGCATGGGGGGTAGTGTGTGTGTGTGCATGGGGGTAGTGTGTGTGTGTGCATGGGGGTAGTGTGTGTGTGTGCATGGAGGGTAGTGTGTGTGTGTGTGTGCATGGGGGGTAGTGTGTGTGTGTGCATGGGGGGTAGTGTGTGTGTGCATGGGGGGTAGTGTGTCAGTGTGTGCATTGGGCAGTGTGTGTGTGCATGGGGTAGTGTGTGTGTGCATGGGGGTAGTGTGTGTGTATGTTTGCATGGGGGTAGTGTGTGTGTGTGCATGGGGGTAGTGTGTGTGTGTGTGTGCGCATGGGGGTGGTGTGAGTGTGTGCATGATTGGTAGTGTGTGTGTGTGCATGGGGGGTAGTGTGAGCGTGTGTGGCACGGGTAGGATGCCACATGGGAGCGAATTAGCGAGACTAAAGATAGCGAGAACCCAACTGGGTAGTGGTCTGGCCCAGTTGTAGGGGGTAGAGAGAGACGACTTTGCCGCTGTTTCCATGACCTGTGCATACAAAATAGAGCCGGGATATCCGATGATTTAAGCAATCGAATATTACCTACCGATTATGGGTTCAAATTTCTCGTCCAATCGTTGAGGAAAAATAAAGTCTCGATTTGTGGATTTGCGATCATACTATCATCACCCTGGAATGTCCTGAACGCTCGTGGCGTCACTCCACATCGACCAGCCCCCTCATTAATATTCATGAGCAGGTGACGTCACTCCACATGGAGCACCGCCCCCCTCATTAATAATCATGAGCAGGTGACGTCATTCCATCGAACAGCCCCCCTAATTAATAATCATAAGGTGACGTCATTCCACATGGGGGGGCAAGGCGCCTCCTCCCCCCTCCTCGGCGTCAACTCACAACCCTCACGACAAAGGCAGAACCCTCACGTCACGTGATCTCCGTGACGCTGTTGAGACATCGAAGTAAAAAGAACGTCGTGATGAACACGGGATTATAACTTTACATGCAATACGTCTGTGTCACCGCGCCCTTACAGATTGCACACGCATTGATGCAATGAATATCTCACGTCGCGGTCTGCGTTTTGCTTGCAAGTTTCAGATTTACTGCCATACACCCGTCCTTGGTGGTTACTCTACCGATTATCGGTTCGATTCGTTCTCGACTCATCTGATAGCATGGACGTAGGTGGGGAACAAACATCCCCGCCTCTCTTACCTAGTTGTGCCGCTGGACGGGGCGTGATGGGCGTGGCTTGGTGATTTGAAGCAGTCGATTGTAATTATTGTTAAATCAATCGACTGCATTGTCCAATCATCCCATCTCGAATGATAATGATGAAGAGTCTTACAGCTTTTCGTCAATCCACTGCTGGATGAAGTCCTCCCACGCTGTGTCGGACGTGGGGGGGGGGGGGCGAGTCGTTTGACCATACTTCACCACGCTGGTCATCGTGGGGTGGTGAAGGCGTTGGGCCCTCCGAGTGGCCGCGTGGAACGTGAGCCGCACTAACGTCGCCTTCATGTGTCCACGTGCACGCGGCCTGTAGGAGATGCGAGTGTGTAAATATAGAGGCGCGTTTCCCACCGACGGAGGAAGCTAAACGCCGAGAAGCATCACTTGAGAACGCGGCTTCTTCTTCTTCTGTCACAGCTGATGTGGAGCAGCAGCGATCACTTGACAGTGAGCTGCTGGAGTGAGCCGCTGGAGTGAGCTGCTGGAGTGAGCCGCTGGAGCCAGACGATTGCATCGGGAGCAGCGGGAGTGGCGCATCGCTCCGGTGGGGCCACCTTTGTACAGATCTATGTGCGTTTATGAGTCTCTTTGCGAGTGTGGTTCTGTATTTGAATAAATATTTCTATGTGTGAATCTATGGGTGTCCATGTTGGTCTATCGGTCGCAGCGTTAATCTATAGATATCCGTCTTCTTCGTATGGCTTATGTTGATGCAGAGGAAGGGCTATCATTTTACATTGAGCTGCTGGAGCCAGACGATTGCATCGGGAGTAGCGGAGTGGTGAATCGCCGTGGTGATGCCTCCTCCTGCTACGCACTATCGAGTCGGACACGGAGTCGTTGTGCGTCCCGTGGCTCTGTTCTGGGTGGTGACCGCAGTCGCCGCACACATTGACCGGAGAGTTTATTATTTATTCATTTTCCATTTGTGCATCATCGTCGAGTCTCCACATGTTTTGTGCGGTGGATGAGGCTCAGGGGTTGTGGCCCAGAAGCTTCAGGGCATGAGCTCGAAGCCAAGAGACCTTCTGCTGCGTAGGCTCTCCAGGAGGACGGCGAGGAATGCGAACACTGCGATGTGCCGTGCCGGCCTTCATAGGTGCTCTCTAACAGCACTTGCCCCAACAGTCAGTGAAGGCTACACGGGGTGGTCTTTGTTGTGTTTATGTAAATGCACCGGCACAACCCTCTTACCCACCCGCTCCTCCTCTCATGGGGGCTGTTTGACCATACTTCACCACGTTGGCCAGTAGGGTTTGGTGAAGACGGTGGAGGGGGATCATAGGACATGGAAGCATAGCAGTGCAGTACAACCGTGTATTGTATCTGTTGACGACGAAGCCACGCAGCAGCTGATAACACCTGTTTTATGCGCGTTCTAAATTTACAGGCCAGTCGAAAATGTTGGTGGAATATTTCACGGCATTGGCAGCCATCCCTCCCCTCTCATGCCCGCAGGGGGTGGGAAGCCAGAGGAGAATGCACGACACGAGCGGCCCCCGTCTCATCACTCATTGTGTTCGGCGATTAACATTCGTTTAACATCCACTGTGCCTCCACCACCACCACCACCACCTTGAACCAAGGTCGCGCTGGGGGTTTGCCACATCCTCTAGTGTGTTGTTTTATTTACTAATTGCGTTTAATTTTAGGGACACTATTTTGATTTGTTTAGAAAAATGCCCCATTCGCTGTGCAGGAAAACACGGAGATGGAGTGAACACCGGCGATGAGTGGGAGCATCTTTCAGCTCAGATCCGATGTCCCTGCTATGCGACGTCTCGCCCACTTTTAGAACGGCAGCCCCACGTTTAGAGGCCACAGCATTTCTGTGAACACATCCTTATTCAAGAACGCCGCGGGCAAACACAGTGCAACAATGCGGCCGTCCAGAATAAACGCAACATTCGTGACCCAAACATCATCGCATCTCCTGGCTTTGGCATTCTTCCTCGAATACACTGGAGGTGCAAACATGAACCGCATCAGAACATCAACAGGCCGAGGTGGCACATCTCCTTCATGAATGGGTAGTTAAAGACACCAGCCACAGGAGCGCAATTGTGGACATGCAACCCAATCTGTGAACCATGAAGTAGAACCACCGCACTCTGTGCTCTTCAACGGAGGAACAGCATTCCGAAGCAAACCCACACCAGCATGGAAATACTGAATAGCGACAAAAGTTGCCTTTTGCCAATGCATACATAACGCAGGTCCCGTGTGGTGGGGTACAATGTGGGTCCTCCCACCTCATCTAGCCATCGTGGAAGAGTGACATCACGTTCTCTACACAGAGTAGAGCGAATTAATACAACTCGAAGTGACAGTACCTGCACATAACGCACGAATGTGTGTGCATATTTGTGGCATGTTTGAGGCATGTTTGAGGCATGTTTGTGTGTATGCACAACACCCAGCAGCAGCCTGCATTGTGTCCCGTTACCTCATTACGCTTCCCTTGACATCCGTTCTCTTCTCCCAGCTGGCTCGGGTTCCTTGCAAGGGGGCAGCCACTTTTGGCCGGGTTCCGACGCCTAAAGACGACGGCCTTCGCGGTGTCAGATCGCTTGCGCCAATCTAATCCCCAGCCACGGTCCGCCCGAGTCGTGTTGCCAATACCTCGGCCCCCTCCCACGCCTCCTCTCCTATCCCCTTCCCGGCCAACAGACCCCAGGAATAGCTGCACCCGAGCTGATGTCATCTACACTCTTGCCAGCCACCAATTACTTAGCAGACAGCTCGTGTGTGTGTGTGTCCGTTCTTGTGCCTCTCCATTTCATCATCAGCAGCCATGGTCAATCCACAGCTGGATGAAGTCCTCCCCATTGCCGCGTTGGCCGTGGAGGTTATTGACGATACTTCACCATGCTGATCAGTGTGTGTTGGAGTATAAAGTACAAAACAATATATTTTGCGCCACTTATATCTGCGGCCCATACCACAGCTCTGCAGCAGCCGATAACAGCTATGCTGTGCATGGCGGCTACCTACCCAAGCACTATCCGGTCTCGAACCTGCTTAGCTTCTGAGATGCGACGAGATCGTGCGTCAGCCAGGCACCTCAGCTCGCTCGCACCTACGGGGTGTGCAGCTGTTGGATCTCCGTTATTATCGATCCATCATCTCCGTCATTCAGCATTCTGATTTCACCCAAACAGTCTGAAGGACGAGCGACGCGTGGGGCCCACGTGCTGGGGAGGTTGTCGCTGCCGAGTGCTGCTGGGGAGCGGTGGTGCAGCGGTTAGCGCGCTGCGCTATGAACCCGGCCACCTGGGTTCGATTCCCGCTCACGGCTAACACCGGTGACGATTATCTGAACCGGTCATGGGCCTCCTCTAGGTCGACTCAGCCTCAAATGAGTACCTGGTGCGGTGTGTAAACATCGCCACTGGGGAGACAAAGGCGGTCGGGCGTGGTGCTGGCCACCCACCTCCTCGTGTACCGTTCCGGCCTTCATAGGTGCTCGCAAATAGCACTTGCCCCTACAGTCTGTTTAGGCTATACGGGGGATCTTTGTCTTTGTTAAACAAACTTTATACGAATGTTAAACGCTCAACAGAACGATCTGTGTTTGTCTAATTGGACTAATTGATCCATTTTGCGAAAAAAATAAAAAGGTTATTCCAGCAGTACGCGTGTGTGTGAGCAGTCATTGCAAAGCATGTTTGTAACCCAGTCAATAGTAACATCTATAAGGGGGGGGGGGCACATCGTATTGATCAGTGGGGGGACGCAGCCCTCTGGACGCTCCGGCGTAGAGGAACAGGGTCACGGCCGCTGTGGAATGGAGCCCAGAAGTGCTCCACTGTCCGTGCGGCCGCTGCGCAAGCGACCAGGCGCAGGGAGACGCGATCCCAACTCTGCGTTGTTGGCACTGCGCGAGCCCCAACGATGGCGACACGACGCTACAATGATACCCGATGAGTACTCGTCACGCGTGGGGTTAACACGCGGGGTTAACACGCGTGGGGTTAACACACGAGGTTAACACACGGGGTTAACACGCGAGGTTAACGTGTCTGGCTGCGTGATGGTGAGCAGTTGCGCGCGTCTGTTGGGGGCCCATGCGTGACCCCGCCGTGCATGCGACACTTTGTTTGTCGCCGTCTTGCCCAACAGAGGACGACGCGAAACTGTGGCCGAGTCCAGGGGCCGCGTGTGGAGCCCTGGCGAGCCGGGGCGACTACAGTGGAGCGATTGTGCGGCGTAGAGGAGGAGCCGCAGCCGGTCCCCAGAGCGAGCAACGCGAGACCCCCCACCTCGCGCTGCCAAACGGCGCTCGGAGCCAAGAACGACGCCTCTCCACCACCACCACCTTCCTGCCGCGCGGCTCGCAGACGCAACCAGCGCACCGGCCGACCATGAGGGCGGCCACGCGGCTTCTGCTCGCAGCGATGTTGCTGTGGGCGGCGGTGGTGGCCGAGGAGGGCCCCGGCTCGGCAGTCGCGGGGCTGCCGCCGCTGTGGCCTCTCGTGCCGGAGCTGTGGCGCGAGGGGCCGGCGTCGACGCCGCAGGTCGAGCTGGACCCCTGGAGCTACCTGCACCGCATGGCCATGTACAAGGCTCTGCTCGCCCGCACCGCGCCCCACACGGAGGCGCTGAGGCCCAACAACACGGGCAACCCGCTGTGGGGCCTCGCCATGCAGCACGGCTGGCAGATGGCATCAGGTGAGGAGCAGGAGGAGCAGGCAGTGGTGGTGGTGGTGGCATCGCGCACCGCCGAGTGGTGAACGCACACAGCCGTGTTTCAGACCACCGCCGATATAAAAGAGCCACAATTGTGGCCGTGTTAAGTTGGACAGCAGCAGCAGCAGGACAAGGAGACCTCTGCACACCGGGTTTGTTCCCGTTAGGAATCGTCAGCACAGTTCGGCCATCATTGCCTCTGCTGCCGCCTTGTGCCTCCGGGGGCTCACCTCCGCGTGCGGCGTTGCGAGATGAAGTTTGTCGGCATGCCGACAAATGAAAAAGCCCCGACGATTATCATTACCATGAATGTGGACAAGCCCTGCTGCCCGACCACTGTGGGGACAGCAGCGTGGCCACGGCCTGTGCGCGACAATGAACCAGCTCGAGCGCTCTCTGTGATCGGCGGGGACCTCGTGAGACGCGAGGGCGCGTGCAGGATGTGGACACGCGGCTCGTGCGGTCGCTGCTGCCGGAGGCGCTGTGACGGCGACGCTGCGCGGGGTCAAATTCACCCTCGCGGGAACTTTGCTCGCATCCACGCAGAGTCGGCGCCTCCCCCCCCCCCCCCCATGGACGTGGCGCAATCCGCCAGCGGCGCTGCTGGCTCCATCTCGAGAGTCCATGGGCCGGGTGAGAGGGGGCAGGGGGGTAGTAGCTGGCAGCTCGTGGCCCCTGTTGGGGCAAGGGTTGCCAACCAAAATAACAGTCGGGCATTTTTTTCCAATTCGATAATAACCTCAATATGTCTCGAGCCGCAATGCAATGTGAATGACGTCACGAGCCAGTTCCTTAAAGAGCCGCGAGCGGCTCCGGAGCCGCAGGTCGCCGACCCCTGGGTTCAGGGGTTCGACTTTGACCTCTGGGTTCAGGGGTTCGACTTCGACCCCTGGGTTGAGGGGTTCGACTTCGACCCCTGGGTTGAGGGGTTCGACTTCGACCCCTGGGTTGAGGGGTTCGACTTTGACCTCTGGGTTCAGGGGTTCGACTTTGACCTCTGGGTTCAGGGGTTCGACTTCGACCCCTGGGTTGAGGGGTTCGACTTCGACCCCTGGGTTGAGGGGTTCGACTTCGACCCCTGGGTTGAGGGGTTCGACTTCGACCCCTGGGTTGAGGGGTTCGACTTTGACCCCTGGGTTGAGGGGTTCGACTTTGACCCCTGGGTTGAGTGGTTCGACTTTGACCCCTGGGTTCAGGGGTTCGACTTCGACCTCTGGGTTGAGAGGATCGACTTTGACCCCTGGGTTGAGGGGTTCGACTTTGACCTCTGGGTTGAGGGGTTCGACTTCGACCCCTGGGTTGAGTGGTTCGACTTTGACCCCTGGGTTCAGGGGTTCGACTTCGACCTCTGGGTTGAGAGGATCGACTTTGACCCCTGGGTTCAGGGGTTCGACTTTGACCTCTGGGTTGAGGGTTCGACTTCGACCCCTGGGTTGAGTGGTTCGACTTCGACCCCTGGGTTGAGAGGATCGACTTTGACCCCTGGGTTGAGGGGTTCGACTTTGACCTCTGGGTTGAGGGGTTCGACTTCGACCCCTGGGTTGAGGGGTTCGACTTCGACCCCTGGGTTGAGTGGTTCGACTTTGACCCCTGGGTTCAGGGGTTCGACTTCGACCTCTGGGTTGAGAGGATCGACTTTGACCCCTGGGTTCAGGGGTTCGACTTTGACCTCTGGGTTGAGGGGTTCGACTTCGACCCCTGGGTTGAGTGGTTCGACTTCGACCCCTGGGTTGAGAGGATCGACTTTGACCCCTGGGTTGAGGGGTTCGACTTTGACCTCTGGGTTGAGGGGTTCGACTTTGACCCCTGGGTTGAGAGGATCGACTTTGACCCCTGGGTTGAGAGGATCGACTTTGACCCCTGGGTTGAGGGGTTCGACTTCGACCCCTGGGTTGAGGGGTTCGACTTCGACCCCTGGGTTGAGGGGTTCGACTTCGACCCCTGGGTTGAGGGGTTCGACTTCGACCCCTGCCTCCCGGTTTTCTAGACTCAAGTGACGCAGCACGTGGACTTGCCACTGGAACAAGGACCGCGTGCACCAACGACGCCTCGGCGCTGACGAGCTCCACCTCGACGAGGCCCCCGGGGACGCTGCGTGGGCTGCGGGAAGTGCTGATCGAGCCACGCCAGCGCATTCCTGTTTCTCTGCGCACTCCCTGTGCGAGTGTGCGAGTTGGGATGTCTCCATGCGAGCCTATGGGTCTTTGTGAGTATTGTATATGGGTCTCTATGTCAGTCTGTGGGGTTCTATGTGCACAGGCACCGATGTTAAAACCACTGCCAGACCATTCGCTTTCGCAGGGAATCCCCAAGACGGAAGTTGTCATCCGACCATAACTGGAGCCTTGAGTTGCCAAGGACCACCACAGCCCCGTCCTCTCAACCGGTGACCAGCGTGGTGAAGTATGGTCGGATCACCCCCCTCTAGCCACACGGCGTCGGTAGGCTCCTCATGCAGCAGTGGACTGACAAGAGGGGCCGTGGCCGCGTGTCAGCTCGTAGAAGCACCGAGAGAGAGAGAAGCAGAGAGAACGTGTCCTCGTCTGTCGTGGCGACTCGCGCCGCGTTCACGCGGGCAGCTGCGAGTGAGACGACGGCGGTGGCCGCTTCGCGCCTCGCCGTGACACGAGACGCGGCCAGCAGCAGCAGCAGCAGCTGCAGCCTGTGCAGTAGGCACGGGTGTGGGCACAACCACCACCCACCAACCACCACCACCCACCCACCGTGCCGAAACGGCATCACCGCCATCACGATTGTAACGAGAGCACCGGGGTTCCTCGGGGTTCCTTTACAGGCTCTCAGCAAGTGCAATGAAACGTCGGACATCGTGCCGAACCAGCATGCGGTACGACCCGAAAAGCCAAAAAACCTGCACAGCAGAAAACTGAATCTGCATTCACTCAGCTACCTAAATTGGCAGCACTCGGCTACCCGACTGAGCAGCACTCAGCTACCCGACTGAGCAGCACTCTGAAAACTTGAGCCCGGTGCGACTGCTCGCGAACTTGGTGGGATAACAATGACCCCGTCCCGGTGCGCCCGCTCGCTAACTCGCTCGCTAACTCGCTCGTGGTCGATCGGCAGGCCGCCTGGAGGACCCCCTGAACGCCACCGTCTCCTGCAGCCGCACGGGGGCCCCAGGCCCCTGCATCTCCCCGCGCAGTTGGTGGGGAAGTAAGGACGACGCGTGGACGTGCGCCGCGAGAGGCACAGGGACGCGACGTCGACCACAGGCGGCGTGCGTGTGTTTGTGTGTCTGTGCGAGTGTGTCTGTGCGAGTGCGTGTGTGTGCGAGTGTGTCTATGTGCGAGTGTGTGTGTGTGCGCGAGTGCGTGTCTGTGTGAGTGCGTGTGTGTGCGAGTGTGTCTGTGTGAGTGCGTGTGTGTGCGAGTGTGTCTGTGTGCGAGTGTGTGAGGGCGTCTGTGTGTGTCTGTGTGAGTGTCCGTGTGTGAGCGAGTGTGTGTGAGTCTGTGTGCGGGGAGCGGTTAGTGCGCTGCGCTACGAACCTGGCGACCGGATTTGATTCTCACTCACGGCCACCAACACCAATGACGATTCAGTTTAACACGTAGCAGGATTTCGCGACCAGTATTATTCATAATAAAGGTTTGTGGGTTAGATCGCGTTATTTATAAATGTGTCGCAACCCTCCACCACCCGACACGGCCAATCAGTAAAGTGGCCGTCCTCAGGCGGAAAAAATAATCCAGCAGTGGAACTGCTGACTTTATCGAAAGAACCAAAGAGCATTAAAGACAAATGGTTCACTACTTTAGCCCACCGGTGTGTTGAAGAGTGAATCCACAACATTTACAAGATGTTTCGCGGGAAATTACATGCAGCATCTTCAGGCGATTTGCTAGAATAGTGAAGCCATCCACCTGTTTCCGCTCTTAAATAGTACAGGATGACGTCATCGTTGTTGAACCCCATCACGATTTGAGATCAGAGGCAGAGGCGGGGGTGGGGGTGAATGCAATTATGTAATAGATCACTAATCAGCCACTGAGCATGTGACCCACCTGTAAAGAATTGTAATGTGTGTTGTGTATTACTTAATAATACGCTTCCAGGTTGCACTGAGTCTGTAGCTATCACAGAGGTTGAGATTATTTGAATTCTTCTCAATTTCTATTGATTCTCTAACTAGCCTTAACACATTCCTCCTGCGGAGGGAGCTGGTAGGAACGTTGGGTTGCTCGGTCAATGGTCAGGGTCAACGGCGGCGTGGTGTATTCCGCAAATATGCCCGACTGTGAGGGCGGGCACAAGCCGGCGTGAGTAGGTTAAACGTTGTTCCTACCAGTATTATGACCAGTGACGATTATCTGAACCCGTCCTGGGCCTCTCCTACGTCGACTCAGCCTCAAATGAGTACCTGGTGCGATGTGTAAACATCGCCACTAGGGAGACAAAGGCGACCGGGCGTGGTGTTGGCCACCCACCCCCTTGTGTGCCGTGCCGGCCCTTATAGATGCTCGCTAACAGCACTTGCCCCAACAGTCTGTTAAGGCTATACGGGGCATCTTTGACTTTGCGCACAGGTACAGCCCACTGCTGGATTGCCCCCCCCCCATGCTGGGGGGGTTATTTGACGATACTTCACCGCCGCGGGTCAGTGCAGGTTGGTGTGGGGAGCAGGCGCAGTCCGTGCAGATTCCGCCGCTCTGCCCTCTTGCCCACAGCCGAACCCCGCGAGCCCCTTTGACAAAGGTCACTCGCGTCCAAGCACCGGCCAGGCTCCATCCTGCTGAGCTTCCCGACATCTGATGAGATCATCGCATTCTCAGTGATGCGGTCCTTGCCAATGAATGCACTGTGCGGGTGATGAAACCGCTTATTTTGAGTTACTTATTGACTGGAGGATTTCAAACACACACATGCGTCGTTTGTGTACCTTCTCTCGGAAATTAAGAGTGCATGTGTGCGCTTTGAATCGCCATGTGTGTGCGTGAATGCATGTGGGGAGCGGTGGCGCAGCGGTGGGCGCTCTGCCGGAACTTCACTTACAGATCTTCCCGTCGCTGGTTTTGTCAACTAAATGACCATTGTTGTGCGCGGGGTATAATTAGAACATCGCAGGGTCGTGAGAGGTGTCGGTGGCTTGAGGAGGCCTTCATCCAGCAGTGGACTGACCATGGCTCGTGACGACGCTAGGTATGAACTATTACCTGTCGGTGCTTCCCTACCTGGCTGCGGCGGACGCGGGCCTGTTTGGGGAGGGGCGAGCGGCGCGGCCCAGAGTGGCCCAAGCGAGCGAGTGGCCCGAGGAATACTGCACCAGCGCGGCCTCCTGCTCCCTGGCTGCACCGGCTGCCATGGCCGCCTGGAAGGACTTCTTTGAGGTGACCACCGCCGCTGTCTCTGCGGCATCACCGTGGCCTCGTCATCATCACCTCGTCATCATCACCCTGACCTCGTCATCATCACCCTGACCTCGTCATCATCACCCTGACCTCGTCATCATCACCCTGACACCGTCATCGTCACCCTGACCTCGTCATCGTCACCCTGACACCGTCATCATCACCCTGACCTCGTCATCATCACCCTGACCTCGTCATCATCACCCTGACCTCGTTATCATCACCCTGACACCGTCATCATCACCCTGACCTCGTCATCATCACCCTGGCCTCGTCATCATCACCCTGACCTCGCCATCATCACCCTGACCTCGTCATCATCACCCTGACACCGTCATCATCACCCTGACCTCGTCATCATCACCCTGACCTCGTCATCATCACCCTGGCCTCGTCATCATCACCCTGACACCGTCATCATCACCCTGACCTCGTCATCATCACTCTGACCTCGTCATCATCACCCTGACACCGTCATCATCACCCTGACCTCGTCATCATCACCCTGACCTCGTCATCATCACCCTGACACCGTCATCATCACCCTGACCTCGTCATCATCACCCTGACTTCGTCATCATCACCCTGACACCGTCATCATCACCCTGACCTCGTCATCATCACCCTGACCTCGTCATCATCACCCTGACCTCGTCATCATCACCCTGACCTCGTTATCATCACCCTGACCTCGTCATCATCACCCTGGCCTCGTTATCATCACCCTGACCTCGTTATCATCACCCTGGCCTCGTCATCATCACCCTGACCTCGTCATCATCACCCTGACCTCGTCATCATCACCCTGACTTCGTCATCATCACCCTGACACCGTCATCATCACCCTGACACCGTCATCATCACCCTGACCTCGTCATCATCACCCTGACCTCGTCATCATCACCCTGACTTCGTCATCATCACCCTGGCCTCGTCATCATCACTCTGACACCGTCATCATCACCCTGACACCGTCATCATCACCCTGACCTCGTCATCATCACCCTGGCCTCGTCATCATCACCCTGACCTCGTCATCATCACCCTGACTTCGTCATCATCACCCTGACCTCGTCATCATCACCCTGACCTCGTCATCATCACCCTAGCCTCGTCATCATCACCCTGGCCTCGTCATCATCACCCTGGCCTCGTCATCATCACCCTGACCTCGTCATCATCACCCTGACCTCGTCATCATCACCCTGGCCTCGTCATCATCACCCTGGCCTCGTCATCATCACCCTGACCTCGTCATCATCACCCTGGCCTCGTCATCATCACCCTGACCTCGTCATCATCACCCTGGCCTCGTCATCATCACCCTGGCCTCGTCATCATCACCCTGACCTCGTCATCATCACCCTGGCCTCGTCATCATCACCCTGACCTCGTCATCATCACCCTGACCTCGTCATCATCACCCTGGCCTCGTCATCATCACCCTGGCCTCGTCATCATCACCCTGGCCTCGTCATCATCACCCTAGCCTCGTCATCATCACCCTGACCTCGTCATCATCACCCTGGCCTCGTCATCATCACCCTGGCCTCGTCATCATCACCCTGGCCTCGTCATCATCACCCTGACCTCGTCATCATCACCCTGGCCTCGTCATCATCACCCTGGCCTCGTCATCATCACCCTGGCCTCGTCATCATCACCCTGGCCTCGTCATCATCACCCTGGCCTCGTCATCATCACCCTGGCCTCGTCATCATCACCCTGGCCTCGTCATCATCACCCTGACTTCGTCATCATCACCCTGACCTCGTCATCATCACCCTGGCCTGGCCTCGTCATCATCACCCTGACCTCGTCATCATCACCCTGACCTCGTCATCATCACCCTGGCCTCGTCATCATCACCCTGGCCTCGTCATCATCACCCTGACTTCGTCATCATCACCCTGACCTCGTCATCGTCACCCTAGCCTCGTCATCATCACCCTGACACCGTCATCATCACTCTGACTTCGTCATCATCACCCTGACCTCGTCATCATCACCCTGGCCTCGTCATCATCACCCTAGCCTCGTCATCATCACCCTGACACCGTCATCATCACCCTGGCCTCGTCATCATCACCCTGACACCGTCATCATCACCCTGAAATGAGCTTCCTAATCTCCCTCATCTCACCCATTAACACAACTGACGTGCTTGCGTGCGGGGATGGAATTCCTTTCCAGCTCAGACCCCGCCTGCTTGCCCTTCGCCAACATATACAACCTCTTGTTGTAACAGCTTTCTCGCTGTGGTCTTCCTGATTCAGCAGTTCCACTGCTGGATTATTGTTTCCGCCTGAGGACGACCGCTTGTGTGGCGATCGAAAATACGTGAAATATTATTTTTCTACCTACGTGACTTTACCGAAAGAACCAAAGAGTATGGATTCCTGCAGTCACGAAAGCTTCAAATCAAGATGTGTAATCAAGTACATTGGTTTGTCATTTCCTGGTTTGCCAGAGTATGCTGGCAGTACAGCAAGTGGATTCATTTGCATCTGCGTTCAATCTTCATCGGGATTGAGCGGAGTGCCGCAGTGACGAATATCTTATCTCCCTTGCCTGGAACGCATTTGCTTGTAGGTTCGACTCCAACCTTGACTGACGCCTCGATATTTGGACTTCCCATGTTCTCCCCGTGGTCACGTGGATCTTTCTCCGTGTACTCCGGTTCCCTCCCACGTGCAGTTGACCAAACATCGCAATATTGGACCGCAGAGCTCGGGCAATTGTTGGTGCCGGTTACTTGTCTGTGGATTCCCACGCCTTTGAATCACTCTCTGTCGCTCTCCATAAAGGTGAAAAAAACCGCGCGTTTTGAATAAAAAAAAAACATTCTTTAAAAAGTCACGAACGTCTCGCGCACAGCGCGATGACTACGGGGAGGCCCTAATCCTGGGCTGGGCGTTGGTCCTGACGAGCCGCCAGCCCCCCCACCCCCACCGCGGCCTCACCCCGGCCTGACCGCGGCTGGGCGGCCTGCACCGAGCAGCAGCAGCAGCAGCGGCGGCGTTGTTCACGGGCGGCGTGTGAACCTTCCGCCCCAGTACGTGAACAGCTCCGACAAGTCCGAGCGGACCAACGCGGAGGAGATTCTGCGCTACCTCTGGAGCGCCCACCAGGCGTCGCTGGAGGCAGCTCTCCCCCGGTTCTCCTCCAGGTGCTTGCGACAGGTTCAATTTACCCGTTTTTAAGCATTGACGAATTGTGACTCTCGCATTGGTCGTCAGAGTGGATGTTTAAATAGTTTCATCCATTTTCTCCAGGTTAAAGTGCGATTGCAATTAACTTGTTTTGGGGAGTGGGTTATTCACAACCCATGCCACTCCACTGCTGGATAACGACTTCCCAGCACCGTGTCGTGGATTGAGGTTGTTGGACCATACCTCACCCCGCTTGTCAGGCTGGTGAAGGGTGGGAGACCCGGTTAAAATATCACGTGACACTGGTCTTAGCCATGACCTAAAATTGAACTCAGGTCGCTGGGATAATAGCACGATGTGCTACCCACTGCACCACGCAGGGCCGCTTCCCGCCGTACAGGTGTGGTGTGTGCATGTGTGTGGGGTATGGTGTGTGTGGGGTGTAATGTGTGCATGTGTGTGGGGTGTGTTGTGTGCATGTGTGTGGTGTGGTGTGTGCATGTGTGTGGGGTGTGTGGGGTGTGTTGTGTGCATGTGTGTGGGGTGTGTTGTGTGTGTGGGGTGTAATGTGTGCATGTGTGTGGGCTGTGTTGTGTGTGTGGGGTGTAATGTGTGCATGTGTGTGGGGTGTGTTGTGTGCATGTGTGTGGTGTGGTGTGTGCATGTGTGTGGGGTGTGTGGGGTGTGTTGTGTGCATGTGTGTGGGGTGTGGTGTGTGCATGTGTGTGGGGTGTGTTGTGTGCATGTGTGTGGTGTGGTGTGTGCATGTGTGTGGGGTGTGCGGGGTGTGTTGTGTGCATGTGTGTGGTGTGGTGTGTGCATGTGTGTGGGGTGTGTGGGGTGTGTTGTGTGCATGTGTGTGGGATGTGGTGTGTGCATGTGTGTGGGGTGAGGTGGCGCACTGCACTATGGACCTGGCAGCTTGTTGTTGTTCGATTCCTGGCCATGGCTAACAGCAGTGGCAACTGGGGTCTGAAATATGACATTTGACATACACGGCCTTTTGTAAATTCACTGCTGGATCAGGGCCTAACCACACCGTGCAGGTGATGAAGGTTACTTGCATGGGTAGCTCTAGAATATCTGTCGAGCGTTGTTTTATGAACAAATCTCCTTTCAGGCTGGCCTTCCTGCCAGGACCGGAGGCCACGTTTGGCCAGGACTGGGCCGCCATGGTGGCGTTCGTGGCAGCACTGCAATTCCCCACAAACCAGGAGGCGACTCGCCGCTTCCAGACGCTGTTGCCCCCCCGGGTCCTCCGAGTCGGCGACTCTCCCCCCGACGTGGCCGACCTCAGCCCGCAGGCCAACCGGGCCCTGCAGGCCTTCAGTCGACTGCGGTGGGCCAACGACCTCGTCGGTACGTCGCACTGCAGACGGCGTAGCCCGGTCGGCCAGGCCCCGCTGCGGTATGCGTGCTGGGTGCTGGTCGTGGCTGTGCTGCACGTGACCCGTCATCCGGTGCTGTGGAGGTGGGGGCTGGGGGAACTCACAGACCTCGTGAAACTCCCTTCACGTGGACGTCGTGGAGGGGCCATATGCTGGCGCGCCAGGAGAAGACGGTGCAACAAGTTGACTAATCGCCATCTGTGTCCATCCGTACGGGGATAGTGATTTTCTTCCCTCGTGCGCGTGGGTTTTCTCCAGGTGCTCCGATTTCCTCCCACATTTATAATAAAAACTCATCATGAATTTGCTGAAAGCATCTTAAACAAAAACACACAATGCAGCACGACCCTCTTGAAAGAGAGTCATACAACTCAGTGTGGCTTTGCTGGATGAGTAAATGATTATTATACTGGCTGCTGGCTGGTGTTTAAAGGTGTAAAAACGAAAAGTGTGGCTCTTTTAACATTTTTCTTTACCAGAATATAAACATGTTTAAGTTATTTTAGGTGGGACGCCACACTGATACCCCATGCGAACCAACGCCACAGCCTGTTGGTGGCACTTTATATCGCATCAGCATCGAATGACCGGGTAGTAATTCTTCATAGTCATGCGTGAGAGAGAATTCTACTGTGTTCAATTGCGTTAAATTACCGTAATCCTTCCTGGCAATGAGGGATAATTCTACGGTGTAGACTCACGCGTCTCTCTCTCTGTGTGGAGTTTGTATGGTCTCCCCCTGTTCTGCATGGGTTTACTCTGGGTTTTCTGGTTTCCTCCCAATGCAAATAACCCCCCCCCCCCGATATTAGTGCCAATTGCATCTCAACCCTCTATAGAGTTCATAATGTGCAGGTATTTTTCACGGAGGCATGGGAAACCACAGTCACTTTGGAAAGCAGCCAGACCGGGTGCCAACAATTGCTCAAAATCTTTGGCCAACTCCACTCACTCGTGTGTTGAGCTGCTGCCGTGTGAGTGGTGTGCACGAAAACCGAGGCTAATCCCTGCCTTGACGCTTCGCAGGTGGCCTCTTGGACAAGGTGTTTCGTGACGTCGTGTGCAGGAAGGAGGACCGCCAAGTGGTCCTCGATGCTGTGGAGAAACTCCTGGCTGACGACGAAGTCCACGCACTGCCGGATCTGGTGCTGAGCGTGGCAAGCAGCGCCGTGTTTTCGGCTCTGCGCGGCCACCGCGCGCCTTGCTCCCCCGCGCGGCCTCGCCCATAGAGTCGGACGATTTACTGCGAAGGGAATTAATATATTTGGACGAGAGGAGGAAATTCAAAAATGTTAAAGCACGTGCCCGCTCTCTATAGTGCGGACATTAATCGAAGCGAATTATAAACGCCGCTAAGCTGAACTTGTCTTTGAGTAGCAAATTGTATTAAATCAGAACGCACAATTACAATCTCTCACCCACCATGCGTCCATTCACGTCCCTTTAAGAAATGATTCGTGATAAAGGATTAGACACATTTAGTAACCTGAACTCTGTCCACTCAGCAGTCTGAGTACATCACATAGTTGAGCGGCTGGTCGCGTGTAATGGGGTAAGGTGTTGTGCTTCCAGCTATTCTTAGATGTACGGCCAGCGTGGAAGAGTAGGCCAAACTGCTCTCTAGAGCTTCCTAGATTGGAGGGCCTTCCCACAGGAGTGGCGTGTGCAGTACATTTCAGGGCTGCACCTTTACCTTTACGATTGTCTCTCATACATATTCATTCACGAAGAATGAATGAGTAATAAACGATCATACACATGGTCACGTAGACAGATATACTGTCGCGTTGCTTGCCGTGCTTGTGTTGCGTGCACGAGGGATGCCGATGAGACGATACACAGGACTGGGAAGCAGCCCTCCGATCAGTTATCGGGTTGTACCGCGTGAACCAAGTCCGACGTTCCGCTGCGCATTGCGGATGAACTTCTGCAGGAACTGAATATCTCATGAAGATCCCAGAACGTGGTGTGAAACGTCGAACATCGTTGCGTGCAACACGCGGTACAACCCGAAAACAAATCGGAGAGCTGCGTAGCATCACCTGCAGTGCGACACTGGCGTCTTCGGCATTGCGAGATTGTGAGCGTGGCCGGCCTTGAAGTCCACTAGAGGGGGCAGTCCTCCTGCTGCCGCGAACTGTTCACCAACGCTCTATTAAGCCATTCGTCACGGCTCCTTGCGAGTAAACCTGCTGCATTCATTGACATTGATGCTTAGCGACAACTCTTAAGCAAAGAGCTGTAACGCCGCAGATGTGTTAACCTCTTAACGGCATCGTAATTTAAGAGCGCTCCGGTAATGGGCCCAACCATCGCTGCGGTGGCAAGCGATAAAGCCCCCCGTGACCCCCATGGCGGAGGAGGTCACGCTCGGTGGGACGCACCGCGGTGACTCCACGGGTCATAGGGTGGTCGTATAATGGGTCACGTGATGGCTAAAAGTAGAAAGCTTTTAAGCATCGGCTCTGTCCGTCTGTGCGTGTGTTTTACGGGGGACGGTGGCGGTTACGATATAACTCTGGTTCCGATGATCCAATATGAACGGAACTTTCGAGTCAAGTTGTGTTGATGTTAGCGACTGACCCAGGAGGAGACCGGCCAAATTGATCGCCGCGGTACCCCGGCAGAGACTTCCCGGGCGCCGTCGTCTCGCCCCGCGGCCTCTGGGCGGCAGTCTCGCCTCCTGCGAGCCGACCGCTCCCGTCGTTACGATCGCTCGTTAAATACTCTGGGGACAGACGCGTGCTGTGAAGCGTTACAGCATCCGTGCCTACGCACACGGCTTTCCTGTTTTGGTTTGGTTGGCCCACTGGCCGAGGGCGAGTGAAGGTCACCCGCTCCGTGTGCTTTATTGTTGTGTCAACCTTCAAGCACCTCGAGGGCGGACACACCGCTCGCCACGTTTTCCTAAAACCCGCACCCCACCGCTCGCGACCCGCGAGCGGTGGGGTGAAGTGTGGGTACTGCCGACTCCTCCAATAAGTCTGGCCAGCGTGGAAGAGTAGGCCAAAACTACCCTCTATAGAGGGTCTCTCCAGGGTTCCTTTTAGTGGAGGCCCTTCTGCCAGCAGTGGCGTGAGCGGCCAATTTCAGGGCTGCGCCTTTATCTCGACACGGCGATGATGGACTCGCACATTTTTTGGACGATGCGGGCAGGGAATCAGATCTCGGAAGTTAAGCGGCGTTGAGCCTGGATTGTGCTCGGATGGGTGCCCACAAGTCGGGTGTAGTGGGCATTGTGGGCAGTAGAGAGCAGAGCAGCAACATCTACCTACTCCCATCCCAGAGCTAGCTTCCCCAGTCGAGCGGTGGTGAAGTTTGGCCAACATATTCCTCACGGCCATTGAGGCGTGCGGGAGGTCTTCATCCAGCAGCGGATGGGAAAAGCGGGCGCTGTTTGTGTCGTGAGCGGCTCGTGAAGGTGAATGAGCGAAACCGCTCCCGAGACGAACGTCCTCAACTTCAAACGATCTCCGTCTTCGGTCGGCAACGAGAGACCTTGAAACGAGCGCTCAAAGGGCGCCACCAAGATTACCTTTAAAAAAACGACATCTCTAAAAACTTTCCCAACAAGCAATTAGGGGGTGGTAATAGGGAGGACGGCTAATTAGTCGGCCAATTTCGCTGCTCTGTTTGCTTTGCACGGGGCTCATTAATGACTTCAGATTGGCTATTTATGCGCCGGTCACGCACCATTAGCTCGGGGAACCTGCGAGCACAACCTGCCGCACGCACACTCCTCACCTGTGGGAGACGAGACTCGCTGTTAGCCCAGGTGAAGTCGAATCATTATAACGGCCTCGTTACTGCGCGTGCCATTTCTGCGTCCGTGGCAAGCTCCTTCGGCCCTTATTTATTATCGTGAGCGATGAGCCGATCAGTATTATTGATTTATTTTTTGCTTTTCAGAAAACAAATATGTATGTATATATTATGATGTTATTTTTAACAATAATTTCATCGATGCATTTTTAAATTATTTTGTATTGCATATCTGCCGAGGTGAGTTATATTGATATTTTAATGCACTGATATTAACACCAAATATTTATTTTAGGATAGGCCAAAGTAGCCGGAATGCCGCAGGAGGCGATCGCGAGACCTCGCTCAGCAGTGCCGAGTGGACCGGTGACCTCTCGGCTCCATCGTGCACAGCAGGGGGCAGTGCAGGAAACCCCATAGCTGTACCGTACTTCTATGCGCCCTGCCTTCACCAACCCAACACTGACCAGCGTACTGATGAAGTGTGGTCAAACAGCCCCCATGACCGATAGTGGATTGTCAAAGGGCTGTAGGAGTGTACAGTAGACGAAAGCAGGCACACGTTTGCCCTGTCGTTCAGCAGCAGACACCCACACCTGACGAACCACTGCGGCCCAATGTTTACGCACTGCACCCAAACGGCGGACATCATAAAATGATCATAATCAGTAATGGTCGATCCACTGCTGGATGAAGGCCTCGGCAAGCCGTAGCCATCACTCACAATCCGCCGATGTAATAGTCGACCGAGCACCCAGCGTATCCTCTCTCATCTGGGTTCCTCTTTCTGTCTCTCACTGTCATTCTCGGCTTTCGCCGCTCAGTGGCTGTCTTACATGCTTTGCAGTTGTTGCACACTCCCTATTATTTGTGCACTTTCCATTGTCTGTGGTAATGTCCATGTTTCCGAATCATGTCATAGCAGACAGCAGGTAACGTGCGTGATGATACAATAAAAACAGAGCACACGCGCGCGTCGGAACACGTTACAGAAGCAATGGATATGGATGCGTTTTTCATCCTTAGATCTTCTGTTTGAATCGAATAAGCAGACAAGACGGCTTATTCGCATATCTGTCTCTTTGCGTAAACTATACAGGTTTAGTTTACACATCCCATCAACCACATGGCCTTTTGTGAGTAGATCATTTCAGCAGCATGGATTTAACGCAAGGAAACTTTGGATCGGTTTGGTCCGATGCTAGTGAACTTCTAGAAGTTAATAAACAAAGACTGAATCGACATTAATTCTCATCAGCAGTCTAGATGGATTGAACCAATGCTGGGGTACTGCCACAATGTGTGTATAGGCAGGGGCCCTCCCTCTCTGTTAGCTCCGGGTCCTGTTGATCATTTCACGTCTGAAACACCCGGTCACCCGAACTTGCGACTGACTCACGGCTACAGCCCAATGTCCAATCACTCCTCCCAAGTGGCGCGCCTGTACTTGCAAAATCCCGACGTGAAGTGACCGCGTTCTGGCCAAGGCGGGAGATTGTGTCCTTGGCGCGACCGCTGGGACGAACGCGCTTTACTGGGCCGAGTCGGGCAGTCGCGCGCGAGAGGTCGGGTCGAGCGCTTCCTCATCTCGCTGCTGACTCGGGCCGCTCGTGCACAATGGATGGGACAGCCGCAGGGCGCAGCGCCACGGCGTCACCCCCCCTCCCCCCCTGATTGTCTAACCGTGACCCTCACCGTCTGACGATGGCAATGATAATGGCCGTGCGTTGGCGCTTCATCCAAAAGCGGCAGTTGAGCAAAACGAAGGAACGCGACAAGGTAAAGGTGCGCCCCTGCTCGGCCGAGCCACTACCCCCCCCCACCACCACCGAGGTTATATTTGGCCTACTCTTCCATACTGGCCAGACGTTATGGAAGACGTGGGAAAAGACAGCTGTGGATTGACAAAGTCTCGACGAAGATAATGAGACGGCACGGAGATTGTTGCATTGTGCAGGGGGCGTAACTTCGCTGGCAGCGGGAAGCAGCCAGGAGGGGAAGCCAGGAATGAGCTGCGGGTCTTCATCGCCAAACTCAAACCGTGCGAAGTCTGCCGCTCGGTGGGTGCCCTCCACTCGAGTGATGTCTCTGCCCCCCCCCCCCCACCGTGTTCTCACGTTGGCTCTCATAAAGCGTCTTGATAGACCTTTCACGCGCGGACGATCCCATTGGATTAATCAAAACATTCTCAATTATGGCCAGCGGAGCGGTGTGGGAGAAACAGCGTCGGGGAGGAACGATGCCTCCTCGCCCCTTCCAGGACTGCTCCGCTCACAGAGTCCGCGTCTTGCGCACGACACCGGCGGTGGCTTTGGGCTGTCCCTGGGGCACGCGGGGACGTCGAGACCCGCAAACAGACCACCCTGGGGGAGGAGGGTGGTCTGTGGGGGAGGTCTCCTGCAGCACGGGGAACGACACCAGTGGACGGAGCCGTTGCTGATCATGAAGGCGGGCTGAGAATCTGGAACGAGTTTGCGGGGAAGTCGAGTTGCGATACAGGGAGAGGGGAGAGCGAGCGCCCTGAGTGTGCCCTGCAAGGCAGCTATCGCAGCAACATCTCTGTAATTGGGACTGAGTGTGGAGCGCGTGTCTGTTGATGCGGTGTTTTTATTTATGATAGGGGACTAAATAGGGGCGCTCATGCATGCATTCTAATTACTGTTTTCATCGAAGCTTAACATTATTAGATTAACATATTGAAGAAGTATTTTATAATGCAATTGTGCCCTCAGATCACCACCATAATTCATCCAAAGCGCTCCGAGTATGAACTTTGATAGGTTTTTGTCTTATAAACATCTGTTTATGCTAAATTGCTTTATTGTTTTTGTGAGATCATGTAAGACATTAAAAAGGCCAGACACCGTGAAATGTGACACTATAAACGTGTAATTATTAAAGCGTGATGTGCACATTAACGCGGGCCGAATGGGCAGTGGCCAGGTTGTGGTGGAGGCCTTTGGAAGCAGGCCCGCGGTCGGCCCCAGCGTGCCTGAGGCCATCGACCCAGCGA